ATTTGCCCAACTTTGTGGAGGGATGTTAAAAACTTCGGTTTCTATAAGTTTAAGGACATTGGAGTTGACACGGGGAAAAACATTGTTACGACGAATGACAGATTTCAATTGGTGTCAAACATGTTCAGTGGGATTAAATATACAGTGGTGGAAGCCTTAAAACTGTATGCCCTAGATTTTTTTCATAATTATCACAGACGTATTCCTTTTGTAGGTTCAAGCTTTGTAGAATCTCAATGAATTGCTTTTTGGTATAATTTTCGTGAAGATAGTGACCTCAGGAGCCTCCTAATTAAGATATCTAATTCGCTTCTTTTTTTCCTAGCTGAAATGGGATTATTCACAATTTTCCATACAGTTGCTGTTGGAATTTTCGTCAATGTAGCCATCTAAAGATGCTTGCTTGCTGGCACCACGTTCAATGAGAGTCAAATAAACATTGTTTATAACTTCCTTAGTCTCAATAGAATAGCGTTTTCTACATTTGGGCGGGAGCATCTCCTGAGGTCACTAGACTCGCACATATTTTGCATAATTCAACACACGCACGAAATAAGAATGATTACTAATAAACTTAAACTAACTAGTATACCAAACCAAAGAATATTATTAAACACAGGTAGGTATAAAATTATTTTCTATTACGGACCACAATTTTACCTGAATTTAAATTCCGAAACTTTAGGTAATACTCTTGTTGCATTTTATATTAATGACCACCCTGTTATAATCCCATTCAAAAGCAATTGGTCCCTTTCTTATATCTATGAACAGACCATACCTTCAAGAAACCCAAGGGAGTAGAAAAATTGAGAAATAATGTAACCAATCTCTTATTACATTCTAAATAAAATTTGCTTCGTGAAATCCGTATCCGTTGCATTACTGTGGATTTCACTGCTTTAAAATTTGCCCACGTCTTTCCTTCGAGTAAGCGTCTTCGATTATAATTAACCAACACTGTCAAACATCTTTCTTTTTCTAAACTAGAAAGTTGACAGCGACAGAAATCACCACTTCGCTGTCATCGCAGGTTCTCAGACTTTTTTTAACAAGCTCTTTCGAGCGAAAGGATATCGCCATGCTCTGTTTCATTTCGCTGTCGCCTGCATGTCCAAACTCCGAAACCGAGTTAATTGCGACGAGAACGCTCTATATAATGATAAATCGAGACGTCGAGCGCAGAAATTATAGTCCATAGAATTTGTCGGGAACCGAACCACAGACTTGCAATTGTCGCATAAAAGTTGGCCACTCTCTTTGACCGCGATCGCGGGTCCAAAATGCATGTTCGATAATATAACCTTTAAGCGCAGGAGACCCCAGTTTAAAAACGGTGTAGTCCGGTTTATTTATAGATTTAAAATCGGTCGGGAATGTTAATTTAACGTTCGGCTTAATGGGTTGCGCAACGTTTGTTTATTTCGTTTCGATTGCAACAGGTGCATGTTCCTAGTGCCGGTGGTATTTTTATTTGTGGGATACGCCGTAGAAATAACAATTTAAAAATCTCTACCTATTTATCTATACGTTCAGGATTGAAATTAAAATCGCATCTAGACGACTGACTACCGTGTAATAAAAATTTACCGAATGACACCTTAAGTTGTCATGAGGGGCATACCTAAAGATACGGAGTTTAAATCTATTACAGGGCTTTCCTGACGCAAATTATGTTTGTGTTTTTGTTTGTTTTCGTTTTTGTTTTAAACGGCGGACCAATTTCTTGGTCTAGTCAGCGCCAAAGCGCAGAGTCAATTTTTATTGGATTTCAATGTAGGTATTAGGGAAATAAAAATATTTGTAGACAACCAGGCAGCCATTACATTGGCAAGTCACTGAGAGCATCATAAGCGCTCCAAACGAACGTATAGAGGTAAGATATCAATCACTTTGTAAGATATATAATATACAGTGACTCACAGCTTAAATGATGCAGTCGCTATAACAAAAACTAACTGGTCTGAAGGTCTCATGATTTATTTTGCAAAAATCAACTTCTTGAAATTCAGTTAGGAAAGAACGCCACAGCTTAAATGATGCAAAAATAATAGCCCGGGTCAAAACTTGAAATTTACCGAGGCTTGGCTTTTATTTATTACTGCATTTTTTTTTGTTTTAGTTTGTTATTTTAATACACGTTTTCGTTCAGTAAAATGAAGAAATAAAATTGAAAAATTTAAAAGCATCTGCAGGAGTAGGTAATATGCATTTCATTGAGGGAAATATCTATTTGAATATATTAAGCCAGCATCTGGTGCTAGTGCCCAAAAATTAAATATGAGTAACAACTATCAGTTCTATCATGATCATAATCCAAAGGACACTAACTTAATTTCAATAATTTGTTTTTTTTTTATAAATAAAAAGACATTGCATCATTTATGCTGTAAGTTACTGTATATAATAAGATATTGTGAATAGAAAATTCGTCAAATTAGGGTATACCCTTATAAGCCGATATTTTTGCGAAGCCTTTAGCAAAAAAGCAATGTTGTAATTTACGATTCTAGTTAAACATTTTAGCCCATTCAAAATAAGTGGGAGTGTCTATGAATGGTCGTTTATCATTGTATCTTTTAGGCATTTTGCTACACGGTCGAATTTCTTGCGGTTTTTTTTACGTATATTTACCTAGGCATCCACTCCAAAAACTTTAAGATGTTTACTTGCGATTTACGTGCAAACCACATTTCATAAGCTGAAGCTTTTGCGCTGGGTTGCAAAATTACATAACAAACATACAATAGTTGAACCCATAAAGTTTTGTTAGTTCCAATACTTGTTTATCAGTCATATTGGATGGCTAATGGAACGTGTAAATTACTACCGACTTTAAAGGCAATAACGACAAAGCGAATACACTGTACGAAAGAAAAGCGCGCGACTCATTTTTTTTCTCTGCCAAATATTTTAACAAAACCTTACACTAACCTGTTGAGGTTTTTTATTGTTTAGAATAAAAGTATTCAACAAAAAATCTTAGTGCAATTTATTAAAATAAAATTAGTGAAAAATGTAATGCGGTAAAACAAATGCAGATCGACGGAACAAAGTAGTTGCTTCGTTGAGAATTCTTCAATAACTACCTACAAACGGTCCTAAGAAGTGAATCGTAGAGCCCTGGTGGCCTACAATATTCAGAAGTACCAATAAATCAAAAAATGCATAAAAGTTACAGCAACACTTAAATAGCAAAATGTCTAAAAGATACAGTGTTAAACGACCATTCACAAATAATACAATTCATCAGTCTTCATAAATCTCAACAGTTTATAATAAGCCACAGCAAGGGTGTCTTGTGGTTTCCCAGATTGGTTGTGCGTTCTTTGTAGTACTAAAAAGCAATTAAATAATACATGACACATTTTCCGCACCCTCGAATTATAGTACCGAAAAGTGTTAGATGGGTTTTGTAAACAAAGTGAAATGCATAATATGATGAACAAAACAAACCGCCATTATCGTGGAAATTACCATAGGATATCTAAAGGTCACTTAAGGTTGCGAATCGTCGCCGATAAGAAATTCATCCAACATTTACTTTTTTGGAAATTACATTTTTGTTTGTGTAGATGCAAAAAATGAAAAAATATGCCTTAATAGCTGTGCACTGGTATGAGAAATGGGTAATTTCAGAGGATATGTGCTTAATGCCACTAAATAATAAATAATAAAATGCTTTTTAATACCACCTCGTTTGTAGGCAACAAACAATCTATTAAATAATGTGCATAAAGGCAAAGCTTTCCGATATCCAAAGAAAGGTCTCTTCTTTTTAAAGAAACAAACACTGTGTCTTCCCGAAATGGTATATTGTTACATTCCGTAATATAAACTAAAAAATATGTGTTGCCGATCTAAGAACGACCAGTTGTACTTACGGTAACGTGGTCACTTTTTCCTTTCAATATCTGTCTAATTTCTGCCGCGTTCCTTTCAGTATCACATAGCACATAATATTAGTGGTGTGTCATATTACACCATATTAGTGGTGTGTCATATTACACCATTTTCGCAATCCAAGTTCTGTTGTTCTTTTTAATTAAAATAATTATTAAATAATTCATTAATTAATTAATTAAATAAAAATTACTCGTGTTTTCAGCCGGACAGGAGGAGGTGGTTCGGTTGCTGGTGCAAAACGGAGCATCGCTCAACGTCCAGTCTCAAAACGGGTTCACGCCCCTGTATATGGCCGCCCAGGAGAACCACGACACTGTCGTACGGTACCTCTTGTCCAAGGGTGCCAACCAGACGCTCGCCACAGAGGTACGGCACGTTTGTGAGGTGGGGGGATGTTGTCACGGATTAAATACCGTACCGAAGTGACGGAAAAGATGAGTCGGACCGAAATTTCGTGGACGGGGGAAATACACAACTGTCCATGGCAAGGGTTGTCTTCTGAATAACGAGGTCATGTACAGGGTGGCCCGTTTAAGAGGGGCATCGAAACCTACGGGGGTTACAAAAAACATTTAAATACAAAAGTTTTTTCTATTAAAATGACCTTTATTTTTTTCAATATTTTCCTAATCGTCACTTTTTTGACAGTCCTTTCAAATACAAATTCAAGGATATATATGACTATGGGTCTGTGATGCATCGTTTCGAACTTATTAGCAATCATCTTCAGAATTCAGGTTATGCTTAAACCATCATTGTTTTCTTAAAATACGCGGTGTTGCCACATAATCGCGAATAAGTTCGAAACGGTGCATCACAGACTCATACTCATATATATCGCTGAGTTTGTTTTTGAAAGGACTATACAAACATGCAATAAGGTATAGGACCCTCTTAAACGGGCCACCCTGTACATGGCGTTTCCTAATTTTGGAGGGTGTCGCTTCTGTGCAGTGTTTATTATTCTATGGCGTCTCAGCTAAATATTATCGTCTAATCTAAGGACGGTTTCACCCCGTTGGCGGTTGCGATGCAACAAGGTCACGACAAGGTCGTCGCAGTGCTTCTGGAAAACGACACGCGGGGCAAAGTGCGGTTACCCGCTCTTCACATAGCCGCCAAAAAGGACGACGTCAAAGCCGCGGCCCTCCTGCTCCAGAACGACCATAACCCAGACGTCACATCCAAGAGCGGGTTCACGCCCCTCCACATCGCCGCCCACTACGGCAACGATAAGGTCGCCTCATTGCTCTATGAGAAAGTACGTTGGCACAACTCCCTTCTCTGGAAAAAATTTGTTTCAATATAATTACATCATTAATATCATTTAGTTAGGTCTAAACAGAACATATTCCTACAGGGTGCAAACGTTAATTACACCGCGAAACACAACATCACACCGCTCCACGTGGCGAGCAAATGGGGCAAGATAAATATGGTGACGCTACTGGTGGCGAAAGGGGCCGATATTCAAGCGAAAACGAGGGACGGCTTGACGCCCCTTCATTGCGCTGCTCGCAGCGGACACGATCAGGTGGTCGATATGCTGCTTGAAAACGGGGCACCCATTCACGCCAAAACAAAGGTACAATAGAGACACTGAAAGTAATCAAAGCGGACCTTTGTTTTATATATACTACCCCCCCCCCCCCCTCGAGCTATTATTGTCTGCGCAACAAATGGAGAACTCTCGTCAGCTGGTTAAATAAATGTCTATTGTTTTTGGACGTGTCACATAGTCCGACTACTGTCAAATTACTGTTTGAAAATTGAGGTTAGGGCGATCCTTATCATGATATCCTATTTTTTTTATTTATTTCCTGTTTCGTTGTCGGAAATATTAGTCTGAATACTCAATATATATGTAGTGTGAACTATTCTAAATATTTTTTAAGTAGTAAACAATTTATTAAGTAATTCGTTTTGGTAGATTCCTCCCAGAATGAATAATCTCTAAATCCTCATCCCAAAAACCATCTTCAGACGTTTTAAAATTAAATTAACGCAGAATGGATTGGCGCCGTTGCACATGGCGGCCCAAGGCGAGCACGTAGACGCCGCCCGGATACTCCTCTACCACGGCGCTCCAGTAGACGAGGTCACCGTCGACTACTTGACCGCGCTCCACGTGGCCGCTCATTGCGGCCACGTGCGAGTAGCCAAGCTTCTTTTGGAGAGGGGGGCGGACGTTAATGCTCGCGCACTTAATGGCTTCACACCGTTACACATAGCGTGCAAAAAGAACCGCCTGAAGATGGTGGAGTTGTTGATCAAGCACGGCGCCAGCATCGGCGCAACGACTGAAAGCGGTCTCACACCTCTTCACGTGGCCAGTTTTATGGGGTGCATGAACATCGTCATCTATTTGCTCCAGCACGACGCCAGCCCGGACATACCCACGGTCCGCGGTGAAACTCCGCTCCATTTGGCAGCGAGAGCGAACCAGGTGCGTTAGATCTAGATAACTTCATGCATAGGCCAAATAAATCTTGATTCCTACTCTATAATATGTGTTCCCGAACCATTTTAAGTCATGGAGTTACACGCCAAAGCATAAGAAAAAAAAACACTTGTGGGATATGTGGGCGTCTGTTAAAGGGCGCCGAACGATATACTGTTTTTTACAACCTTTTATGGTTTTGACTTCGAAATGAGTTTAAGACCCACCTGTTGTAAAGCAGAAATTTTAACTGCATGTCCAAAAATGTATTCTAATCCAATAAGAACTTGAACTGGATTAATTTCCCAACATATTAGGCAATGTAATCTTTAAATAGTATTAGGTCCTAACTGCGTATTTTTGCAGTTTACCGAAAATTAAGGTGTTTGGCATCTTTTGGTGTTTCTTGAGATGCTTATGGTGTTATTGTTTAAAGTACCTAGTTGTAGCGACCTGTTTAAAAGTTAAATGCAGTTATCAAATTTCAGATTTCACAGACTACCCAATAAACATTGACAATTTAGAAAACTCCAGACTGCGCTATAAACTATAGTTTTCCGTGTCCTGAGAAAATGCTAACAGGACATTCTATTTCAGATGTAGTCATTTAAAGTTCTTATTAGATTAGGAAAAGTTTTTGTTATGGGAAGGAATATTTTTGGAATATTTTTATATTTTTATAATGGGACTATGAAATATTGTTACAGTTTACTGCTTACGTAGTTTGAATACTCCTTAAGGATCTGATAAATTAAACTTAGCTTAAATTTGGATAAGATTCAAATTATTTGAAAAACCTGAGGGTTTAAGTGTCATAAACCTCAAAAAACCTATTGAAACCCACACTGGTTTTGGTCGCAGAATTCAGAAATAATATACGGGGAGTTTCACTTGAAAAAAACTCTCCAAGATGGGGCTCCAGCATATCCCAAAAGTAGAACGTTTTGGAAATGCTCAGTGCCATATGCCGTGAATAATCCTGTATTCCAGACTGATATTATAAGAATACTCCTTCGAAATGGCGCTTCGGTGGACGCGAAAGCGCGGGAAGAGCAGACGCCCCTCCACGTCGCCTCACGGCTGGGAAACGTCGACATCGTGATGCTGCTCCTGCAGCACGGCGCCCAGCCTCAGGCCACGACCAAAGACCTTTACACGCCCCTCCACATCGCCGCCAAAGAGGGACAAGAGGAGGTAATTCGCGATTTATATTTATATCGTTAATGATTTATAGGAACGCCGCCCCACTTTTATAGGTAGCTTCTGTATTATTGGACAACGGCGCAGACCTTACCGCCACCACCAAAAAGGGTTTCACGCCCCTCCACTTGGCCGCTAAATACGGGCATCTCAACGTTGCGCGGTTGCTGTTGCAACGGGACGCGCCGGCCAACGCGCAAGGCAAAAACGGCGTGACTCCCCTCCACGTCGCCGCTCATTACGACCATCAGCCGGTGGCGTTGTTGCTGCTCGATAAAGGGGCGTCGCCGCACGCGGCCGCCAAAAACGGGCACACCCCTTTGCATATCGCCGCTCGCAAGAACCAGATGGACATTGCGACTACCCTGTTGGAGTACGGGGCTCAAGCCGACGCCGAATCGAAGGCAGGCTTCACGCCACTTCACTTAGGCGCGCAGGAGGGCCACTCGGACATGTGTTCGTTGCTGCTCGAGCATCAGGCGGCTGCCAATCACGCGGCAAAGGTTCGTAGAGGGTATTCCAAGCGGTTTGTCGTCAAAGAGCGTTACATGTTTACGAAACGAGAGGTTGCCCGTAAGGAATTTCTACAGCTTATTTCGTGTATGAGATGCACAGAGTCTTTTAAGCTGTAATTTATCTAGTTTGGCGTGACACTCTCTCTGAATTTGGAGGGCACACAAGGTCCCACCGTTCACAATCTTGTTTTATAGAACGGTCTCACTCCGCTCCATTTGTGCGCCCAAGAAGACCAATCGGCCGTTGCTCAGCTGCTTCTGAGAGGGGGTGCTCAGAAGAACGCGCAAACGAAAAGCGGCTACACGCCACTGCACATAGCCTGCCACCACGGCCACGTCAATATGGTACCGTATTTTTGCCGTCATGTCCTGTTCCCCTTCAATAACAAGTCTCGCGTTCCAGGTGCGTTTGCTTATAGAACATGGCGCCGAAATTAATCCGGCTACTGGCGAAGGGTACACACCGCTGCACCAGGCCGCCCAGCAAGGTCACGTGCTCATTATCAATCTGCTACTGAGGAACAAAGCCGATCCGAACGCGGTCGCAAACGTAAGTGCTTTCTCATTGCATAAATTAAAAGAAATCTGTCAGATTTGCTATGTGCTCAAATCGAAATAGGTAGGCGGGGCTATTGACTGCAGTTTTGCGACGTTGTCAAGTCTACCGTTTTTCAGATTGTTATGATTTAAAAGGGTGTGGATCCTGCGTATTTACGTACGCGGTGGTCAAAAACTAAGAAAAATACCTTGATCTTCTACATGTATTGTACATTAAAAATAGCATGTTTTTTAGTAGACGGACAAATTTATATCTTGGTCACATTAAGTTTAAAATCTTTACAACAAAATAATACAAAAAATAAACTGACAACTTGCAATAATTACAGAAATTAAAAGACATTTCTTACTATGAATAGTAACGAGATTTGGATTATTGAAAATTAAAGTAAAAATATTTCTTTTTAATATAAAAAAAATGTAGGTTATAAAATTGAGGATAGGCGAAATTTAAACAAAAATGTGCGAATGTCGGTAGTTACCTACTCAGATATTGGATTGGAAATAAAACTATATATACCTTCAGCAGTATCTACGCAATGCACAGGTATGGTCTGTTCTTAGATATAAGAAAGTGACCAATTGCTTTTGAATGGGATTATCCAAGGGTGGTCATTAACATACAATGCAACAAGATTATTAAAATTGTGGTCCGTAATAGAAAATAATTTTATACCTACCTGTGTTTAATATTCTTGGGTTTGGTATACTACTTAGTTTAAGTTTATTAGTAATCATTCTTATTTCATGTCTAATACAGCGTGTGTTGAATCGTGTGCGAATTATGCAAAATATATGCGAGTCTAGTGTATCTCAGGAGATGCTCCCGCCCAAATGTAGAAAACACTATTCTATTGAGACTAAGGAAGTTATAAACTTTGGTTATTTGACTCTCATTGAACGTGGTACCAGCAAGCAAGCATCTTTAGAAGAAACGGCCACATTGACGAAAATTCCAACATCAACTGTATGAAAAATTGTGAATAATCCCAATTCAGCGAGGAAAGAAGGAAGCGAAGCTGACATTTTCTCGAGTGTAGATGAAAGTGATAAAGATATAATACGACGTAAAATTTACCAGTTATACGAGGAACAAATCGTGCCTACATTAGATATCTTAATTAGGACGCTTGAAAAAGATGAAACCGGTATTAAATGTGGCAGAACTACCTTATGGAAGTGTATTCAACACATGGGTTTTAGATTTAAAAAAATCGACAAAAGGCAAGTTTTAATGGAATCTTTTAGAATTCTGAAATGGCGACTGGAATAATTAGGCGATGATAGCGATGGTGATACTGATAAATTATTTGAATATTTTAAGTAATTTAAGTAGGTAATAAAAATAATTTGTAATTTTATTTTAGATGTAAACATAAATACATAAATAAATAAATAAATATTGTTTAGTATATTTCCTAACAAAACCCCAAATAATTAAATCAGTTAGTCACTTTCTTATTCCTCTGAACAGACTTTAGATTCTTACATACTTCAAACGTTTTCTGGACGAAAAATAACAGAAAGCAAATTAGACCGATTTGAAAATATAATAACGACCAGATATACTGAAATAATCTCACACACGCTCTTTGTTCGCCCTTCTCGACTACAACCTTGCAATTTATCGCAAAGAACGGGCAAACCGCATTGGGGATCGCCAACAAACTCGGCTACATCAGCGTGGTGGAAGAGCTGAAGGTGGTTACCGAGCTCACGGTGAATACGACCAACACCGTGACCGTCGAGGAGAAGTATAAAGTGGTGGCGCCAGAAGCGATGCACGAGACCTTTATGTCTGACTCGGAGGACGAAGGAGGTGAGTAGTTTCGCGCCGCACGCCTTATGTAGAGGCGGGGCTTGAGTAATGTACAGTATTCTCCACCCCTGAACATTTACTAATACTTTGTAACTGTTTTCATTTGAGTTTGACTTGCGATAACCAAGTGACCTTCTTGGCATGCGGTTTCAATTTCCAGTTCTTAATGTACTGACAGTTGATATATGACAGTTAAATAAATAACCAAGGTGGATTAATAAATAGCTTCTGTTCCGTTGCCCGCGGGGGTGTCATACATCTTGTTTGTCTGACGGTTTACCCACATCGGTAAACCTTCAGTTCAGTGTGTTTAATTGTGGTTTTGTCTTTAAAAAAGCTATAGTCTTGGGGTGGGTGGTTTCGACTTAGTAACTCGCGAGCTGTTGCTGTACAAAGTCCGTAGGCCATTTGTAGCTTGTTAAGGGGCCACCGAAACGCGCGGGTGTGAAAATTGAAGCTAAGGGTGGCGGTGGTTGTTTTTGCATGTAGGCGGAGCTGATGAACCGCCGGTGGCTTACGGCCGGCCGACGCATGCGCAACACGTCTATCTGCCTTTCTACCAGGGACAAATGACATACACACGTAAGTCGACCGGGCTCGCGTCAACGTCATTCCCTTCTTCATGTGCAGTGTATCGTAGTCCTTTCATTTTTAGCAGCTTTCCACTTTTCCTTGACGATTTTTTTTTTTAAATATAGTGCTTGCGTTTCGCGCTTTTTGTAAAATACGAGACGCATTTTGGGTTGCTTCATTGAACCAGAAAATAGACCACCGCCAGGTGACGTTATTTTTAAAAATTATTGATTTAAACGCTTACTCTTCCCTTACCTTTATGCATATTCATGTTTGTTGAAGTGTTTATACATAGTGAATTCGATGTGAATCGGAATGGCAATAGTGTGATAGAAAAGTGAGGCAAATTTTTCAATAGAAAAAGACTTATTTACATGCTTAGTTATACATTTAATCAATATTTTGTATTTATTGAAAAGTGGCATTTAAAACAAAAAAAAAACTGCAATATACTGATTTTTTTTTTAAATAATACTCACAAATCACACGCAATGGAAATACTTTATATATTCATATTTATAGATATATTTTATTTTTATAATAATCCGGCCACAATTTAAAAAAAAAATTAAATAATTTTCAAAAATTATTACATGTTACAGTTAGTGTCAAAGAACTATACGCGTTTGAAATGCTTTAATTTAATTGTAATTAATTAATAAACGATTTACCCTCAAAAAATCGAAACAGCTAAAAAAATTAGGAAATGGTATGAATCATAATAAATACTAACGTGTATGACAAAAAAAATCTCCATCACTCCCGGTTTCGGTTCAAAAAAAATTTGCTTCGTAAAATCCATATTGGGTGCATTACGGGAACAATTCTAGTTGGATATATTGAGTTCACTATTTATACTACACAAAAATACTTCAGACGGTTGTCTATTTATTTGATCACATAATCGCTCTTGCATCTTTTCCTTTGGTAAACGCCGCACCTACAAATCGTAATACGTAGATAAGGATTTGCGCAATAATAATCCCTTATCAATTATGTTGTTTTAACGCACGTTAAATTTATCGGTGCGGTTTCGAGGCTCTCTCTCACATTGTTATCAGCGCGACCGGAATCGGTATCCTTAATTTGAAGCGCGTACGCGAATTATAGGTGACGATCCGCTCCAAGGAGACCAGCAGCAGTACAAATACATGACGGTCGACGACATGAAGAGCCTGGGCGACGACTCCATGCGCATGGACGTCACGCACGACGAGAAGAGCGAACACAACAGGCACTCGATGGGTACGATGGCGGCCGGTTCTTCCTTACATAATTCCGATAAGAACGAAGACGTTGTTTCAGCGACGTCGCATGTGAGCAACGAGTTGATAATCGTGCCGATCCACCAAGCCAAAGACTACAGCTCGGCGCCTGACAACGTGGACATCAACAGACAGCCCGTGACGGCCGGGTGAGTGGCATTTTTACTCCTGTATCGAGTTTTCTCCGGTATTTTGTGGGCTTTAACTTTAACTTTTAAATATTATCAAGACAGTTATCTGTATGTCGCACAGTGGTCGAATGAAAGATCCAGTAAGACAATAACCCGAACGACATTTCATTTCTATTCTCTACAACTATTGGGTTAATGTGTATCGAAAAATCATAGACCTTGAACTTATCAGCTTATCAAACTGACCTGTCACTCTAGGCATCCGAATAAAGTGAGTTTGTTTTGATTGCGAAATAATGCATATTTTAGGTTGTTATATGGTGCCGAAAATCATAAACAAAAACCAGTGGTTCGGAAAACGAACAGTGGGGTGTAAAAAGTTTTACACACGCTTGATAAGTACATAATTGCGTAAAGTAGGGAGTAGAAGAAAGATATTTTTGATTTCCACGAAAAATTGAAGTTTACGATACACTGTTTAAGATATTGTTACTTTTTTAATCTGACTAAACAAATAAGTGGCTAACTATTTGCACACTCCTATTCACTATAATTTAAATAAAATCTTTTTGCAGCACCCGTTCGGGTAGAGGTGAAATATTCCAGCCGTCTTTCTGTGAGCTCACTCCGAATTAAAGAAATTTATATAAATTTTACTTAAAGATTTTATTGTTTAATGTTCTAAAAAAATTTGTAGGATAGTAAAGAAAAAACATTTTTTCTACCACTGCTTGGAAATAACACAATATATAAGATTTATTAAAACGAATGATGATGACGTTGGACCAAAACAGTGTGTAGATGTGTAGAAATTCGTAATTTATAGTTAATTCTTTTTATTATTTATTTATTTGTTCAGATTTTCACATAAATATATTTAATTGACAGCTGTTTCGGCAACACCGTGCCTTTATCAATTGTTGCCGAAATAGCTGTCATTTAAATATATTTATGTGAAAATCTGAACAACGTTTGTTCTCATTTAACTATTTTAAATGGATTTTCACCAAGTAAAAGCCACTTCAGCACAATTCTTTTTATTACATTATCACTTATCCACTGTACTAGTTTAATTTGCTTAGATACGTTTTTTTTAATTATTCAATGACTGAGCCTTCTCGTACCGTCGTTTTGCTCTAACGAATCTAATTTTCTTGAGTGCAAATATCTTTACGGCTGTTGCTTTACCTTTATTACTATTAGATAGTTGATTTCGATGGGCTTGCGTAAGAGACCTAAGTAAATAGTTGGCTATGATTGGGCTCTTGGGCTGTGGTCCAATTGTCACTCTGGAAACATACATACTACTCTGCTAAAAATCATGTTTAAATCAGGTGATTAATTCAAAGCTTATCAGTTAGTAAACAAACGAAGAGAAATCGTGCATGATACAAATGTTCACCAAGTTTTAATAAATTAAAATAAATTTATTTTTCATTAAGATATATTCGAACACTTATGAACCATTATAAAGTTTTGTCTAACTGGATAATTTGTTCTTTCAACCATGTGTTGTGGCGGAGACATTTGTTTTATATTACATCAGTCGGTCTGAATTATAATGGCCCACCAGAATATCCCAGTTTTTTTTTATTAGCAGTTGCTCCACCCTTTTAAATTGTTGAATTGTTGTTTTTGTTTCTTCATGTTTTTATTAATGGTGTCAATTTCGATTTCATTTATTATTAGTTTCACTTAAAGACTTGCCACTGTCATACGACCTAGCGATATAGCGTAGTGCATCGTGCGTGCGAACTTAGCAACAAACTGTCTTGATATCTCTTATTTTACCTACCAGTAGCCGCGGACGGCCCCCTAGCTTCTCGCTGACCCCCTGATACTCTTACAGTAGCTTTGTATGTATATGTGTATTTGAAGCTTGTACGCTGCGGAGTCGTTGCGCCTAGAACAAACTCTGAACCGTTTGTGCCCGCGGAGCCGAAGGAGCGGCCTATGCAGAGAAAGGTACTTCCGGTGCCCTTACCTGTTAATGCACTGAATGCCGCACCCCGATCACTAACCTATATATACTTATTTATATAATATGTAATATTGATCGATCGTTATCTATTATTTAGGCACTTTAATTAAAATTGGAGTTTATTATACAGGGTGTTATAGAAATGACGGCGGTACAAAATAAGCGAAGAATAAGAAAGTGATTTACCAGTGTGAATTGACTGTAACTGCAACCATAATTTGATAAGGTCACGAAAGAAGAACCAATTCGACATCAAAGTTCGCTCGTTTAATTAAATAAAATATGATGTCATTTCAGTAACATCCGGTATACGCATTTAATCCCGGCTATCTTGGATTGGTTAAGTTATTCTTCCATTCCTTAAACCGATATAATAATGCTTTCTGCTTTCGAAATTACACAAATTAAAACTAAAAAAAATACTGAATTAAAAAAAAAAGGAAATAATGAACGGGCAAAGAAGTTTGTGTCGTAAAACGCAGCAGCATTTATTAAAAAAAAATAGATGCACGGAAAAAGATGGACGATAAGTTTGTTATCGATTGTGCTCCTACACGGGTTTAAATTGAAATAAATTTTGATTTTACGTGTCAGTAATGCAAATAGATTCCGTCTGGCCCACTGAAATCTCAGTCCAAGCATTCCCAAGAATATGAAGGCAGGACCTTGTGGATACACGGGGTATACGCTAGTAGTATAGGTTCAATTCACTACGTTTGCTAGAAAATAAAACAAAATGGTGGCTACAAGTTCCTGCCGGACGCATTCGCCGTTTTTTGATTGCATTGTACATAGAGATTAATGTTTTGTATGTGTCCTTTTTTCCTGACAGTATCCCCAGTTGGAAAAAGTAAGTTTGTACATAGTTATTTGGGTGTTTCTAGCAGTGCTAGGGCTTGGTTTATAGTGTACTTACTGCATCGTTTGTGAATAACACACCAAGTAGTTTGTAGTTTAATCCACTCGTAATTAATTTCACTCGCCATTCTTTCTTTTTAATATAACCACCTTTTCGGTTTTTGTTTTTCGATACTGCAAACACTACAAGTCACGTAATTTTTTCAAAATACCGAAATTTTGTTTCATCTGTGTTCTAATAAAAATTGCGTCTTCCATAATAATTATCGCCGTTTAATGTTAACTTTAACAATTCGTGTTGACGGTTCTTTTTCCTGCAGTTTCCTGGTGTCGTTCCTGGTCGACGCGAGAGGAGGCGCGATGCGCGGTTGCCGTCACTCGGGGGTGCGCGTCATCGTGCCGCCGAGATGCGCGGCTAGTCCCACTCGTATCACGTGCCGTTACGTGCGGCCCCAGCGTCAACCGCATCCGCCGCCGCTTATGGAAGGCGAAGCCTTAGCCAGCAGGCTGCTCGAACTTGGACCCGTCGGTGCAAAATTTTTGGGGTGAGAATTTCTACACTAATTTAAGCTCCATTTAATATAATAATTAAAGGGTTTACCGTTTGATCCTTCACATGTTATTTAGATCGTATATTTTTCTCTTTTTTTTTAAGAAACTTCCGCAGATTACTGTAATACATTTACAAAACTTCTGGATTCCTCCTGCATCTGTTTTTGCTGAGTAGAACTTGCTGACGTTTCGTCAATCACCAGTTTTCAGTCAAGCTCTGACGAAGCCAACAGGATGATTGACGATGAACTCAGCAAAAACAGAAGTTGAGGTTTCTTTGAAAAATTACTGTAATTCTTTTTATAAAATTTCTGCATTCCTTCTGCGTCAGTTTTTGCTGAGTTGAACTAGCTAACGTTTCGAAAATCATCCTTTTGGCTTCTTCAGTACCTGCTTTTATATTGTTTGTCCTAAGGCTCTTTGATCTTCTTTGAGCCTATTTGATATTTTTCGTCCGGTCTCTCCAATGTATTCTTTGCCGCATATGCATGGAATGTTGTAAACCGACGAATCGAAGATGTTAAGAGATATTTGTTTTGGACAAGTAGTAAATCTGGTTTTGACGTTATATTTCTTTAGAACTTTTGATATGTGGTCAGTGATGTTTTCAATGTAAGGAAGGACAAGTGTGGGATTGCTTTCGGCTTCATTGCTATTGGAAGGTTGTGGTGAAGTGTATTTTGTGATGGAACACTTAATATCTTTAATGTGGAAAACAAGAGAGTTGACAACCGACGATTCACTTCTATAATTCTATAAGTGTTTAAACAGCAGCTTAACATCTTCCGCTTTAAATTTCGAGTGTAGATTCACTTGAATCCATATTTCAAAAAGGAAGCAGAATTCTCCTCTTGTTTTTTCCAAGACAGAGTTGGTATTTTTTTCTATGCGTTATCTGTGATACATAACCACTACTGAGTTAGTAGGAAAATGTTTTACTATTTTTCCAAAGGGATCTTCCAAAACATAAGCATTCTTGTGTTGGTTCGAGAGGACTCCAATGTCAATAAACCCTCTTTTAGGACTTCATCTTCGCTTTCAACGTGTGCTAATAACATTTTTATCTTACCACATTTTTGGTACTACATAATTTTCATTAATCCACGTCTTATATATAAAAATATATATAAAAAATATTGTTCTTGTCCATGTGGTATTTTTTTTTTACTTTTCAGGTATTTTCTTTGCCAACAAAAATTTCATCACTTTTTCATCACATCACTTAACGTTTTCCATATCAATAGTTTACTGATTACTTGCCCAAGGCCCATCAAAATTCTAGGTTTTCAAAATAGGAGTGAACTTTTCTTTGAATCGCATATATTTTGTCATCATCAGATTTTTGCTGGTCTTCCTAGACTCTTTTTGGGAGGTTTCCAAGTGACTTACTGTCTTTCTTTCCTGCAATAATTTCAAATTCAGCCAAATTCAATTTCAGCCTATAATAAGAGAGAGTTATTATATCTTTTTTTCATTGGAATAATGATAAATAGATTAATAGCACATCCTCAAAGTTTTAAAACGCCATTTGGATTGTCTAGATTGTCTATCTGTGTTCATAACTTAGCTGAAATATTGCCCAATTTATATGGTTTTTATATTCGAATTTTGTACCTATCCTTATGATTGAACCTGATATTTGGTCATACTTTGGCTGGCGTACCACAGCGATGAATACTGTGACCGCTTCTCGTTATGTTGACTGATGATCAGCATATCGATATGTTTATTAGTACTTGTGGTCACGCGAATTCATTTCGTTATTAGGCCGGTGATCATAGAAGTACCCCATTTCGCATCGCTGCGTGGAAAGCAGCGCGAGATTATAGTGCTACGTTCGGACAATGGCGAAACATGGAAAGAGCACACCCTGGAGGCGAACGAGGAGGCGATCCAGGACGTTCTGAATCACAGTTTCGACGGCGAAGGTAGTTGGAGGAGTGTTCGGCGAGTATGCGCCCGCGCTAACAAAGTGTCGTTTCTCACGTTTTCAGAGCTAAACCAACTGGAAGATTTGCACACGAGCCGCATCACCAGAATACTGACCAACGACTTCCCTCACTACTTCGCGGTGGTCTCCAGGATTCGGCAGGAAGTGCACGCGATCGGGCCCGACGGCGGTACCGTCTCCAGTACTGCGGTACCTTTGGTTCAGGCCGTGTTCCCGCCGAACGCGTTAACCAAAAAAATTCGGGTTGGTTTGCAGGTTAGTCCGATTTGTTTGTACTTTTGACTCTAGTTGTAAACTAATCTGGTAGATAATGAAAACTTGCGACAACGCTTCTCTGTCGCAATATGTAAAAGAGGAGAGTACACAGCACTTTGATTTTTAGCAGTGTCAGTCGCCATTCCTCACATGAAACATAATTTATTAAAATTTTCTGTTATGTTCCCTCCATTCGTAAATCTGCTGTCTATGTAATATTAAAAACGAACCTTAATATTGCCAAATGTACGATTAAAATAGTTTAGTAAAATGTTTAGTAATTGTTTCGCACAGGAGTTTTCCAAAGTATTGCCAACTTGACGAACTTTAATCTGTACCTGTAAGTGAAGAAAGACAACGCTTAGACCTTAGCAGACAAACTGTGCTTTCTCCTGAAAATAGCACTCAGCTTTACGTCAAACCTAGTGAATAATTTTGCTCCTTTCTTTTTAAAACCTTGTATCTAACTACTTTATCGTATTAACTTTTGTTAATGTTTCATTATGTCTATTGTATATTATTGAAGATTTCGATAATATTTGTTTTTATTAATCATTTTCAAAAATACCTAGTAAAAGAGGAAGTGAAAAACATATTTTAAAGTTCGTCAAATTAGCAAGATTTAGGAAAATCCCCTGCATGAAATAATTACTTGGGCCACTTAATTAATTACTTAAACTCTGGGAAACGCCTTTGACTATATTACGGTCCATTTTTAATATTATAAATGCAGTAGATTGGAAGATAGAGATCATAAAAAAATGTGTTTTTTCCAAGAAATTAGCAACGTCGGCATTAAAATTCAAAAACACTCTTGGTGCCTAATCAACATTTGGAGGAATCGTAATACGTAAATATATTTTTGTATTGCCACGCGTTTCTGAATCGAGATTATTTTTTAAAATTTTCCATTTTATGCAACATTTATTAAAACTTTTTTTCACAGTAGCATTAAATAGGGGAGATATAGTACTTTCCGACATTGGAATGCCACTGTGGAAACGAATTTTTCAAGCCCTTTTTGAAGCGTCTTGTGCTTCATCGTCATTTATTATTATAATAGGCTCAGGGTATCGAACCGGAAATCGTGTCCAAACTCCTAGGCCACGGAGTGGCGGTGTCCCCTATCGTGACGGTGGAACCGAGACGCAGGAAGTTCCACAAGGCGATCATGTTGAGCATGCCGGCACCGAAGGCCCACTCGCAGGGAATGATCAATCAGTACCAGGGCGTTTCCAGCACCACTTTGCGGTTGCTGTGCTCCATTACGGGTAAGTTCGCGCTCTGATGTTCCATTAGGGTGCCTTTTCATGTTGCACTTTACACCGAACTGTCGCTTTTTCATCTTGACTGTTGAATTGCAGCTGTTAGAGTTTTAGACCGGAAAATAGAGTCTCGTTTTCATTTGACATTTGATAGTTTTACTACATTTATTGAAAGTGTGATTGTTCTAATCGAAGTGTCTTCAACAGGGGAGCATTTACTTGTGACATCTAGTACCCACTCATTATAAAATAATACAGGTGATATAAATAAAATTCAATTCATAACAACACCATTTTCTGGTTCGGACCATTATTTTTATATACAGAATTTAAAACAGGGTCTTAACACTATTTCGCAACGTACATTTCAAACGTCCCATTTGTAATTCTTGCTAAATAGTGCATGTTAGCATATTTTAAAATAAATGTGAATTAATGTTGTCTCTATTGTTGCCACTGTTGTTTCAACCCCTCATGCTTCTCTTAAGGAACTAAATCAGGTAAAATTTGGTTCCGTTTATACTCTACCTAAAAGTGCCTTGGCTTTTAATGCACCTATAGTATATACTCTACATTCTGATAGTTCGAGCACATTATTGAATATTTGTACCCTTCTTTTTCGTTCGGTACCGTAATTGCGACTAATTGACGATAGGGGGCCAAAGTAAAGCCGTGTGGGAGGACGTCACGGGGTCCACGCCCCTCACGTTCGTCAAGGATTGCGTTTCTTTCACGACCACCGTGTCGGCCCGTTTCTGGCTGATGGACTGTAGGAACGTCGGCGACGCCGCCAAAATGGCGACCGAACTGTACAACCAGGCGGCGCACGTGCCGTTTATGGCCAAGTTTGTCGTATTCGCGAAACGGATCAGTCCATTCGAGGCCCGCGTCAGGGTGTTTTGTATGACGGACGACAAGGAGGATAAAACGTTGGAGCACCAAGAGCACTTTGTCGAAATCGCCAAGAGTAGGGATATTGAGGTTCGTTTTCTCTCTTTGTTGTTGTTGTTGGTGGTGAATCTAATCGAGAATGTATTCGTCACAATTTCAGGTTCTTGAAGGCAAAGACGTGTTCATGGAGTTCGCCGGCAACTTGGTGCCCGTGCTGCAGTCCAACGACCAACCGACGTTAGGCTTTAAAGCGTTCAAAGAGAACAGATGCGCGTTCATTATGAGACTCAGGGATCATGTTCGTGAGGCCTCGGTATACGACGCGCGGTGTCCCTATAGGTTCCACTGTTTCAGGACGAAGAGCCCGCGGGAAGGATCGTTTTCATGGCGGATCCGAAAGTGGGACGTGCTGGCTGGGTTCCGAGTCAGCCTCTGTGCACGTTGAATCTGACATTGCCCAAAGACCTGTTGCCCGATCGCGACTCTCAATCCGATCTCTTATCTCTAAACAAAGACTTTAGTTATCTGCAGCATGGCGGCATCAGTAAGTATTGGGACCGGGAAGTAACGGCGGCAAAGAGAACCGGAATTCTTTTCCAAGGTAAACCGGACACTATACACCGCGCGGATCTGAGACTGTCCGACATTTGTAATTTGCTCGACGACGACTGGGAAAAATTGGCTCTGGAGCTCGACGTGCCGCCCTCCGACGTCGATATCATTAAAGAGGAGAGTACGGCCAATCATCCTCAGCGGGCGATGATCATGTTCCGCCTTTGGCTACGTCAGAAGGCCAACAAAGCCACAGGTTAGTTAGTTGCGAATATTAATGTTGATGTGCTTTGTGGCCCCTTGCAGTTTGCAATTAATTTTTTTTTTTTACCTTTGAGTCGGATTATAACTTTCTGCAACCACTTGCCGCTATCAGTTATTAAAATGGGATATTACAGGTAATAAACTGGAACTAGCGCTGAACAAAATCGGCCGCCAAGATATAGTCGACAAGTGCTTGTGCAACGTGGAGCTAGTGACGGACGATATGGAAAAGGCGCTGGCTAAAATCCACCTCGATCAATCGGGATTTGATAATCTCAAGGAGGAACTGGGTCCGTCGCGGGACACCTCGTTGAGGCGGGACGCGCATTTAGACAACTCTTATTTGGAAAGCGACAACGATAAAAGCGGTAAGTGACATTGACAATGGCGGACAATTTTCTGTATTGTATTTTATTTTATGCTGGCAGCAGATTAAATATGGGCGGGGATCAAGGTTTATAGCGGTATATCGCACTAGCGGGACTGATTATGTCCTTTATTTATTTATTGTTGTGATATTTTACAGAAAAATTAGATACTCCTAGGTGTTAAATAGAGAAGTTTAATATACAGGAGTTTAGTTTTCCCGGTTTCACAGCTAAGTATAAAAATTGCGAGAGAACAAAAGGAAGACAAATGTCAAGTCCTATATCTATCTCTTCGTCATAACTTTTTATAACCCATTCATTGATCAGTCCCGCAGATTATAAACTTTGGAACCGTATTAACAACAACAAAAAATAAATAAAAATAAAATAGAAACAAATTTCTGTAAAAATTTTATTCTTTAGGTGTATCTTGCAATTCTAACCACCTACGATAATTGTTTTTTACAAAAACATCTTTATCTTAAGAAATTGGCCCTATTTTTAAAAGGACGCAAATGGTGTCTGTGGCTTATCGAGAAGGTGGAAAAGTTTGTGGCAAAAAAAAAAAAAAAAATATATATATATATATATATATATATATATATATATATATATATATATATATATATATATATATATATATATATATATATATATATATATATATATATATATATATATATATATATATATATATATATATATATATATATATATATATAACCATCAGTTAAAACACTATAGAGGGCTTTGAAAAATCAGGACTTACAGCAGAAAACTGTTTTTAATAAATTACGATCAAATTTCTATCGACTAGGTAGATGTCAAAGCAGCAAAACTGTTTAATAAGTTACCAACAGATCCCAATTTAAAAATAAGGACTATCTAGGTATATATAGGAAAAAGAGCCTCCTTGTATTCACTTGAAAAGTTCTACAGCTTCACATGCATATGGTCAAACAATAATAAGTTGCCTTACTGTTATCATGTTAGCTTTGATTTTCTTCTCAGTTTTTTTTTCTGATATCTTTTAGTATTTTTGATGTCAGATTTTTATGTAATACTTATGTCGGTCCTTAATATATAGAATAAACAATTATTATTGTTATAATTGAATCAGTTTTCCATTAGGAAGTTTCCCTTTAAAAGTGTCGCACCGCGTACAACGTCCGATTTCACTTCCAGAACTAGACTTAAACAAGAACAGGGAGCCGACGCGCGCCGACGAAATCCTTGACAACCAGTCCAGGCTTAACGGAAACGCGAACGAGGAGGAGAGGGCGCTGGTAGAAATAACGCAGCGACTGAACACATTGGCGACGAACGCTGACCGCGTGAACAGTTTCGGCGACACGCCTCCTCCCAGCCCGACGGGCCCGGGCAACGATAACGAACAGCCGCTGGCCGAAATAGAACGACCCAAAGGTGATTAGATCATCAGCCTTCCCCTGTTCACTAGCCTTTCATGCCATCGTTTTAATATAGCGTTACAAAAATGTCACTCTTAAATGTTCTGGTTACGGGAAAGCGTTTTAAAAACATTTACTTTCACAATAATACCAAATAAAGTTTTGATTGAACTAGCCTATAGAAAGGTTGGAGTCTTTAAGAGCGGTTTGCAATACTTGTAGAGCGAATATATAAGATTAGTAGCGCGAAGTCGGCAAGGTATTATCATCTCGTCGGCTAATCTGGCTATATAACCTCAATCCTTAATTAATAAAAATAACAAAGTTTTTTGAAAAAATTTCAAAATCGTCTTTTGGGGGGTTTTCCTCAGGTTCGAATCGATGTTCTTCGAACAACTCTCTAAGCAATAACAAAAATTATAACCATAACAATTATTTTGAATGTTCTTTTCTTTCACTGCTAAGCACCTTAATAGATTTTATTACAACTGATTTTTGAAAGGCTACTAAACCAAAAACTTCATTGCGTTAACTGTACTTTCAGTGAAACGAGAGATTTTCCTGATTTCCCAGGTTTCTGCTATCCTGTTTAATATTCTTTCATATGCGTTTATCGATCGGTGTTGCATTTAATTGATAGTTCTCGGGCACTGATTCTTGAGTAATTTGTTTAACAGTTGCTTATGACCGGTTCACTGTTGTGATGGGGCAATTTTTTATCCCAATGTCATCGAAAAAGTGTTCTATATCGATATCGCGATGGTGAGCTTCTCCTTTACAAAACTAAATTCTTTCGATGGTGACGCATGTTTCTGTGGCGTTTATTCCTTTCCGCTCGTCCACGTAAGGGCATTGTTGTATGAAAATCGATGGTAAATGTGGTAAAAGGAAAATATTCCGGATCTTAAAAATCTTGGATTTATTGCAAAGATCGTTTTTGAATATATGACATTTACGAGTATTCCCAAAATTGGATAATAGGATAGAACATTCTTAAATTATGAAATTTTATTGATATATAAAAATATTTAAGGATTTTATTCAAGTCTAAAATACTATTTGCAAAGTAGGTTATCTAGAAACCTATTTTTGCAATCTAAAATGCGTTATAATCCCGTGCAAATTAAGGTAGTTTTGTAAATAATTTACCGTTAATACTTCATTTTGGAATGTTTCTAAAGCATTTTCAAGTTTTTGTTGGGTTTTGTTTCTTTAGCTAAATTAATTTGGTTTTTCTCAAGTGCGTTGCTGCTTTATAATAATTTACGTTGCAGATAGCCATTTATTTATTATGACCCCGTATATGTGGGTGTAAATTTTTCAAACCTATTATTAACTATTTGAAATGCATTCTCTATGCATTCTAAATGACTGATGATTTGACTTGAATCCATTTGATGAATAAATAAGTGTTTGTTGCAAATAACTAATTACTAATTTACTAATTACTACATTACTGATTCAGTAACTTGTATTTCTGTTAATACTATTTGTTCAGATAGAACTGTTGGGAGTAGAAAAGTCATCATTTTCATTTTTATTGCTCTCGGTTTCGTATTCTTGCGTCTCCTGCTTAACTCAATTTTCCAACTCGTCAAATGTGGGTCGTATCTTTGATTCTGCTGTCGTCTGCTTCTCTTATGATGGATTTGTGTGTTGAAGGATTTGAGGGTGCAGAAAGTTCAGAACTCCCGAAATCCTACTGACAGCACCACTTAAATGTAACCAGCACAGCGGAAGAGAGTTTTATACGTGATTCGCGGCGCCAAGTCGACACGGTATTATCTCCTCCTGGGTTGTGCACTTCGTCGGCTGGTGTGGCTATATAACTTCCACGATTAACCTACACTCACAATACTGATAATTTATGTAACGTCTATTTTTTTTTTTCGCACAGTGGTATCCGTTCTATTCTGTCCAACCCTTTATCACTTTTATAGGTTGCAGCGCCTTCTCGCTTTGGGTGTCAAATGCTCTAGTTTTCTGTTGATCGGACGTTTATTTCCGAGTTTCTTTTTGCTCGCTGGTGGATGCGTCGTCGGGTCGCTCGTCACAATAGCTTCCTCTCCTTTGTATCTGTGATTTTTTTTTTTTGCTTTGGTTTTGGTGTACGGAGCGGAGCCGCTTCTAATTAATTCGCACTAACCCACATACATACAAGCACCTTCTCTAGCATAAGCCACTCGTGCAGTTAGATTGTTTACTTGGCTGATTTCCAAAAGGAAACTCTGGCGGTGGAGGAGAGGTCTTCGCTTCTACTCCCTTAAAGAGCAGGGAGATCCAGCCGACCGCGGAGCGTATCGAAAATCTGAAGCGAAACATCAACGACACGTTGACGTTTCTGCATCAGGAGCGTAACGATTTTCTCTCCGAGGACGACGTCATAATACCGAAGCGCAAAGACGATCACATCGCTAAGGAAATCGACCTCGAGTACATAAACCTGAAAACGCCAAAGAGAAACGTCGAATTTAATTTCGACGCGGTGGCGCCCCCTAGCCCGGAAAAATCGAAAATTAGATTCGAGGGGGACGTCGATCTCGAGCGAGAGTCCCCGCCCAGCACCGAGTACGACGATTCCTTTAGGGACACGGTCGAAGAAGAGGTCGATCGGGTGATTAAAAAGGCGGAGGACGTGGTGAACGCGCGGATCGATGTCGACAGCGTCGGCGACGAACCCAAAACTAACACCGAGGATTCGCTCGATAATTTGGAGTCGCTGAAGGACGATTCGATTTCGATAATTCAGGAGAAAAGCGAGGAAGCCTTTCGGTTCCTGGACAAGGAGGCGTCCAGCCCCTTGACGCTGCGCCCGAGTTTGGAGGAGACGTTGGCCAGGGCAGACGCGGAGGATCGGAAAGGCGAATTCGAGACTACCGCGGCGTTTTTAAAGGGGGAGGTCGAGCATGCGCGGCGAGTCGTTGACGACGATTCGAGCAGGTCCGAGGAGTCGTGGTCGCCTAAAAGTCCGAGGAGTTCGATTCCGGTAGCCAAGGCCCGGAAGGGCAAGGACAAGAAGAAGAAGCAAGGTAGGTATCGCGTTTCGTCTAATGATTTGCTATTATTTCGGTTGTAAAGAATGAAAGTTTAAAAAGCGTGCATAAAAATCGACTCATTATAAATCTAATTTTTCAAAGAAACTTCCACAGGCTACTGTAATACTTTTTATCAAATTGTTAATTCCTCCTGCGTCGGTTTTTGTTGAGTCGAACAAGGTAAGGTTTCGCAAATCATCCAGTTGATTTCTTCAGAGCTTGACTGAAACTGGTTCGCATTTTACTCTGTAGCTGCTTTTATATTGTTTGAGGGAGCTAAATGAGGGCCATAAACACCGTTTCGGTTGACTGGTTCCCATATTAGTGACAGGTCGTGAGTCACAGTTAAGATTGTTAGGTTGCTTATAGATTTCTTAAATTCTCGGATTCTTTGTTGGTAGAAGAATTGTTTTAAAGCAAGATTTTGAGTTTTATCGAATAACATTTTATGTCCGATTTCGTGATTGTGTTCGGCAACTTCTGATGAGTTTATTTGTCTTAGTCATAATGCTCTTTTATGTTCTTTGAGCCTAGTTGATAAAGAGCCGTAAAACTATCTTAGCCCGAGTCATTGAACCCAGATTAAAACACCTTGCCTCTGCGCTTCTCTCTTAAAATTTGCACATTATTTATTATTTATATTAAGAGTTCCATCACAAAATACACTTCATCACCACCTTCCAATAGCAATGAAGCCGAAAGCAAATTCAATTTGAGATGCCAGGAGTTTACAACAGAGACGGAACGAAAAGTATCAACTAGGCTAAACTCATCAGCAGTTGCCGAATACAATCACGATACCGGACATAAAATTTTATTCGATAAAACTAAAATTCTTGCATGTAATGAGATTCTATAGAAATACATAACAAACCTGTCACTAATGTCGGACTCAGTCATCCGAGACGTTGGCGAAACGTTAACTAGTCCGACTCAACAAAAACCGACGCAGGAGGAATCCAGAAGTTTTAGAATAAGTATCATTATAAATCTGTTGACCACTAAATATAAAATATATAGATAGATAGACAGTCACTGACGATTACTTGGGAGTAAGAGAGATAGAATCAGTTGCACTTGGCATTTATTAATTTAACTAGTACGCCCATATTCAGAGATACATTCATGTATTTTCTATGTAATAATAGATCAGACAGATAATTTATTAACTATTGTCCAAAAACTCTGTCTATGCGATAAAAATTCAAACAATAACAAAAAACATGGAAATATAAAAATTATATATCCTACTGTATAAAATATTTTTTGCCAAGAGTAAATATACAAGTAAACCATAGTTAGTTTGTATTTACGATGAAACATCTTCATAATCAGAGCTAAAATTGGAACTGCTACTACCAAAAAAATGATCCTTCCTCTACACTAATAACAAGTGGTATTTTTTTAATATATTTTCTGTACGTGTTATACAATTGATCCAATTTTCTTCGGTAACTATCGGGAGAGCTGCCTTACAAACGGACATTACTGCAGTATCATCATGCCTTACCTCACATACAATATTTTTATTAAAAATATTTTGCACTGGCCCCACACCTTGCATTAAATATACAATGGTAAAGAGGCAATCTTAAAACTTAATGACCCATTTCAGCAATTATTTCGTCTGCAGCATACGGCAAGTTTGTTTCGTAATTTTTGACAATAAGACGGTCTTTCGAGTTTCCGCAGCAGCAAAAATGCGACCGTGTTTTGTAGTGCTAGTGTAGTAATAGGTGGTATCAATGTCTAGTGCACTAGCAGGTAAATGGGACTATGCCATCGCAAATAGTACCGAGTATACAAGGTGTGTTCAAAAAGTAAGGTAACTTTTAAGTTTGATCAAAAACGTTTTATCAAAGGTTTTTTCGAATCCTCGGAGCACTTTCTGGTGTAGCCTTGAGTTCTTTCAGCGATTATTTTCTTTATCTCCTCAATCGTTCCAAAACTCCTTCCTTTCATGGGTTTCTTGAATTTTGGGTTCAAGAAAGAAGTTTCGGAACAAATTTTGTTGCTATAGGTTCCATGCAAAAAACTTCGGAAAAAATTGCATGGCACCAGCCAACACAGATGCCGACGTCTTCGGACACTTCTCTAATAGTGATTCGACGATTTTTCAACACGCTTCCATGAGGGGCGTGCTGGAGCGAGGTACGTCATCGGCGTCTTCTCGGCGATCTTGAAACGGCTTGTGTCACTTATAAATATTTTTTTCCTTAATGTATATTCACCATATGCCATTGTCAAAATTTCAAGTGTTTTGCAGCACTGTATTCCATTGTTTACACAAAATCTCACACACACTTTGCACTATTTTTTTGACAGCAGAAAAACACGTCTACGCTTCTGTCCCACAAGAAAAAGTAAACGTACAGACTGACTAAAACTGTGAACATCTGTTAGGGACATGTGTACCAACATAACATAACGAGGTGGGTGAATCTCTAGGCAGTTTTGATGTTTAACAAGTTTCATTAAAAGTGAACAAATTTAGTGTACATATGTGGATAATATTCCAAAATGAGTGTTAAAAAGGTATATTATATAGTATAGTATGTCGAGGAAAAAAAATCCACCAATTTTTAGGGTAAATAGAATGTATATAATCGAATATCAAAAAATATTAAATTTGAAACTAAACATACAAAAGTAACTGCTGAAGAAATTTTAAAATTTTGTATAGGAGCGTCGCTAAATGGAACTTACCCATAATTTACAAATATTTTTTAAGGGCGAATTTTTCAACAATTTGGCATAAAAAAATACTACTCCTGTCAGTCACGGTCGCGAGCCACTCTGCATATTTTCGGTATTCTAGTGATGTGTCTAGGAGCGGACAGATGTTTTCAGAAGATTGTAGTCATGAACATTTGTCAGTTCTAATGCTTACGTGACACGACAATCAGTGGATGTTTCTACTGTCTTGCGCAAATGTACCCAAAAACTAATGCTCATAGAAAACGTATAGTATCCAACACGTTGATAAACTTCCACGCTCGTTCGCTTCGCTCGTGTCAAAACAGACTCGTGACTAAAATGGCGTTCATCAAACTTCATCAGAAGGAATTGTGGTCTAAATTTCATTTTTAGGGCTCCTTCTAGGGAGGAACATTTTAGAGCACATAGCTTATTAATTAAGCTATTATAATTTATATTTACGCACAGTACCACAAATGGAATCAAATGTGTAGTTGATATTGATTTTTTCAAAAATACCAAATGCTCCCTTGTGTAAAATACTTAATTACACACCGATCTAGCGTGCGGTAAGCATAACTTTTCCAGGCCAGTTTCGTTTCCCACGGATCTGCGCCACTTCGGACATTTCCGGGATTTTACCGCACGGGTTTGGGAGCAATCGGATCGGATATTTCCCACGCCTTGAATTGTGATGTTTGTCAATTCTGACGTTCGTATCAGTGAATGTATTCGTGTTGTTTCGCGAAAATGTACTCAAAAACTAACGGTCCTAGAAAAATTATAGTATGCAACACGTTCGGTAAACTTTTTAAGTCACTCGTTTATTAAACACTCGTGAGTCAAATGCCGTTTACCGCACTTGTTGCATGATATATTACCGAGAGTTATTTAGATGTACTAAGAAGAAAGAAGAGAGAAAGTGTAACTTAGGACGAAGGTGTGGTAATTTTGATCAATTAGAAGATGTATTTCTGACCCATTGGTTCCTTTTTAGCCCTTCATAAAATTGACTTAAATCTACCTGTTTTTTAAAATTATTTTTTATTGCTATTTAAATATTACTGAGTAGGTAGTGGCAGAAAGACCGAACAACAAACTAACCAAAACAATATTAAATTTGATTAGGTCTATGCCTTATCGTGCGACAGCTCTTATTTGGACAGAGTCTCTTATTATTAAATATTTAGGTTGTTAATAAACTATAACTTTTATTAGGAATAAAAAAAAATTCTGCATTAACATCACAATTTCGATTATAAGGGCATGCATCGTTTAGTTGTCTCGATTTGGTTAATAGATTGTAAAAACCGTTCGACTTTGATTTCTATGCACGCTTATTTTGAAATCTTTCGGTTTCATTTCTCGTTCATGGCTTTTGTCATCATTCACACGCGTTTCACCCCATCAGTCCACATTGTTTCCTATAAAAGTCAACGGGGTTTTTTAATATAACAATGTATTCGTAAAACTACAGCCCGACCATAAAATTATAACCAAACCAGTACGCAGGCGCATGCATGGCAGCGGTCTATTATCCGCATTTTATAGAGAAACCGCAGGACTCTGAGGAACCGACGCCCCGCGCGCGGGATCGTAAATCTCCAGTCGACGACGACGGCGACGACGACGAAGACGAAGATGTTCTGAAGAAAATACCGGTGGTAAAGGGCGGAACCAAAGTGAAAACGATAAAAAAGCACTCGAAAGACCCTCTCAAAGAGTTCGTCAACATTTCCAAGGACGTGAACTGGGACGAGGACGACGACGAGACGGTGACGACGAAAATCATAAAGACGGTCACAGCCGATCCGATTGTTAAGACGACGGTGACGCGCATCTCGAGCGACGCACTTCCCGAACACATCAAAAGTAAAATACCGAAATTGTCGTCGGCGCCGTCGCCACACAAGGAACTCGACTGCGCCGACGACGGCGCTATCCACAAAAGTAAAATTCCGGTACTGAAGACCGAGAGCGTTCTGATAACGTCGCCGACAGAGGCGCTTGTATCGCCCACTTCCCGGACGTCGAACAAGAGTAGCTTGTTGGATTCAGATTCGGAGGAGGATAGCAGGAGGAGTTCGCCCCCCTTAAAGGGGATCCTGAAGAAGACGTCGGCGCCGGCGCCGACTAAAACGGTCGGCAGTTCGAGTGGTTCAGACGTCGCTCTCCACGAGGAGGGCGCGGAGCTGAGCTCAGATTCAGGTACACATTTATACGAGTTAACGATGCGGAATGTTTTTCTTTGGTTGCCGTAGAGTTACGCCAAAGATTACTGTAAGGGCCGGCTTCGTACCGTGTATTTGGCAAATCTGTCTGGAAGATTTTTATTTCCTAAAAATGTCTCTGGAAACCAAAACCATTTCCAAAACGTATTTTTGAAATCGCAGAAGAAAATTAAACAGGAGCAAAGTAATTTATGTTGTCAAATTTCGGTAATTTTATCCCACCTAGTATAATTCTATGATTTGAACTGACGAAAAAAACGTGTATGGTTTTACCCTACTCTTTAATAGAATTACATTATCCTACCTATTCCAAGATAAAGTCTGTTCATAGATAACTAACTAGTGACTAACTGATACGAATTGAATTTTTTGCATAATTATCACAGACGTATTCCATTTGTAAGTTCAAACTTTGGAATCGAACCATCTTTAGAGCCAGCATGCAAAATAGTTATTCTTTGACCGCTTTTTGATGGCGCGTTTATTTTACACTTATCAGTTGAGTCAACCCAAACCTTTTCCGGGGTATCATAAGTGTCGAACCAGGTTTCATCCAAGTAAGCCCTTGTTGTTCTCTGTAAATCCTAATTTTACTTGCCTTTTGTCAATTTTTTTAAATCTAAAACCCATGTGTTGAATACACTTCCATAAGGTAGTTCTGCCACATTTAACACCGCTTTCATCTTTTTCAAGACTCCTAATTGAGATATCTAAAGTAGGCACGCTTTGTTCTTCGTATAACTGGTAAATTTTATGCCGTATTATATCTTGATCACTTTCAATCTACACTCGAGAAAATGTCAGCATAGTTTCTTTTTTTCCTCGCCGAAATGGGATTATTCACAAATTTCCATACAGTCGATGTTGGAATTTTCGTCAATGTGGCCGTTTCTTCTAAAGATGCTTGCTTGCTGGCACCACGTTCAATGAGAGTCAAATAAACATTGTTTATAACTTCCTTAGTCTCAATAGAATAGTGTTTTCTACATTTGGGCGGGAGCATCTCCTGAGATACACTAGACCCGCACATATTTTGCATAATTCGCACACGATTCAACACAAGCTGTATTATACACGAAATAAGAATGATTACCAATAAACTTAATCTAATTAGTATCCCAAACCAAAGAATATTAAACACAGGTAGGTATAAAATTATTTTCTATTACGGACCACAATTTTACCTGAATTTAAATTCCGAAACTTTAGGAAATAATGTTGTTGCATTGTATGGTAATGACCACCCTTGGATAATCGCATTCAAAAGCAATTGGTCACTTTCTTATATCTATGAACAGACCATACCTAGTATTTACTGTCAGCTCTAATAGAATGAATTCAAGAAAGGTGCCGAACAAAAAGATCTGATGATTTCGTATAAAATAGAATTGCCTCAGATATTAGTGGCCACACCCAGTAGGTTTTGTTAGTCTAAATAGCTGCATAAATTGTCTTGGAAACCTCAAAAGGGATCCGTTTGAATAAGCTCAGCTCTTTCAATCTCAACTTCCTCCAGAACCAAAACAAAACTTTATAGGTTGCAATAAATTTCTTCCTGGGGAATAACAATTTCCATGTTTTTTTTTTTTAATAGAAATTTTTGGTTGGTTGGAATTAAAATTTGAAAAAAATAGAACGTTACATTTGCACGCCGAGTGGTAGTCGAGCTGGACGTTATAGTAAGCTGCGGTTGTATCATTAACCGGTAGTTTTGTCTAGATTAAATGCATATGTCCAAGTTACGTGACGCAGTGCTTGGTTCTGAGAACCGCGTTAATTGTACTGGGAATGAGACCCGAGAAGTTGCTTATGACGACCGCGCAACATATATTGCTGACGTTATGCTTGTCGGTGCGTTAGGCACGCGATCACATAACATAAAAGAAATTCAATACGTTATAAAAAATCCATATAGTCAAATACAGTCTTATCATGCGTAATTTTTATCACAAAAGAAAAAGAAACGTGAAAGTTTGTCGTTGATAAATCGTAAGACCGGTTGATTTTGACTAAATAAATAGAAAACATATTTATACTTATTTTAAATTGATTTTTTTTTGCCTTTTCGATTGAAAAATGAAATCACGCACTTATTTTTATACCAAAAAGTGTAATGAACTATTTTTTTATTTCACATAAATTACATAACAAAATATCAAAAACATACCGAATTTGCTGACAAATAAATATTCGGACGCATTTAAATCGAACATTAATAAGAAGTAACATCACCTTTCGCGACAATAACAGCTTTTATGCGTTTTGGCATGGAATCTACCAAAGTCTTGCAATATTCGGGGGTGAAAGTGTTCCAAATTTTGATGATTTTTGCTTTTAATGCTGAAACTGTACGCTGAGGATTGTTACGCAGCTTTTTCATCCGATGCCATAAAGTTTCAATAATATTCAAGTCGGGGCTACTTGATGGCCACGATAAAACTTTCATATTATGGTCCCCAAACCACTTGTTTGTTGTTTTCGCAGTATGGCAGGACGCACCGTCTTGTTGAAATATAAAATTTTCATTTCCAAAAGTTCGTTCTATTGATAAAATTTGTTGATATTTTTCTGCATTTACAGTACCATCAATGAACTCGTAGTTGCCAAACCCTTTACCACTCATACACCCCCATATCATAACACCCTGGGAAAATGTTACCGTGATTTTGTCCGAATCACCCTTTTTCGAAAATCGCTTACACATACATCAAATTTTGCTTCGTCGCTGAATAAAATTGTCTTTTTTATCATTTTTTTTACATCGTCCGAACATTTAGTTGTTAGGGCTTGTAAATGTAAATCGATTTTGTTGATGCGAACCGAATTTTTCGTTTTCAACAAATATAGGAAATGAAAACTGTGTTTCCTCAGTTCTCGGTTCCAAGCACTGTGAATTATACGATAATTAGGAATTTTATAGCATTCAAATTTATTTAATTTTTTGTTGTAAATCAATAATTTATTGTTGTTTTGCAGATGCTAGAGAATTAATGCATTAATATACAGTCCTGCTCTTTATCCTGTGTTACTCACGAATTAACCATATTAAATTGACATTAACTTACCAAATTCTAACTTACTGACCGCGTACACCTAGTTTAAAACCACTAACTTTCTAAATCTTATCGAATTTCGACCAAAGTAGTTACTATTACTCTCCATGCGCAGACGACGTGTAACTTAATGTTAATTTGGATGGTTGCGTTTATCGATTTACCAGCGACTTACGATGCATTTTTAACCGAAAGTTGATCGACCGGCCGAAAAAAACTACTTAGGCAGCTCCTGGCATGTCCTTTATCCCATAGTGTGGTCGTTAATAGCATTGGCAACAAGCATGATCGTGTTGGCACTGCTCGCACAATATTGACTCACGGTATGCAATCTGCGCAATGTTTTTATTTATTTACACACTTATGCGGACAGATCAGACACACATATACACAACTACACGCCATTTTGACGATTTGCATGATACCCAAGCCAAGAAGATTGTTATCTTTAAAAAAAAATTACGAACCCACGGACCCGATTAGTAGTGATCTTTGATCCAGATCGCTAATTACTAGTGACCCCTCTCCTTTTTTAAGCCCCGCTCTCTTTTAAACTCTGTTCAACCGAAGTAATTCCTACCATGAGAGAATGAATCTGGTGCAGGACTTCCCGGTTGTACGAGATGTTTGAAAACCAAATATATTTGAATAAATTTAGAACGTTGATTATATTATGCCAGCCTAGCATTGAGAGCGGCTGTGTATGTCCAACATCCTGTTTAATTTATAATTATTTGTTTTCGGTTTTTTAATTTTATTTTTTGACTTTTGATTTTTCCCGTTTTTTTCAGTGATTTTGCACCATTATTATAGTTTATGTAAGTAAACATGTAGGTGTGACGTCGTCCTCTTGGCGGACGCGTTGCGTCCTCGATCAGTTTTCACTTTGAAGATTTTACGCACAGATTAAAAGCGGCTATATTAAAATGAGGCATGAAAATTGAATTCAAAATCGCTTAGTAATTAATTTTGGTAGTTGACCAGGATACTAAACACGTAACACCTCTACCACCGCATTCGAACGATCTGTATGCAAAGAACGCGGTGTTCATTTTCCTCTTCTACGGCTTTGCGTTGTTCTTTGTCTATTTGTTTTTCATTATTAGCTGCTTTTTAAGCTTCCCGTAGTTCTTTTCGTACAGACTAAGTCGTGGGGCGGCGAAAACATCCGAGTTAGCCGAAAAACGCTGCATGTTATCCCCTTTCCGTGACTAACAGTTTAATTTTGAAACGATTTCGAATGTTTTTCACCTAATTCGGATTCGCCCCAGCTTACGGGACGCGAGCCCATTTAGTTCAGTCCGGTTTTTCACGCTTTCCAGAAGATTTTTACCATCAGGAACCACAGTTCACCGAGATGACGTTCGAAGAAATCGACCCTGCCACCGGAAACAAGTAAGCCGTTAGTCCACACGAACTAATTACGGACCTGATATATTTTTTTATGCCCCGTCAATCAATTTTTCATTGTTTCGCGTAAAATCATTCGAACCAAATCATCCCATAGTCGAATTTTCTAAAAAAACAACCTTATTCGATTGCCAGATGGCGCAATATTTGACGAAAATCCCGTTGACAGGGTAACGAAGACGGTGCGAACGCTGGTGTCTCACTCTCTGGCGTCGCCGGTCTACAATGAATCGGAACTTCGCCAGACGATGCAGAACGTTTTAGATCAGTTCATGTCGGAAGAGCGCAATCCACGATAATGTGCCGCCAAATGACAAAACGTGTTTTTCTCACAGTATTGCATCCAGTGATAGCCAGTCTACTTTGCATTTGTTTATTTTTCTCGCTTATTGATAGGGAACTGCCGCGACCAATTTTTCAGTTTTTTTACTTAGTATGTTTCCTTACTCGTTAGGACTAATCGTTCGCCCGCGAATGTTTAAATCGTAGCCGATTTAATGAAGAAAAAAAAGAGTAATATATTAAAGTTTAGCCTAGCTAGCCCAGTTCACTTTAAGCCGTTTAAACGTTTTACAAAGGTGCCTGGAATTTTTACTTGAAACCTGCTATTTTCCAGTAAAGGTTCGTCCTTATTATTAGGTGCTGACACTGGTACTAAAAACTGTTTTCCGTCACAGTTGAAAGATATTGTGAATTTTATTATATTATGAATTTTAATATATTTATTATATACAACCTTTATTATAATAAAGTTATTGAATCCTTGGTGGCAGACGCGTTTTCATTTCCAATTAAGGCGCGCGGGGGGGGGGGGGGGGTAGTGGTAAAATTTTACAAATTTATTTACAACACTGTGGAAAGCAATATAACAATCGGGCGGCATTGCCGTTATTTATACAACATCACAATTAAAATCACAATCTTAATAAATGCTTCCTCGATCCAATTTGAGTTGCACCCACTCGTCTGACAAGAAAATCAACCAACGCCGTTTGCATCAACTTTTTTTATAAGAAAAAAATTGTTAATCGAAATTAAAGGGAGCAAATTGCGTAAAAAGTATCACTCTAAAATTTAATATAATTTGATGCCAATGGTGGAGACGTCAAGAGTTATTGTTTTGACGTTTTTATTAACGATATATTTTTCCAAGGTCTTGATGTTCCTTGAGTTGAAAATTATTTATATACGAATCATGAAAACACCGTCGTTCCACATATTTTTCATACCAGGAAAACGGAAGGTATATTTGGTAGTGCCTGCTCCGCTCATACCCCGTGACGTCAGAATTAATGCCGTAGCCCTTTCGTGGTATTAAATTATTAAATTTGTACAAAAATTAAAAAAAAACAGCGATTTGATGAAAAGCTAACACAAACGGCAAACAATATATTAAAATAAATATAATATAGATCTCTAAAAAACTCTCAAACAGTAACAAAAACATTCTGGTAGTTTGACTTAAAACAATAAATGCGTTCCGCTTAATACTGATTTCTTTGGATGATAAAAACAAACGAGAACAGAAAATTACCGAGGGATCTTGTCCAAGAAGTCGGTCTCGATCACCCGGTCGATCTTTTCCAAGATGACCTCCAACTTCTTATCAGAGGGCCGCTCGGCAAACAAATTGTCGTTAACGACCGCTCTACTGCACTCGGTCCGGTGCCGATCCGAACAAGAACTCAGCGTCCTGAAAAAGCTGTGGAGGTCTTTCAGTTGGCTGATACTGTTCACGGTCAGCAGTAGTTCGTTCCGTTTCATGGGCAATATATCGATAGGTGCGTCGGCGAACTTCCGGTCCATCAGTTCGGCAATACGGATTACGTGCGGCGTAAAAGCCGCCTGTGGCCGATCAGTCTTCCTCACGGCGTCGTCTCCGACGAACGCCCAACGGTACCTTTAATGTCAACCTTTTTATGTATCGGAAGCATAATAGAGAGGTCCGCAGTTATAAAATTAAATTGCATTGTTAATGGGATACCAAATAATAGTCAAATTCACTCAAACTGTCTATTTTCACTTCGATATATCACGGGCGTGTTGAACGTACCAACGATCGTAGAGATTATGATTTTGAAAAGCAAACCCCTTGTCACCCTTGCGGCCCTCGTGGGCATTTTTGCTTTGTCGGCGCTTAGTCACACCACCTTAATAATCAACACGTGGTGCGGGGATAATTAGTTCGTGTGTATGAATATTTATGAGCCACCCTGGGAACTACGTAGGTACGTCCAACAATAATGATGTAATAAATCACATTATAAAAGCCTTTCAAATAAACAATATTAATTGATGAATAATAGTAATAGTTTATTTAACAATATTAAACATATTTTATAAAATAAATATAACTGGTAACAATTTTGCCTACCTTTCAAATAAGAATTCAAACTAAACTTTTCTGCTACCTATCTTTCACTCGTCTGACAAAATATAGAGTTCCTTCAAAGATAACGATTTCTAATTGTACTTCTTTTAAATATCTTGCAAACCCTGTATAACACGCACAAAACCGTAAGTAAAAAAACTGCACCTCCCGTTAAATTGTCTCATTTATCAAGACATATCATATCACATGCGTTTTCCATTTGGCCTATGGAGGCATTCAAACTAAATCGCCCTGCCTATCGCATAACTTAACATAACTGTACATTTTTGAAAAAATACTCAAGAGGGAAAAGTGCCGGATATCTTTCTCGGTTAAGAACTTCCGCGCTAACAAAATACGGTTTTGAAAATAATTACATGTTTGTGAAAGTGAAAAAAAATTTCAATAAATTTTTAAAAACAGTTCTCGACTCCCCATACCTCTTAATTGTAATTATCTTGAGGGGGTGAATTTCTCAAGATAGCGTCCGATATTTAATTGTTTTAACGGAAAACGAAACAAAAGCTTTGTGCCTATCAACTAATACCATCCGTCTGTCGCGCAAAACGCAAAACAAAAAAAAGCCATCGCTACTACACTGAAAAGTATACAATAAAACTTACATCTGAAACTGCGGTAGCGTCGTAGCGGGAAGAAGCAGTGCTAAATCCAGCAGCTTCGCCGTGGTTAGCTGCAACTTCAACCAATGCGGATGACCGAGCGCGTGCAACCCGTTGCTGCTGTTCGTCGCCCAGCTGGCGTCCAATGAAGACATCAATTTTATGTGCGAGCTGTGCGAAACATGTTTAGTAAAAATGTACGTTTTTATGCAAATTTACTAGTTAGACCAGGGTTCCCAAAGTGTATGCCGCGGCGCCCTGGTGCGCAGTAGAAAGTAAAGAGGGGCGCCGTGAGACGATCCTCTATCATTATCCGAAACCAATATTCGCGGATACCTTTTCTGAGCGCTTGCATTAGCAAAGAACATAGGTAACTACTTATGTCGGGCGCTTCGCATGTCTCGTCTAAAAGTACCTATGCGCTTGAAAACGTCTCCCTCACCCGCCCGCGCTCGCTTGCTCGCAATCGCAATGCCATGACGTGTCTTTTTTTTTGTTTCGCTTAGTTTTTCGTCAAATGTCTCACGCAAAATGGAGAAATTTTTATTAAATAAACAAGTCAGTAGTTCAAATGATAGTGAGAAAGCTTCTACTAGTGGCGGCGGGAAGCAAAGAAGCGGAAGTATCGTAAATACGATGATAGCTATTTGGACTTTGGTTTTACTTCAATGGAAGTAAACAATGAAGAAAAACCGCAGTGTGTGCTTTGTTTAAAAATTCTGTCATCCGAAAGTATGCTTCCAAGTAAGTTAAAGCGACATCTCGAAACAATTCATCCAACTATGACTGAAAAATCGCGTGATTTTTTTCACCGGAAATTACAAAAATGAAATAATACAAAAAATGTATTCACTCAGCAAGCTTCAGTGCCTAACAACGCACTGTTGGCATCATTCAAGGTGGCGTACAGGGTAGCAAAATGCAAAAAACCACATAGTATTGCCGAAGAGCTTATTCTACCGGCTGCTCTGAACATGGTGAGTATTATGGTTGCAGAACCGGCTGGAAAATTAAGTTCCAAGGTTCCTTTACCTAACAATACTATCAGTCGAAGAATCCATGACATAGCTGCGGATCTCAATTACCAATTAATAGAAAAAATGAAAAACAAGGATTTTGGTATACAACTTGACCAGGCTACTGACAGTAATAATGATGCACATCTTATTTGCTACGTACCCTTTTTGGCTGACAATATCATTGTAGAAGACCTTTTATTCTGCAAAAGGATTACCGAAAATGCGACCGAAATTCTTGATAAGTTTATTGCAGATAATTGTTTGGATTGGAAAAAGTGTATCGGTGTATGTACTGATGGTGCTCGAGCCATGTCTGGCAGGTATGGGGGATTACAAGCGCTTATTCGTAAAAAAGCACCGAATGCTATATGGACCCATTGCATCATCCATAGGGAAGCTCTGGAATCAAAATCAATGAGTTCTGAACTGAACCAAGTAGTTTAATGTGTAAGCAGTAAGCAGTAAACTACATAAAAACTAGGCCTCTAAAAGCCAGAGTTTTAAAAAACTATGCATAGATATGAGAGCTGAACATACGGCCCTGTTGTATTACTGCAATTCACGATGGCTTTCGCGTGGAAATGTCTTATTTCATGTGTTCGAATTACACGAAGAAATTAGAACTTTTTTACAGCAAGAACATCATGAAAACGCTAAATATTTTACTGAACCAGATTTTTTGCTAAAACTAGCATATTTGTGCGATACATTTGAAAAACTAAATAATTTAAATCTGTCTTTGCAAGGCAACAACACGAACATTCTGAAATTATCGGAGAGGATTGCGGCGTTTAGAAAGAAACTGCAGTTGTGGATAAAAAAAATTAATGAAGGCGGCGGTCAAGATTGGTTCCCGCAATTGTATAAATATGCGGTATCTAAAGAACTAGTTGTCTCAAAAGACCTGATGGCCCTTTTCACGGAACACCTGTCGAAGTACTTTGCTAATGATGATGTCGAAAAATTTGCGCGGATCCAAGATCCTTTCCATGCACAAGCTCCACCAGGATTCCATCACCCGATGAAGAGAGTCTCATCGAACTCTCTTGTGACAGCAGCCTTAAAGCTAGATTCACTACTTCCGATTTGGTGGAGTTTTGGTAAAATGAATATCCAAATTTAACTTCAAAAGCTTTAAGAATGTTCATTCCGTTTGCAACATCATACTTATGTGAAGCAGGATTTTCAGCTGTAGCTTTAATCAAGAATAAATACCGCTCAAGGATCAATGTGGAGCAAGAAATGGGAGTTGCAGTGTCAAGTCTTATTCCCCGCTGTTAAAAACTATGAGATCACCAAGCTCACCCATCACATTGACTTGACTGAGGAATTATCGTATTTCATTTTTGTTTTTCTTAAGTCTTTCTTGCTATTTCTATTCTTTTATAGTAAAAAAACTCAATTACATGTTGTAAATTTTTTAATTTTTGTTTCTATCTACCTAACCTAACTACTATTACTGTAGGTACCTATTTCTTTCGGCTGTATCTTTTTCAAATAGCTAGATAGAGTAGGGCGCCGTGACAAAATAATAAATCAGTAACTGCGCCGCGGGCTGAAAGATTGGGAACCCCTGAGTTAGACAGTATTAGTATTGTCACTGTGAAACGTTTCATTAAAAGCAACCCAAGCACAACAAAGGTTAAACTAATATTATTTACCTGTTGTTCGTCCTGTAGTAACCGGCAACCCAGGCAATGCGAAACAAAAACAAGAACAATTGTTAATTAAATCAGCACGATCATGGGGGTGGGAGGTTACAACAAGTCACCCCTTCATTAAACACGACCAATTTTAAAACAAATATCGCGCCCTTGTACTGCCACGAAACGGACTTATGCTCGACTTACTTAAATTCTTCGGTGTCGGTCGACAGTTCCTGCTCGATCTGCAAGAACACCTGCAGCATTTCGCTGATGATGATCGGCCAGAGGCTCGTGACGTGCAACGGGCTCATTCGGATCAGCAAAACTCGAAAACAGAGGAACACCTGGGCCTGGACACCCGGCACGTTCATCCTGAGACTGCCTGTCAGTTGTTCTGCGTCGGCGCAAACCACACATTTAACGACCCATCGACTCGACTTTACCGTTATCCCTACCTTGGATCTCTGGCATGTACTTCGCGTATTGGTCGAGCTCGCTGCAAAATATGACATACGCGAGCCGCTTGAGCAGCTGCGATTTCTGTTCATATTCCTGCTCCCGTGACGAGAATATGCTCAGGCTGCCGCTTTGCGTCATCGACACCCTGTTCATCAAATCGCGGAACGTTATATTGTCGTGCGTCATCAGGTTGTCCACTATAACGCGCCAGTACTTCAAGCACGAATGATCCATTTGGAAAACGGAATTGTCCATCAGCAAATCGAACACCTCCTTCTTCCAAGCCTTTCGCGTATACTGGTAACTGCTCAGGCTCGCCAGTAGTTTGGAGCACGCGTTGAAACTGGGCATGTTTTTCACCGTGTGCGTTTTCAAATACGGCACGATGTTGAACATGAGCGACGCCAAAATATTGTTCACCTTGTCCTTATCCGACGATCCGAAACAGATGTCCAGTATAGGGGCAAGTATTTCCGCCAGAACCTATGAGGAAATCAAATCGCGAAATTGGCGGCGCTTTAAGAAAAATCAATTTCGGCTATACTTACTAGCTGCGCTTGCACGCTGTGACTAGAGTTAACTTCCGCGGATCCGCCGGTGATGATGCTCGAGTCCGGAGTAGTGTCCTCCTCTTGCTCCCTGACGGCGTAGTTTCTACGCAGCCACGTGGTCTGCTCGAGACACGAGCCGCAAACTTGGGACACGCAGTCAATCAACTGGAATAATTATTAGCCGTTGAATTCGAGCTGCTTCCATCGAACCGTTCGCCGATACCTTCGCCGTAATGTCCTGCAGGTCCTTTTGGTCTTTGCGCTCTTCCAGCGGGCAGCATTTTATCATCATTTCGTGCAAGAGGGCTGCCAATAAGAACTGAGCAGGCGGACTCAGAGAGTTCACCTCTCTAATAAGGGACAATAGAGACGCCCACGCTTCCGACAACTGAGTGGCCGACGCGTTACGCATATAGCTACGGTTTTAACGGCAACGGGTCAGTAAACGTCACACGTCAACGTGGCATACGTCTGGTAATGGTGCAACCGCCAGGTTATGTAACGCAAATTGGAATTATATAACTTTATGGTTTTTTTTAATGCTTAGTTTTTTTCTGCTTTGCATAAACCAAAAAAAAAATACTACGTATAAATGGGCGTTAATAGTGTGAATTGGGGGGTACGGGCGCGATAAATTAGGAATTTTCACTACTGACGTTGGCAAAAAAACTTACCAATAAAATAATTCCAAGACGGAGACGTCTAGGCAAATGTCGGAACTCAACCCTTCGCAGGGAGGCGGATTTTTTATCACAGCCGTTACGGTTTGTACTAGGTTATCGAGGGGAATCACTCTGATGGCCGAGATCAGGTACACTAAATTGTTCTGGCCGGCGTTCGGCTCGGGCAAGACCTGAAAATGAATCCAACACTGAAAACGCTTCGGGGGGAGAAACGCCTAAAATTGTATCTCTGTACAGGACGCCCAAAAGATTTGGAACTTACACAACCTTCCGGTCAGTTGGATGATTGACTCATCAAGTGCAAACCAAATCTTAGCCTTACGGCTGTTGAACAAAAATGAGGCATTCATCCGTGACCATAATGGCTGCAATTAAGTGTGACATATTGTCGCAATCTCGTGCACTTGGTCACAGATGAACGCATTCCTTTAGTACAAGAGCCCACTGCATAGTCGGTCTGTCACTCGAGAAAACAATTCACAAAACGATGGGATGAAACAGGACACTGCTGTCTAACGAGGAACCTATTGAGCTATTTAAATGAAGGAGTAGCCAAACATAGTTATAGGTTTTCCTAGCACCTCCAAACGACCACATTATGCGTGAATGCCTAAACTTCGCGCTTAAGCATGAAGCCTATCAACTCCGATGAGGCATCACTAGGCTCAAGCAGGGCTGAGCGTTCTATCTAAGAAGAAGCACAATGAGCCTGCCGAGGCGATGTGTTTAAGTTCGAAATCTTTTGTGTTCCCTATCATTCCGCCCGCTTACCGCCTTCACGCTCGCGAAAGGGTTACGCCTCTCGAACCACGCGACCGCCATAGCGGCTAAAAAACTCGGACCGTGGTGAACGGCGATCGGGCTGAGAAACTCCAACAGTTGCTGTTTGACGGTCTTCGAGTTACCGTAAACGCACGCGCGATCTCCCTCGACGCTTACGATCGTCTGCCACAGTTTGGCAACGCTGGAAATGATCCGTGGCATGTGACCGAGGACCGTTTTGCGTGCGTTCTGATAATGGTCGGAATTGTGTCTCGCGGCGAACTGAACGTCGGCGCCGAGCGGCGAAAAGAACACGTTGACGAGGTTGTTGAGTATTTCGCCAGGATTGGCGACGGGGGCAGCGGCGTTCGTCGGCGCCGGTACGTTCTGGTTGATCGTTTGCGACGAATCGAGCAGACAATAATGACAGAGGATGGTCAGGGATTCGAGCTGCGAGATGGCGTAATCGGAACAGGGTTCGGCGTCTTCGGTCAGCGTCTTGCGGTAGTTCGACGCTACCGCCTCGACGTTCGTACAGATCTGATGAATGACGCTCACCGCGATCTGTTTGAGATTGTCGCCGAAGTAAGGCAAACACGACGTCACCATTTCCAGCCACCTCTCATGCAAATTCCTAGCGTTCCGATTCCGTAGGGCGCTGAGGATGGCGGAAAGGAATATCTGCTGTTTCGGAATCAGCACCGTCGGTTTGGAGTTCAACGACTCCTCGCTCGGTTCGGCGGAACTCGTTTCGCTCACTTTCGACGGAAACGCATGATACTCGAGCACGATCAACGACCGGATCAGCTTCAGCAGCTGGATCTGGAACGCCTCGACGTGTTTACCGATTTTGTCCTCGTCGTCGCGCAATTGGAAATTGTTAAACAGCAGGATCTCGTCGGCGAACGTGACGTCCTCGTCGCTGTCGCGGACCGAAGTCAGCAGACAATGGAGCAGGATCTTCTGTATCTTGCACTTGACGAGCAAATCCGCTATGTAACTGGCGAATCCCTTGCCCGCGTTCTCTTTGACCAACGGTATCAGGTTTTTCGCGACGACGTTTAATATTTCCAAACTCTCCATCTGGATCTTCACATTGTTGTCCAGCTCGTCTGCGATCGAGGGCCAACGTTCGTCGAGGAGCGGGAAAAATGTCCGCGCGTAGTTCAAGCACACGGAGACGACGACGTCGAGCAAAGTGTAGCCGCGGTAAAAGTTGACGTGTTCGGCGGCGAGATCGCCCGCGAACCCGCAGCCGATCAGTGATTTACGATGGCGCGCCAACGACACCAGTAAGTCGTTGCCGATGCCGCACGTTGCCAGACATTTGATGGTTAGCTGCGGGTCGCACGAGAGGCAATTCTTCAAGGTGTGCAACGCGTAAATCACCTGACCGGTATCGAACGAGTCGTAGTACAGACAGATATGCGAGTGGATCGGGTAGAGGACGAAATGTTTCGCCGCCATTTTTTGACCGAACGAATCGCCGCCACGCCCCGACCGAGTCTCCGCCTTCTCGCACACGCGGTCGACGATCGCGTTTAGTATGCCCGTCACGATATCGTACTCCTCGTCTTTGCCGCGGAAAAACTCTTCGGCACTCTTGCTCAGTTCCAGTTCGCAATTGAGGTTCGCCGAGTCCGATATACAGTACGACCAGCTCTGGACGAGCGTGTTTTCCATGTGGTCTCGCGCCGCGTTCGTTTTCTCGTCGAAACTATGCGACTTGGGCAACTTCGCCGCTTTGATACCGTCCGAAATCGGCTCGATACGTTCGAGAAGCTTCGCGGCCTTTAGCGACTCGAACCCGCTGTCGCGATTGTCGTTAGGATACGTCTTCGTCAGGGAGTCGTCGTTGCTGACGCTGTCGTCGCTCGACAGACTCTCGGAAGATGACCGGGAACGGTCTAGCTTCGAATACGACCCGTCGATACCGTTCGGGTACACCTCTTTCGAACTTAACGGGTTTATGATAAGTTTTACGTTCCCTTTCGACTCTTTGTCGACGTTCGCGGAGGACACGGCGTACCCTTTAAAGTCCTTGTTCTTCTTCGTCACGACCGCGTTCGCGTCCTCGGTCAGGCTGGTGGTCGTGTTGACGATGGGCGACGCGATCTTTTTGCTAGCCTTGGAGAACGCAAACCATTTCTTTTTAGACGGTTTCGGGTCTGGATCGTCCGTAACGTGGTACATTATGTTGCCGTTCACGTTGCTCACAGCGTAAACTTTTTTCGATTGGGCCACCTCGCCGGACTGAGCATCCTGAAACGTCGTTTCGGTCTGCGTGTCGCCGTCTTGGATGTTAACGTGGCGTATCGACACCCTCGCGGTGGTCGGCGACAACAGTTTTGACAGCAACGGATTTATTATGCGGGACAGGTCGTTGTGTAAGAGGCCGTGCGTGAGGAACGTCTCGGAGAGGAGCTGCAGCGTCGGCCTGTCCTTGCTCTGCAGCATGTCCAGCACTTTCAAGAGGGACCTGCAGGAACAAAAGCGTGGAAAATTTTATCGATGATTATGGTGTAATTCTTTGAGACCATAGAGACATGGTTTCCAAGTACCTAATTGAACTACAAATAACACAAAACAAAGCCATAACAGCTATCTTTAACAAAAAATTTTATAATCCAACAACCAGGTGGACGACCATATATTATTTTGCTATTAAGCACAAAAATTCGTTAATGCTATTTGAAAAATTTCGAATTCGTACGGTTACTGAAAACAAAGTTGCGCCTGTAATCTTCGGTATAAGATAAAAAAAATAACACATGCAGCTAATTCTTGCCCAATTCAATATCCTCCTGGAAGTGTTCTAATGTTATTCCGCGGCCAAAATTTAAAAATCGACTTTAATCACTTGCATTCCAATACCTATGTTACCGGCGTTGTCTAAGATATTAGAACAAGTTATGGAAATACAAATTAAGAAATTTTTAGAAACTAATAACAATATGCCTGTTAAACAGTGCGGATTTGGAACAGGATGTAGTTGTGCAACGACAATAACTAATGTAATTGAACTGATATTAATGTTACATGAACAATGTTGAACCAAAATATGATAATTGAAAATAAACAATCAGACATTTGTGGAATTGTGCCAGGGGTATCACAGGGACAATTAACATTCTAAAGTATTTACAGCATTGCGATTATCACCTTTACTGTGACGACACACACGATCCTTTTCAATAGGTAGCTATGCAATTTTGTAGTGAAAATCAACGAGATAACCAATCTGTCATTATGATAGCCTCCATGGACAAATATATCCATAATATAAATTTGCAACCATATTAAACTCTGTTTAACATCCCTTTAAACATCACCCCAGTATTAAGACTAAAGTTATGCTCTGTAATTTTCTGATATTGTCTGATTGCGCCCAACTGTATGGCACGTTTCTGTGTTTTTAATAAACAAAGAATATGAAAAGTCCAAAACTCTTGAAATTTATTTTTGAGAGACATAGGCGTCAGAGAGTGTCTCACAAACTGCAATGGCTGAACATGATGAACATATTTCATACCCAAATCTATCAACGACATTGAAGTTTAACTGAATTGATTATAATTCCAAAACTAAGATACAATACTTTAAAAAGATATTTTCCTACCTGGCTCCCTTATATGTTAATAAATATGAGTATTTTAAATTTGATCAATCGATATTCATATTTTAGAACAACAATATTTTGTGAGCGGCGTTCTTGTTCCCCTCCCATATTTTACGCCCTCCCTCCTCACTCCCTTTACGTTAATAGTGTTTTTACAGATTTGATTATAAATGTTCTAAACGAATAGTACTATCGATTACTTATAGTTCCGCCGTATCACCGAGAAACGACATTATCTTAATATCATCAGAGTTTAGTCACTTCCCGAGTGATGGCAGCACAGTTCGTATTTCATGTATTCAATTTGCTAGGGTTTTCTATAACCATAACTAAAACATCTCCAGAACTAATAAACATCTAATGTGACAATCGAAAAACCCTCGTAAATGGAGAATTCGTTGACTTGACAGGACTTTCACATTTTTATAATTAAGTCACGGTGCAGCACCCGGTACCACGTTCTAACTTCGCATTTCTTTTTTTTACCTGTCGAAATTCCTCGGTACGGTCCTGTTGGGCGGCAGTTTGATGTTTAAATCGCGCCCGAGGTGCCAGAGAACGAAAAACCGCTTCAGATAGTTTGCGTCTACGTGGTCTTCGGAGAGGCACGAGTCGATTACGCGTTCGGCGAACGATTTGCAGTCGAACGTGTTGTGTATTTGGTAAAGCAGAGTAACGCACTGCATCAGTTGGTTCTGATTCTTCGCGTTGCCCAATACGCTCCACAGGATTTTTGACATTTCCTAAGCGATACAGAGAAATGAAGTTGATAAAACCTTAAGTTAAATAAGAAAGGCATCATACAACAAAAAAATAAGAAAGAAAAAAACCTATTGAAATTAACATACACATTTTTAGTTACCACCTAACAATAATATCTTAATTGGGTTAGGTTTTAACTGTAGTGACTTAGACCACTAAAGTTGTCTCAAGTTGAAACCTAAATTTATGTGTGCGATTTCGACTTTAATTAAATCCAAATTCAAAAACAGTTTTTTACTGAATAAATACGATGATAGGGTTTTATAAAGACTATCTCGATTATTCAAACTATACAAAGAGAACCTGAGAACCGCTTCAAGGAAATGAACAATTTCACTTTTTTTGGCTCCCAGATAGTATTATTTATAAACCCAAATAGCAGTACGTGCCGTATGAGCGTTGTAAATGTATGATTTAATAATATCATTAATTAATGATCAATTGGGCACAAAATGGAATTTAGAGAAAAAATATGGAACATTTGTTGCATGCTTCTTTTCATGTAAATTGTCTTTGTTTTCTGGATTTTTCCTTTGGAGTTTTACTAGATTATGATCTAATATGGTGAGACCATAATGGTGTAGCTTAAGTGGGTGTGTTTACTTAATCGATATGTAAATCAAAGACAAGGCGTCGTTCTATTCTTCCTGAATTTTTTACTTTTATGAAGCTGATTCTGTTGAAGGACGTCCAGAATTGAATGAAAGCGTTGAAGATAAATATTTCACAAATATTATAGTTTCTAGACTGCTACTGCTCTACAATGGTATCTAATTTGACTTTCTTATGACATTGTTACAAAAACGAAACAAGAACACTTAAAAAATCCAACCTGCAAAAAAAACGAGAAGGAACCAGGGCACATTACTACTGAAGTAACTTTGGTCGTACAATTTTATATTATTTGATTTGCTTTAGGCACAAAGTAAATTATTGGACAAATGACAAAATACACTAGTTCCATGGTTATTTCAACTTTTGGTTCAAATTCGTGGGAACGACCAATATAGTTTTAAGTTTACCTCAATGATCAAGGTGCGTTCTTCCACGTATTGCACGTGCTGCTGATCCAAAATACCGGCGATTACGACGCTAGTGTTGATGTCGACTTTACCGCCGGCGTCGGTACGAACTTTGGCCAAACTGAAAATCTCCAGCGCTGTCGACATGGCAGTCAGCTGGATTTCCCTGGACGAATTACGATAACACGCCGCCACCAAAAGCGCTTCCAACCATGCCGGGATCGTTTGGTCGACGACCTCAACGACCAAATTGGAAAACCCGCAAAATTCGAGAAGAATGCCGGATGCCACGCTCATGCCGTTCTCGTGGTCGCAAACCGAGTCTTCGGGTGCGACGTCCTCGATGTCCGTCCTCCGCGATCCCATCACCATGGTATAATCGACGGGAACGAATTTCGATCTTTGCTCGTCGGCCAACCTTCCGTCCAGCAATTTTTCGAGTTGTTTTGTTCGCTGATCGATATCGACCGTCAGCGATTGGAGATATCGTTCGATGTCGACGTCCGGCAGTATCTTCGTTTCAACGAAAGATACGTAGAACGTTTTGTACTCCTCCAAGCACTTGGCGAAATATTTGTTCTCGATTTTGGAGGGCGGGGCGGGCGAGGAAGTTGCGCGGTCCACCTCTTTCGATCCGGCCTCACGTTTGTCCGCCTCTTCTGCCGCGTCGTCCGTTTTCAAATCGAACAGTTTCGAACTCGACTTCGACTTTTTATTTCGCGCCTTTTTCTCGATCCGCGGGCTTGTTTTCTCCTTCTTTTTCAACATTTGGTTGCTGTAGGAGCGCTCGCGACTGGAATCGTCGAACGCCAACTCGTGTTTATCGTTCATGTTCTCGTTGAGCTTCGAATCCGACTTGCTCTTTTCGATGGTGGTCCTCTGCTCGTCGTTCTCCGATTTGGTTTCTGATATGGTCGCCAAATCGAGCGATTTTTCTATACTAGCCGATTCGATGCCCGGATTGGGGTCATTAGACGCCATTTGTACCAGTGCGAGTGGCTGGATCTTCGTTAAAATTTTCCGACACAGCTCGAGACTCTTTAAGATTTCCAAACAGTTCAAATCGACTACAGACGATTTTAGCGAACGAACGATCTTGCTGAACAAGTTCGGCAAAATGTTGCAGGTGCTTTCCGCCTGCGATTCTATGGGGACCACGTCCAGCAGGAAGTCGGTCAAGATGCACAACTCTAGGACGTAAGGGGGCCCTGTACCTACGTCGCTCACTGTCAACCGGTCCCTGTACTTATATTTTTTTATGTTTTGCACCGCTTCACCATACAGTTTCTCGACGTACGACCAGATGTAGTAACTCTGCAGCGTGTTGAACAGAAGATTGGCGTTCTTTACCAGTTCCGGGCAATTCCGCGAAACGAATGTCCTGTTCAGTTCGCCATCATCATTTTTCAAACTGTTAATGTCGCCGTTGAAAGACACGCACCGACCCGAATGGTTTCGCTGCTTCTGCGCGTTGAGACACGACAAGTACAGCGTACGGAAAACGTCGTAAAGCACGCTGTCCAATATAAACGGTCCAATTTGGGGTTTGTCAAACAACGACGTCAGCAGGCGATAGGGTTTGACGTCGATAGGCGTTTCACAACTGCATTTTTTCAATATGTCTTTGATGGCGTCGTTTAACAAGTCGTAAGCGACCAAATGCGTATTGGACACGGGAACTTCGTCATCTGCGTCCAACTCGAACGTTTCATTGGACTGGGAATCCAACAACCAGGAATACAACCGCCTGGAAACGACCAATGGGACTATTCCCTTCTATTACGATATATTATCAGTGAACTCCATCTAAATGGGCATGGGAACGGCGTGAATAGAAAATTGCTCAAAATGCTCATTTGTATAATCGAGAGAATGGGATTTTCTCGTAATTTGATTATTTTATTAGCGAATATAATTTACGCATTAGTATTTTGGTGAAAAAACAATGTTCCTTTTAATATAATAATCTTAATAATGTAACTGTTTAAAAAATATCAGAGAAGAGCATACAAATTGTGTACTGAGAAATTTAGAAATGTTGAAGCCACCAATCGCTCTGGGTGTACACGACGGTGGTAAGACCCCACACCTACGCTGCGTTGGTGGCGCTTCACTGAGAGACACAGTATCAGAGCAACTCTAGGGCGAATACAAAGGTTGGCTCCATAATGATACCTGCCTCTTTGAAAACCACGCCACACCCTAGGGCGGGGCTTGAGAGCGACCCTTAGATTGCAGGGTTTGGCAAACTACAAGCCAGGGACAAAGGGGTTCCAACCACTGCTATCTGTCTCAGGCGGGAACCAAGATGCTCTCTCTATGAAGAGGTGAAAGGGACAGGATGTTTCCATGCACCATACAGAGGGAGAATCCATACAAAGGACCACTCTATGCGGGAGAAAATATTCTTGTGCAGATATCTGCATTATTGGTCTGTGCTCACAAGAGCCTTTACGGCGACAGCGACAATTGAGCGGTGGTCCTCTTTGAAAGTGAGTTTGGGATTGCTATTTGACTTCCGAAAAACATTGACAAGATTAGAGGAATATAATTCTATCAATCTGGTCCAGGTACCCGTTCATCTGGGTAGTAAGAGCAATGAAATGGCGGAGACTGGGCGCGGCGGCAACATCGGACCGAAACCTTCCGTTGGAATAGTGTGCTGAAGAGCAAGCTGAACAAATGGCTCGGAAGGCAGTTCACTCCCCACTGGGAGACTTTATCGTATTCTAATTGCGGCACCCTCTATGTCTCACGTCCAAAAGTGGGCTCTCAGTGTCAGTCGCGCGCGACTATGAAAGCTGATAGGAATCTTAACAGGACACTGACATCTATCATGAGGTGGGTGCATGCAGACTGTGTTCAGAAGAGGAAATAACTCCCATAGGGTACTAGAAGCTCAATTCAATGAGCCCCGAGGAACTATCCAAACTCCTCATGAAAGAGGTACTGTACTTCTTCAAAAGTGCAGGGCTATTGTAAAATTTGCAAGACAAAATCGATATTGGTTGCATTATCAGTACCAATCCAGATAGGTGGAGTTCACTGTTTAGTAGTGATGACGTAACATGGCCCATTTTGTTGGAGAACGTTTCTATTTTGATTTTCAATACAATACACAAATTCGTTTTATTTCCACATCTAATTGTTACAAAGCAATAATTGAATATAACTTTCACAGCTCTGAAAAAAATGGCCGGCCTACGTCACACCACTATAGCGTATAGGTACAGAATTGGGCGCGTTGGTACCTGTTCAAGGACATATCTCTTCGCAAAATGGTGGACAGCGCGGCCGTCACCAACCTAACCATGTCGGCATAAAGGAGCTGCTTGTTTTGCATCGGAAAGCACACCATCAACAGGTCCAGCGCCGACCTTTGGACTAAAACGCTGGAGTCCTGCACGGCGGCGCACAGACCGGAAATCTTTAAATACATAAATTAGCCAAAAAAAAAGAATTCTTTTTAGGATTCTAGAACTGCTTCGAAAACAATTCTGAAGCACTGTAGGAATAGCAAACTTCAAGTTTTGAACTTTGTAGAGACAATAATTTACTCAGTTCAACTCAACTTTTTTCAAGTATATGAGATTAACAGTTAATAAAAATTAAATAAAAACTAATTTGGGGCATTTATATGCCATTATATACTAAAAGTAAGTTTTTGTAGGATGTATATTTACTTTGCCACTAATAGAACATAATAACAGAACTATTGTAGCGAATGAAACAAGATAATTGACCCCCACAACAAACTTTGCTCATTATAGCTAAAAAAACATGTTTGTCAATATTGTTATTGCTTATTATGTTATCTTTGCCTTTTATTATCTTAATTAACCACAGCTTATGCATGTCAGACATCAGCTGCCGAAGACAAAGAATCATTACTTTAATCTCACCATTAATCCTATATCGTGACCCAATAAATGCAACTGCTCTTCCATGGGCAGCTTTCGGCTGTAATGCGCCAATACGTAGGTTATAGCGGGCAGTCTAACGGGGCTGTTATTTGTCACGCATTGCCACATGCAAGTGTAAAAATAGGGGGGGTCCACCCCTTCGCACACGTTCTCCAATAGCAAGTTGGTTCTAAAAGTAAAATTCAAGGCCAAATTCAATTTCTGGTCAAAACCAACCAAAACGCACCTTTCAAAATGATCTGTGCCAGTATCTAGTCCGGGCAAGATCCCGCTCAGGAAACCACTCAAGGCTGGGCGTAATCGATCCCCCAAAGGAACAAAATGCGTTTCATATATTGTCAACAGCGCTGGACGTATATTCATGGCAGCATGACCCATCAGTGGAAATAAACCTTAGTATATACAACACAGAAATATGAAACAAGGATATACAGACAGACTAATAGAAGTAAGGTGTTATTTTATTTCTGACCAAGATTGACCTATCCATATTATGAAAAGAACTCTACCAAAATCACTTGAAAAGGCTCCAATAAGTAATTACTAACAAGTAAATACCTAATCTCCTTATCAGCACCCAAGAATCTATAATTAAACATATGAATCAACAAAGTAAATATGAGTAAATATTGGAGAATCCACATGCTGTCGCTTAGGTTAGATTTTTTAATTGAAAAGCGGGCTTTTACAACTGCCAAGATATTAAAAATAATTTTATTTCACTGATAAGATCAAATTGTTGACTGTAAAAATTTATCTTTGTGGATTAGTTATGATAAGTTACTATATAATACCCAAACTATCTACTCCACGCCATAAATTTAGATAAATAAATACTTGGGTAAGCAAAATTCTTACCTGAGCTATAGATAAACAATTCAGAGGCCAGTCTGTTGGTTCCCATGCATCGAAAAATGATGTCATAAGTTTCCAAGGCTTTGCGATGTACACCCGAAGGTAAAGCAGGGTGCATACATTGTGCAAGGCGTTTACTAATTTTTATTCGTCTAGGAATAACCGGAAATTTTTGGTAACTTGATAAAACCTATGGTGCAAAATCAATTCTGCTTGAAGAAAATATGAGTAATTTTAGTACTTACTTTGTTCAATTTTCCTAAAGCAGATATAAGATCTGGCCATTCGGCCGTATATTCGAAGCTTTTCAAAGCTTTATCTACAGCTGCCACATACATGCGATACTTAGAGTCTTTCATTAGTTCATACTCTTCCATTGCAATTGTGGCCATTCTACTTAATATATTAACAACCAAATTATGCTAACATACACAACATACATTTCACAATAGTTATTCAAAATATAATTAGTTAATCTTACTAAATTGCTTAATTGACTTTTGACACCCCCAATAATTTTTGTATAATACAAAGTCCCCAGCGGAGACGATATACGGATAGCCTAGGGCTCACATACTAATTGATACCAATTTTTTCGCAAGAAATGCGCTGTCTAAAAGTTAAGTATTTATTTTCGTGCTCCTACACATTTTTTGATATTTTGTACCCTAGTTAAGTATTGAACACTTAGTCCAAACGTTGTCCTCATTTTGGTAATCACAAACAGATATAGCCACGAAGTTCACACACTTTTCTGCGACTCAGCTATTTATAGCTTGTTGAATATTTCGATTCCACCTACATAACAAATTTACTTTCTGAACCAATACACTCCGTTGCTAAAATTTATCTAGAGCTGCTCAGCTGGGTTTTCATGACATGTGTCAAACATAAAATATGTTCCTGGTGGGGAGAAAGCCACCAGAGCAAGTTGACATGAATTGTTTATCTGTGGTGCTAGATGGCTGATGGAAAGGGGAATAACATATGGTTGGAATTCTGAAGTCGATCAATTAAAATCCTAATGGACGAGCAAAATATCCCTATAGATATTAATTCTAATAAACTGTTGGATTGGCTGGTGAGTAGAAGACACGTGGGCAAGGATTGGCAAAATTGTGTTCTTAAAATTAGAGAAAAAATCAGCAATGCAATACAAGACATGCCCGCTCACGATGGCATTGCAAAGCTGCTTAGCGGGCAGCATATAAACTACTTTCACTGCCTGAAAATAGTCGAAATTCTTAAAGAAACTGAGAAAGACAGCAAGAACATTTTTGGCAGGTATGGTTCGCAGCGGATGAAAGACTGGCAGGATATAATATCAGCCTATCAGAGAGATAACGTTTACCTAGCAGAAACCGCGCAGATACTCACGAGGAACGTCAGTTTTGAGATTCCAAGTTTGAAAAGGCAAATAATAAAACTTGAACAAACGCAAGCCGAATATGAAAAGAAGATCAAAGAGAATACCAAAACAGAAGCAAGTATGCTTAAAGAATTTACAATGTCTTGTGACCAGCTCGGCATTCAAGGCAAGGACATAAAAAATGAATTGATAGGAATGTTGAAAGCATTGCCGCAAATCCTACAAGAGAGTTCAGAGAAAGTTAAAATAGTGAAGCCGGCAGTTGAATTGTATGCTGAATTCTGTCAGTTTTTATCTGGACAGGAGGCGGTATCTAATCCTGGAATACTACCAGTATTAAGGTATTTAGTTGAAAGTGGTAATACAACAACATATGAGTATGTATTTGGAGAAAAACCAATCAGGATTGAGGAACCTGAGCAATCCGTAATTGCACTGCAGTTGAATGATGATGGAAATAAAATTGATTTTGGAGAAGGTGAACAGAAAATTGACTTTGGAAGTGATCAGATTGATTTTGGCGAACAGGATAACCAACAAACCATTGATTGGGGATCATCAAATGAAGAAAGTTTTGAAATAGTCAGTTATGATGATGTGGATATTAATTTGCAGGAATCAGGAATAGAGGTCGAAGTATCAGGCTTGGATGGTGGTATTGCTAGAGGTGAAGACGCTTTATCTATCCTGGATAACCCAAAAACGCGGGATCAAGTTATCAACAATCTCATTGAGCTCGAAGCCTTTCTTAAAATGCGACTTTATGAAATGTCAAATGAATCAGATTTGTTGTCTTTCTCACAAATGCAAGACGTTTCTTCTGTGATCCAGATGCAAACTATTGCAAGCATTACGCAACTGCATGATTGCGTAAGCATCGCGCTGGGTGACTTGACAAGCAAGCGTCTTCAGCATTTACATAACCTCAAACACTCCCCAAAGTACCTGGATATCTTGTCCGCCAGCTTGAAGCAAAAGCTGTCGGTGGTCGAGAGAATGAAAAATAATAAGATATTGTTGGAGAAAAAAATCCGCCAAACTAGCGACGAAATTAGAAAAATCGAGCCGGTAATTAAACTCATGGTTGTCAAGACTAAGGAGCTGCAAAAGGAAATTGAGCAGGACATTTCTAAAAAGTATAAAGGCAGGGTGGTAAACATTGTGGGTGGAGTCAATCTCTTGTGAAAGTGTAGTTAATTTTTATTATAAATATAATGTACATGTTTTATTTTAGTGATTTTTTTCACCGGCTGGGTTTGGGTCCCTTTATGAAAAAACAAATTTATTTTTAAAAATGCACCATTCGAAAGGACAGCTTCTAAGTACTAAGTAATGATAAATAAATTTGCCAATATTTAAAAAAAAAACATAAAAATGATCGAAGAGAATGTAATTTGAAATACTTTTACTTGCAGAACTGGTATAATATATTAATGTATAAAATTAAATATATTTTTTTTGGGTGAAGTTACTTTGGTGTTATTTTAGAAAATGAAATTAACTGATACCTTGTTATTCTGCAATTTCCACAACAAATTTTTTTGGATGTGCAGAAACATGATTTTATGCTCGTAATTCAATCCTGGTTTATGCTTCATGAAATGTTTAACTAGAATACACAGTATATCCTTAGTAATTAGTATTGGAAATGTGCATTTCAAACCATGATTGTTTTTTTTTTAATTTGATAAAGAATGCATAAAATTTATTTATATATACCGGGTGACACAAAAAAGTGGGAGCACTATAACTTTTAAACGGTTTGATAGCGATTTGAAATTTGGAAGGGTTAATATAGGCTGAATGTCGAATTTTTTTATATGTAGTCCAGTTCCGGTTTAAGCGGAAACGACAGTAACTTTCGAATTTTAAATGGCACACCCTATATTTTCTTGCATTTTTGGATCCAGGCGATCATTCTACTTAGGATAGGACGGTTTCTCTTTTTTTTTCTTTTTAATTTTTGAAAATTGTGTCATGAGGCTGTGACCATCGTAAATACTATTTACCGGGTCACCAGATCACCTGATCATGGGAAAAATTGTAAATGAAACTTTTCTTACTGGTCTAATGACAAAGAGCAGATAAGTAAATAAATAAATACATATGTTAGTTTTTAACTGTATCCCCGTATTTCAAAAGCATATCAACTTTTTACCTTAATAAAACACAACAAAAAAATCTAATCGTGGAAGAAACTCTCTCCTGAATTTTATTTTTATTAAAATACTAATCTGTTTTTTTCTTTCCACTGCATGATCTTGTCGAGAATTTCTTCTGCATTTTTAATATTACCGACATAACAATTCATAATGAATAGAGGCAAAGCCACCTAAGTATTATTTTGTTTTTATAAAAATGTATTTAGTTATGTGGTTAGGATGATGGTCACAGTCTCCTAGACACAATTTTCAAAATTAAATAAAAATTTAAACAAACAAAAAAGTCAGAAAAACCTTCCTATCCTACGTAGAATGAACCATTTAAAAAATTAAAAATAAAAAACGGATGTGCAACCATTGACATCGTCAAAAAATTGGACATTCAGCCTATATTAACCCTTCCAAATTTCAAATCGCTATCTCAAACCGTTTAAAAGTTATAGAGTGATCCCAGTTTCTTGTGTCACCCGATATATATTTAAAGATTAAAAAAAAACCTAAAATGATTTTTTACATGACTTTATTTTACAAAACTATAATATCGAAAATAGACATTTACTTTCCACCAAACCCGCTCATAAGATTACCGAGACCGCCCAGGCCCCCAGCGGCCCCGCTCTGAAGCTGCCGCATCATGTTTTGCAGTCCGGCCATGCCGCCCATCTGATGTAGTACCCTCGGATCCATCATGCGCGCCATCTGTTGATTGAGCTTGGCCATCTGGGTGGGGTTAACGTTTTTGGCCATATCGCCCCCTTTGAACAAACCTTTGATGCCGCCCATTTTCTTAACGACCGCAGCAAATTTCGTGTATTGCGTAATTAACTCTTTTACCTCCCTTTCTGGAATTGCAAAAATTTTTGGCGCCCTCACTTTGCCAACAACAACAACCCCCCTTCTATATAACTAGGTTCCTTACCAGTTACTCCGGAGCCTTGAGCTACGCGAGTTACTCGTCCGGGCTGCTTTGAAAATAATTTTGCCCCATCTCTGCTATCCAACTCGCTTTCGTTCATACTGTCCATCATGGTCATGAGCCGTTTCAGCCTGGCCATAGATTCTTGCTCGCTCCCTTTCGACATAAAATCCTGGCTAAATCCTGGTATCATTCCCATAATTTGCGAGAATGGGCCCATTTTCATGATGTTTTGAAACTGTTCGTACATGTCTCTTAAAGTAAACTGACCATGCTTGATTTTTTCCAACAGTTCTTCGTTATCTTCGAGTTTTAGCTCATTCACTTTGTCTATGAGCCCCGCTATATCTCCCATTCCCAACAATTTACTAATAAATGGTTTGGTTTTGAAAACTTCCAGGTCATCGATGTGTTCTCCCACTCCGATGAAAATTATGGGACTATGAGTGGCAGCTACCCTGAAGAACAACTGTTTTCTGTCTCTGTCTAACGTTTTGTTCTTATACTTACGCGCTAAGTGCACCACCACCTTTCGCGTGGCCATCGAGTTTGGTTATTATAACAGAACCGATGTCGACTTTCTCTTTAAAAGCTCTGGCCTGCGCTTCACAGGCTTGACCGATTGTAGCGTCCATAACAAATATAATATTATCCGGTTTCTAGAATGCTTTCTTTCACAAATCACTGACGCTATTGATTCAACACTAACAACTTACGACAGCGTTGGCAACTGACAACATTTCTTCAAATAGTGAATCTTCCTGTTTGTGTCGCCCACTGGTGTCTACAATAATGATTTCAAACCCTTCCTTTTTGAACATGTCTACGCCGTCTTGCGCAATGACAACAGGGTCAACCTCGGTGTAACTAAAATAATTATCGCAATCGCCATGTCGCTACTAGGGAAATAAAGGCCCTGCCCAATTTTTAAGTCACCATTCACATGTTTTACTTTATTTTTTTTTAGGTATAAACTGATTTGTCAAATTTTTTAACTTGGAATTTTCCAACACCTCAACTAAAAACTGACATATAAAAACAAAACACTCAGACCAAGATAGTTTCTAAATCCGAAGGCTTCAAAAGAGTTCGTCAAAAATTGGTAGGAGGCATGGAGAAGATTACATTGCATTTAAAGAAAAGCGAGAGCTCGTGATACTGCAAGTGTAAGTGCAAGATTTTTTTGCGAGAAATAAATAGCTTCATTTCCAGTTTAGATAAACAATCATTTAGCCAGTAAGTAATTTTTTTAAGAAATTCAAAACGGACACAGAAGAACAAAACGGTGAAGAAAATTCCAAGAAAAGGAAAATGTTTGGAAAAACAAGTTAAGTGTATGTTTAGGAAGCAAATGGTGAATAGTACTGATTAGTGAGTGAAATTTAGAGGCAGGAATGAAATATCATTCCCAGCTCTAACAAAATATAGCCACCTGAGGTGCACCAATTTTTACTTTATTTTTATAATATATTATCTAATAGCAATATGTATGGGACACATTGGAAAGTTACCTTCCATAAAAAGGAATCCGAGCTTTGGTACAGTTCTGTTTAACTTGATCATATGCGCCTGCCCTGAAGGTATCGGCACAAACTAGACATGATTTCCAATTTTTTTTCTGATAATGATAAGCTAATTTTGTGCACGTTGTAGTTTTGCCAGAACCTTGTAAACCAACAAACATAATGATGTTTGGCCTGCCTTTTACGGGTTGGTATGGCTTAACTCCCGGATCTACAAGCTAGAAAAAATATAATGGCGGGTCAACAATAAATGAGACACTTTAGTACTTTGACGAGCTCTTGAAACACAGCAGTTTGGATCATACGTCTCTTATTTAGACCTCCAGCCATTTCTTCAAAATCAATTACAGCCCTCACATTTTCCCTTAGCTGCTTGACCATTTTAATATTTACATCGGCTTCCAGAAGGGCCGCACAAATTTCCTTAAGCATGCCATTGAGAACCTAAGAGTGTTATTAGCGATTTACACGTCCATAACCAAGAAAAAAACATCTGGTTATTCTTACTTCTTCATTTATTATAGTTGCCTTGCTTAAAGACTGCAAAGCGGACGTAATTTTACGTCCTAAATCTGCCAATACCATTTTGGCAACTTTTGAGAGACCGTTTTAAATTAAATAGTAAAATCTCATCTCCAATTTCACAATAAATACGTCCTCTGTTTATTGAGATGTTAACGTCAGCCGTCTCATAGTTAAATATTGGAAGTGTGGCCCTTATAACGGAATTGGTTAGTCAAATCATAGAAATTGCCTAGTGAACTGAAACTAGGAAGTGTTGAAGGTTCACGAGTTCCATCCAACAATACACCGATACGTTTTCAATGCACTTGTCAAATTTGCCAAACGTCACAAAAACCGTAAATGTGATTTCACCAATAAACAGAGTTAAGTGGAAAGTACTCTTATCGATATTATCATGTAGATAATAACGACAGGTATTCCTTTGTGAATTTTAGTTTATTAGTTGCTTTGCTCGATATTTATCTAGTATGTTATAGACTTTCGATCTTTGGCCGGGGATAGTTATGTCTGGGGGCGAAAGAAAAAAGAAAAACACCCGGTCGCAGGGGTGGGAAGAGGCAGGGTCTGAGTTCTATCAGGAAAGCTATCCAGGAGATGCGGAAATCGAAGTTTTATGTAAGGACCCCAAGCGTTTAGCCACTTTGTTACCCAGCAAACAGACTCGAGCGATAGCCGCCACTCTGCGTTTACGCACAAATGATACCAGAACCAATAAGAGTACTCTCAGGAGGTATCCGACTTCAAGGTCCAGGCGTGATTCTACAGCGCACAGGCGGCCTTCCCTAGCCGGAGAAGTACAGGTTTCAATGTTGCCAGATTTGTCAGAAATGAAATCTGATGAACAGACTGCCTGGGAGGAAATAATGAAGCTGAAAGGGTTGCCGCTGCATATGTCGGAGAAAAGAGAACAGAAAAGCAAGATTATGGTGAGGCTCAATTTGTTTAAGTAATGAACAATATTCTTATTTTTGGCATGAGATTTCTGGTCTTATCTTGAGATGATTTAATCTTATTTTTAATTGGTACCTAATTGCTTTATAATAATTACTTGAAATTAGATTATCAGTTGTAATTCCCACTTATATTTCGGTTTTAGAGCGAACCCAACTTACTCCTGCAGGGATTCGAGCAGTTCAAGTGGAGACGCAGAAAAGCATGGCACCAGTTTAGTGTACAAATGAAAGAGGTATATCATAAAGTGCAGCTGTGGAGAAAAGACATAAACCTGATCGAGGGCAATTTCGGGACCGGGGTGGTTGTGTTCTTCCATTTCTTGAAGTGGCTCTTCTGTCTAAACCTCTTTATATTTCTGCTGGTTGTTTTGTTTGTCACTCTGCCCACAGTTATACTCGACGATGACAAAAATCAGGTGTGCCATAGTAACTCTACCAGCAATTCCTCATGCTTCTATGACTATTATTGTTCTGTCCGTGAATCAAATTTGATTCTGGAGTTGATACAGGGTACAGGGAGGTTGGAGAAAACCATTCTTTTTTATGGGTTCTATGCGAAAGAGACATTCCCCTATCATGTAGGTGGCACACTGCTGTATTACGACCTACCTTTAGCCTACATCCTGGTGGCCATTGTTTATTTTCTAATATCCTTGGCAGCCATAATTAAAACGGGCGCGAAACGTTTTAAGGAGCGCTTGGTCGAAGGAGAGGGGCAATTTTATCAGTACTCCAATTTGCTTTTCGGCGGGTGGGATTTTTGCATACACAACGCGAAGTCGGCCAGAATTAAGCACAAAGCCATCTACAGCGAGATACGGGCGCTGCTGGAAACCGAAAAGCTGGAAGAGGAACGTCAGAGCCGGTCCCGTAATGAGAGGTACCGCATATTCTTCTGCAGGTGTCTCGTGAACAGTACCGTGTTGGCGGTACTGCTGGTATGCGGGGCCGCCATCTATTTCATCTTTGACTGGTCCAACACCCAACTCGCCTCGTTGGTCGACTTCTCGACTACCGAGCAGAAACTTTTGCAGCTGTTTTACGAGTTCCTGCCGTCGATGACGATAGTATCGATGAATATGGTGATACCATACGTGTTCACGTTTCTGGTGAGTTATGAGAATTACAGTCCATTGTTCGTCATTCGGCTCACTCTCATACGAACGGTACTGTTGCGTCTCGCTTCCTTGATGGTTCTGTATGCTTCCCTGTACAACAAGATCAGTTGCGATGTCAATATCGCGGAAACGGAGTGCGTCGCGAGCGAATGCGGAACGCCTACATGCTGGGAAACATACGTCGGTCAGCAGATATACAAATTACTGCTGACCGACTTCGCGACGCACCTCGTGATGACGTTCGTGGTGAATTTTGGACGGGCTTTCCTCGCCAGGCACCTGGACAATAAATTCTTCAGGTTCGTCGGCGAACAGAGCTTTGACTTGCCTCGTCACGTCCTCGACGTCGTCTACACCCAGACTCTGTGCTGGGTGGGGATATATTTTGCGCCCCTGCTCTCCGCCCTCGCCACCATTCTGTTCTTTCTCCTGTTTTATATTAAAAAGTTCGCGTGTATGGTCAACTGCAAACCCAGCATGGTCGTGTACCGCGCTTCGCGTTCCTATTCTATGTTCATGATCGTCCTTCTCGTTTCGTACGTGGTGGCACTGGTGCCTATCGCTTTCGTCGTGTCCGAATTGACGCCGAGTAGGTCGTGCGGCCCCTTCCGGAGTTTGCCCTCCGTATGGAATTTAATCGAGGAAACGTTCGGGAAGACTCCTATTTGGGTACAGGGCGTCGCCGCGTTTATTCCGACGGCCGGCTTTGCCATTCCCTTGTTCATCGTGTTGATTTTGTCGCTTTATTATTACACTGCCGTTAATTCGGCCAACAGGCACATGGTGACCGTATTGAAGAATCAACTGGTTCTCGAAGGACACGACAAACAGTTTCTCATCAACAGACTATACATGTTTATCAAACAGGAGAACGACAAACATCAGAAAATGGGTGTGCGGGTGAGAGAGGGCGACAGACATGCCAGCAACTAATTACTAACCTTCAGTTTGGACGCGTCTTCGCGTTTCCCTTGGTTACGCACGGCTTAAATTGACCCGCTAGCCGCTAAGTGGGGGGGGGGGGGGTGTATACCCTAATACTCACATTGACAATTGCCAGCCCTGTATATATACACCTAAAGTTGGCTTCTGAATTGTTTTCGGAAACGGCACATGTTCTCTCCTCTGCATCATAAAATTTCGCACCCGGATTTCCACAGACAAAATTTATCAACTGATAGCACCGGTTTCACACAGCTGTCAAACACGCGTATAGTTCGTTTCGCAGGGGTAAATATTTATGTCATATTTTTTTGACAAATTTGATAATTATTTTAACTCTAAAAACACCTTTTTTATATTTTGAATTGACAAGCCTTTTTCGTAATGTTCTTTCAGTCTATTTTTGAACTTCTGCACCTGTTAAAAAAAGTAAGACCTATAGGCCCCTTTTGAAATGAATTATTGATGAGGGCAGTGGACATCCTGTATATAATTTAGAAAATTACCGCAATGTATAAAGCTAACAATGCATACTGAGAGAACAGTATCTTGGATATATTAGAATGTAAAAAAAAATTTTAGTTCCAATTCCATCCACAAGTTAACTTAGGTCTTAGCGAAGAGAGTATTCTATGTTTTACAATTTTATATGTATGTAACTTACGTGGAAAAATGTGATTTTGTTGTTGACCAATTTTAAGTAGTTACTCGATATTCAAATACCGAGTATGTATTCCATTATGCTTCCGCCTCAAGGCGAACTTGTATCAGATCTCCGTAAATCAGTCAGCCATATGTAGTATTATTGTTTTTATATGATGTCTTTATAGTTCTTTTGTGTTTTTAAAGGAAATTAGACGTTATCGATACGTAAAATATATTTGTGATATTTTATAAACCAATTGTTTGGTTTATAACCAACTGACTTTAGTTAAGGTGTCAAGAAAATGTCATTTCCATTGTCTCTAGTCACTGTACAAGATAAACGATATCAATTTGATTTATATTGTATTACCACAAATTAAAATATATTACATGAATAAAGATATTTGTTTTATTAGGCACCCAATAACAGCAATTACTTAAGTAAAAGGCACAGTTGGAAATCATTCTTCGGTGATAGGACTATGCAGCTGAAACGAACAAAAACTTGTTTACACATTCAAACAAAAAGTAGGCAAAGTACTTATTTAACTCTACCAGTAAACATAACCTATTTTTTTAAAATTGAAATAATACTCACGGCTTCCGAGATTTCAATCCAATCCAAAGCTTTAATAAATGCGTCGTTTCTGCTTGGCATCTTATCCCAGTTCCAGTAGACAATTTCGTTAAAATTGTTGACTATATAAAACTTCCGTTCACTCTTTTTAATAGTTGGCCTGATGTTTTCGTGTAACATTAACCCAATGTAACCGTCAGGGATGGCGATTTTTTGACCTCGAAGAGGGTACCCCCGGAAAGAACCCTTCAATACTTTGAATAAACGGTTAAACCTTCTGCAGAATATCAATGGAGAGAAGAATATGAAGCCGGGTTGTTCTTACCATTGCCTTGGGTTTCTTTTACATATGGTTCGAAATAACGCGAAACTGGTGCATCGCAATCGGCGTGAATTCTAAACGGGACACTGTGAACTTTGCTATGTTTAATAGAACAATCCAAACTATTTTTCCCGCTTTGAATGTGTATAGCCATGTTTTCAAATACACCACAGAATATAGCAGTTGTACCACGGAATAATCTTGTTAACGAGGTAGGCACAGCATTTATTGGCTTTTCTTGTTAGTCAGTTAGGGAATGTAATTTATGGGAGATTAATAGTTTTTAATTAATAACAATTGTCAGCTGTCGGTGACAAAAAGCTATTAACGAGCATCACGTTCACTGTGGACTAACTTCAAAATTTTTAATCAAACGTCATTCAAACTTCCAAATAGAAAAGCAAAATTTACGTAAAATGTTTCGAAATTTGATACAAAAGCTACCCACTTTTCAGCGGACGCGGGTAAGTATTTCGGACATCGTGAACGTGAGGTCTGAACGTATACGAAAAACTGGTGAAATTTTTTTGGTTTTGTGAATATATTTACCACTAATACAATCGTACATATTACATAAAATATTTTTCATGCAGTTTTCAGTTTATGTTTAGCTTCGCGCTGTTGACCTGTGTAGTATGACGTCATTTGACTGTTAGGTCTGCTTTCGTTCCAGAAGTCCGAATTTTCACATAAACTGCCGAAAGGCGGTTACCGCTCTCTGTCTCCGTTCCAAATATTCTCTGGCAGCTCGAAACCTCAGCGATCCCAATCATGTCCACCGGAAAAACGCGAACTCACCGAAAACGTCGATGTCAAATCGACGCCGCGTTCTTATAGTCGGGAATCGCGACACGGCAGCAACGGACGAATGAATGACAAGTACGAGACGGAAATCAAATGGCGTGAATCGCCGATTCCCGCCGCTAGAGCGCGCGAGTCGAAACAATTGGATGAAGAGTCGATCGGTAAAGCACATCAGCGAGAGGAGTTTATTCCGCCACTCCAGCAATACGAACTGGAGGCCGCGAAACCCCGCGAACCCAAAAGCACCCAGCTAATCGAGGCATTTCAATCGAAGACGGAAAAAACCATGTACGGCGTACAACTGCAGCCGAACGAACTCAAACCGTTCGGCTCGCAGGACAACTTGTACTCGCCGATCCTCATCAAACCTGCTTCCGCGGTAAAGGGTCCGACGAGGAGGAGGGTGGCCGACGAAGAGGTCTCCCAAATACGACTACCTCGCGATGATTTTCACAGGTTAAATGCCGAGACAAACAAGCACAACTAACCAAGTTTAGCATGTGCTCTCAAGTGCGCATGAATTTGCCAATTTTCTTAATATTTTTACTTTTTAAACCCTGTTAAAAGAATTGATTTTTTATTCCTCACATATTAGCGCTCTAACACCTCTTTCTGTTTTGTTATTAAATAAAATGTTATCCAGGTGGACCCCAAGGTTCCATGGTAAACTCGGCGGGGGTCTACGTTGGCGTGACAAAAATAATTGGGGATATGGTAACAATGTAGCTGCAGGGGTCCACCGGAGCGAGCTAAATTTTGAAAGTGATCCATGAGAAGAAAGTTTGGGAACCACAGGGGCTAGTGGTAGTCATGGAATGTTATTAATTGGATTGTGTAGGCATAGTATAAATATAATAATGCGCCCCAAATTTATATAGTTTATCCAGCTTAGGGAACATGTTGGATTGAAATAGTATTTTCTCTTTGGCACTGAAGACCATTATAATCCTTTTTTATTGTTTTTAAATGGCATGTAAACTTTAAGTGGTTATGTTGAGAAAATAGTTTGTCTTTGTCATTTTTGACTGCGTTAAGTAATGGGTTGATAAATAAATACATAAAGAAATCTTCCGCATTGACTTCCACAGAAATTACTCCACCGATAGGATGGCGTTTAAGATTCCGTCTCGATTCGACATATGTCCGCCGAATTTCTACGCGGGGACGAACGACGCCGAAGAGGATAACGAACGGGTCGAGTTCGTCACTCCGGAAATGCGGGAGGCGAGAAGACTGACGGCCATCAGCGGCGCCGAAGGTGTCAATTATAAGCCCAGCTACTCCGATCGGATGAAGCTGCTTCCGAAGGGGGTATCAAAAATAGAGCGACTCAACGTGCTCGCTGTTGATATGCGTCACAAGGCGCGCGGCGTATGCATAGATATCCAAGAAAAACGCGCATTGAGTACGCACTCCGGCAACGCTGCTGTACATAAACCAGTCGATCTGAATCGGCAACAGAGGAACGACTATTCCAAGTCCAAAACGGAGGACTGTTCTGACGTGTGCACGGAAATGAAACGGCGACGGCAACCACGGCCCAGGTATGGTCTGTTCATAGATATAAGAAAGTGACCAATTGCTTTTAAATGGAATTATCCAAGGGCGGTCATTAACATACGATGCAACAACATTATTACCTAAAGTTTCGGAATTTAAATTCAGGTAAAATTGTGGTCCGTAATAGAAAATAATTTTATACCTACTTGTGTTTAATATTCTTTGGTTTGGTGTACTACTTAGTTCAAGTTTATTAGTAATCATTCTTATTTCGTGTGTAATACAGCGTGTGTTGAATCGTGTGCGAATTATTCAAAATATGCGCGAGTCTAGTGTATCTCAGAAGATGCTCCGGCCCAAATGTAGAAAACACTATTCTATTGAGAAATTTACTACTGAATCACAGCCTCCTAGTTAGACCAACCGTTATCGAGATCGCGAGTTTAGTGAGGAGCGCATATACTTGTAAAAAGAATCGATTTTTCGAAAGTAACTAGTATTTGGTTAGTTTTTAGTTTCGTTCTGTTATTGAGTTCACAGAGAAAAGAGTAGAGAAGAGAGAGCATATACGGGAGACTTTGAGCAATGCAGTGTAACGACCTAAACACTGGACAGTTACATAGCTCTGTAGGATATCTTTCTTCTAGTGATATTTTTGAACGTTGGTCTGTTAAGTCCGTTTCCCACATGGGCAATTCAAATTACCCTTGCTAGTTTAAGCAGGTTATGCAACATGTATCGTCTCTGATCTGTGGTTAGATTAATTACGTTTCGAGCGATGCAAATATTCAGAAAAATAATCTCAAAAACAGAAAAATTCCAAAACCATCTTCACTATGTATAGTAATAGCATGTTTTTATTTTGGTTAGTTCTGGTTAGCTGGACACCTGCAAGTTACTAAAGAATTGCGTGGTCTATACAACCGAGCACCGCAAAAACTGTGTATGCGCATGCCCGAAATAAAAATTACAGCAATTTTGTGTAAAGGCATTCATCTGGTAATCTTAGCTCAGACAAGTTAAAACCTTGTAAACAACCCATGATGCAATTTGTGTTCCCATTTATTTTGCGCTAAACTGAGGTTGCAAATCTGCTTTGACGATAAAAATCGTTCCAATTTGTCAAATAAAAACAATTAAATAAAATCATGGCTAAATATTATATATATATAATATATAACAAATATTAAATATAAATAAATCGCAATCAAAAAATGTGGAATATTTCACAGTGTGTACTTTTGACATCGAGTATTCAATATACCAGTTCGGTATACCCCTTATTCTCCCTTATACAGACTATAACTATTAAAAACTTCAATATTTAGTAGTATTGCCACATTCGTCTGAAATACTTTTAAGATTGATTGATTTTTTGTGATATTAAATTGCGAGTGAATCATTTCAAATTTTGCTTTCAACAATCGACTTGGTCGTTGATTTTCGCAAAATATGTCCAGATCTTATTAAATTTTCTCTAATATCCTAATAGTCGGTAGGTAACCGACTCGGTCAATGTTTCAGATAGTAATTGTCTATATCCCATACCTATCCTATCCTATACCCTCCCTCTTTCCAAAATATTAATTTAATCATTTCAAAAAACTACCTGCAAAATAAAAGAGCAAATGTCTGCCTTTGAAAGATAATTTAGGGGTATGCACGGATAGCCGCCTGAGATGTATGAATCTGTTACTATTTGCTACAAGGAATCGTCGCGTCAAGTGGGTAGTTAGAAAAACATTAGATGGGCAAAGCTTAAATAGAGTCTCCCTCCTGCTTCGATGCTTACATGTAAACCTGTGTAGGTACACAGCCGCACACGAGCCGAAGCCCTGCAACGTGCCTACCCCCACCAAAATCTACCTACCCTCCAAGGTGAAATTGTCCGTACCCCCGTGCACCCCGAGACCCGCTTACGAGGACTGCAAGCCAATCAACTATTGCCCGCCGCGGGCGGACGACTGCCTGACGATGCACCCCAAAAAGCTGCCTTTGTTGGAGGCGAAAGAATGCCCTTGCGTGGAACCAGAGCCGCCGAAGTTCAGCCCCAAGCTGCGTCGGCTTCCTGTTAAGTCAGAGGATCCTCCAAAGGAGGCGTGTCTCGTCGTAGACGCGTGCGTAAGGCCTAGGTACACGCAGGTTCCTTAACACTGAGTATGGTTCATTTTCTCTAAGAGGGTCCCTAAACAATAATACTGATTTAAAGTGTATGGCAATTTTTTTTATATATATTTTTTAGTTTTTTGAAAAATCAGATTTGTTCGCAACACGTTGCTAAATTTCCTTAGTCACTCGTTTATCAAACACTCGCCGCGATGGGGCCAAAACAAATTCGTGACTAAAGTGGCGTTTACCAAACTCATGGCATAATTTTTATTTATCATACTTGCTGACATTTATGAAGTACTACATTAAACTGATTGTCAAAACTTTGGTTAATACGATGTTTTGCAACCATTTTGTTAACAACCATTTTGCTAACACAATGCTATCAATTTATAAATTACTAAATTTCCTATCAAGTTACTCTATGTTAACAACAACGATGTAATAGCAAAGTACCGGAAATATCGTCAACATTTAAAATAATCTAACTTGTTCAAAAATAAACTTAAGAAAAAACGCATATAAGTCTTTCTAACACTAAAAGAATTAGTTGGCCGAGAATTCAGGAGAATTGTCCCAAAAAAAAAAATCATTTTTTTATTAATGGACAATTCAAGCAATGTGTCAGTAGCGGCTCGTGCAATAAAAATGTGGGGGTTGCAGGGGCGGCTATAGAATGACGCAAAATTTTTTTGTAGGTCACGTCCAAAAAGTCTAGAAGTAGTGGATTTAAAATGATTTAAAGTATATAAACTAACAAACTTTAATAATACTTACATAATAATTTTTAAAAATGAATATCTAATAATTGGGATTTATTTAAAGAGAAAATCCATACGACGATCTTTAGCAGACACACACTTATCGATAACGCTCTGATTAAAGTCAGGTATGCTTTCAATGAGATTTCTTTCTTTATTTAGCATTGCCAGTGCCGAAAGTCTGTCATGGCCCATGGTATTTGTTAAAAATGTTTTTGTCCGTTTGAGGGTTGAAAAGCTCCGTTCTGCTTTAGCTGAAGCCATAGGGATTGTTATTAAATTTTTTATGAGTTTTAAAGTTTCAATAAAAGTTTCACTTAGCTCGGTATTTTGAGAAATAAAATCTGCTACTGCGGATCTCAGAGGTCTACTTGAAAAAAATGCACAAATTCGTTGTAAATTGGCAAAAAAAATCGAACATTCTTGTTTGTGAATGTCACGTTTAACATTACCAAATTTAATTGATGTGAATAACAATGCACGTAAGTAAGTCTTTTTAATCATTGTTTGCACCCCGTTAGATGACCCGCTCATAACTTATGCGCCGTATTTGTGCAATAAGCTTGCTTTTGTTGTTTTTTACGTGCTTTTCAAGTTCCGTCAGAATAGCCGAATACAAAGCTTTGGCGTCATGATCCAAATGCAATAAAGAAACCCAAAATCGTTGTACTGGCTTACTTTTTACAACATATCTAAATAGAATTGCAATTTGGAATTGATTTGATACGTCACCAGTTTCATGAGCAATTATAGACAAATAATCGGCTTGTTCGATTCCTTTAGAAATTTCCTCTTGACATACATAAAGCATTGTCTGTAAAATTTAGTTTTGGATGGTTTACTTTAAATATCGTTGCTTTTTCTAGGTGTTGTTTAAGAGCACCTTCCAACTCAGTACTAAAGTAAATTAGTCTCCAAAAACCTCCGGGAATAGAGGAAAATGCAGACTCATCACGTCCTCTTAACGCGAGCTCAAAAGCACACAATTAATGATAATGTTTAGAATAAATCGATTATGTTTCACTTGTTCCTTGTACAACACAATATCACGCCGATAAGAGGTGCTCAACTGAGCAGCTACGTTTACAGTTCCAAAAAGTGAATATTGTAAAATATTCTTCATGTGTTTTGCCGACTTGCGGTCTTCTGAATGATTTAAGTCGGTAAAACCATTTTTCTACTCCCGTCTGTAAAATACCTATTTACACACCGATGTAGCATGCGAGAAGCCTCATTTTACCACTTCAGTTTTATTTCCCTTGGATCCGTGCCACTTCGGACATTTCCGTGACTTTACGCCACGGGTTTTGTAGCAATCGGATGATTTCGGAGATATTTCCTACGCCTTGAATTTGACGTTTGTTAATTCTGACGGCAATGTCAGTGAATGTATTCGTGTTGTTTCACGAAAATGTGCCCAAAAACTAACGGTCGTAGAAAATTATTATGCAAAAAGTGCGGTAAACGGCATTTGACTCACGAGTTTATTTGACACGAGCGGAGCGAGTTTTTAATAAACGAGTGAGTTAAAAAAGAATGTACCCAAAAACTAACTCGGCACTCGGCTTGCAACCTCATTGACCTTACGGGGCGGAACTGAAACTCCTACGTGTGCGTTTAATATAGCCGGGGGCTGGAGGAAATGAAACATCATTATTAGGGGAAGATGGTGATACAATTTCAATAATTACAATAACTGTTTCTCGCGTATTGGCGTTGACACAGACTTTTTGCATAACATAAATAGAATTATATATATATATATATATATATATATATATATATATATATATATATATATATATATATATATATATATATATATATATATATATATATATATATATATATATATATCTTGTGATTTTCTCGATTATTTTTATTTTTATTGATAATACGCATGCCGAGTTGTCCACTTCTTTTTAAATACTGACGTCAATGTGAATGTATGTATACTCGTTTAGAGCTGACGACGCGCAGCCGTACAGCTACAAGCCGCTGAGGCCTTACGTTCCCGGCACGTGCGCGTGCGTCGACGAGCCGCCGATGACGAACGTGAAACTGAAGAGACTGCCTAAATGCGAGCCCGAGGACGTGTGCCGACCTGTTCGGGTGTGTCCGCCGCCGACGCCTTGTCCGCCAAGAGCGGACGAGTCGCTCGTCGAGCAACAGAAAAAATTGCCCGTGCTCGAGACGAAGCCGTGCGCGTGCCTGGAGGAACCGCGCATGAAACCGGGACCGCCATTGGTCAGACTCGATCTCGACGTCGCGCAGCCGCCGCGCGCCTGTCCTACAAAGGACGACGCTTGCACAAAGCCTGACCGCGCGGACAAGGACTGGGTGTCGAAGAAGAAGACTCTACCTGCCTTCGTACCGGGCGATTGTCCGTGCGAGGACCGACCGATGACTGACGTGAAGCTGCGCAGGCTCCGTTGCGTCGATGAGCCGCAGGAATGCGTGGTTCCTGACCCGTGCACCACCTTCCCCAGGGCCGACTGGGGCTGTTGGGAGTACGTCGCAGAGGAGTGCGCGGAAGTCGACCCCGAGTGCGTCATAGATCGGAAAGGTAGCTTTTTGCATGAACGTGACATTATTTGACTGACACAAAGGGGAAGTATCTCCCCTACCTTGCTTACGAAAAGGCGTATCTCGGAAAATCGATATTTTGAGATAACGCCGTGCCTTTATTTTGATAAAGACACGGTGTTGCCGAAACAACTGGCATAAATCATTAAATAACTGTGAAAATCTGAACATTTAATTGTGTCAAATGAATTTTCATAAAGTAAAAGCCACCTCAGCCAATTTTGAGATAATGTGCTCAGTTTTTCTCCATATGCGATATCATTGTTTATTTATTTATTTGTTTACAAACGCCACTACAACATGGAAAAAAATAAAACTAGATTACTTGTTAATAACGTATCAATTTCAGTGTGCGCAGTTATGATATATTTCCATTAAAAATATCAAATGCATTCTGACTGTCATTAGTTTGTCTACACATTACATTGATTGGTGCATTACCACAATTGTTAGTTCGGGGTTATTTCGGTGAAACAATAATGGCTTTCTAGTATTTTGTATAGATAAATTATTGATGAAATATTTCTTAATTGTGTCAAACTTGGCAGTTTATATCTTCGCACTAATTGTAAGCATACTTATGTAAGTCATAAGATTCATATTACAGTCGTATTACGCTGTAAAATGCTTCTGACATATGCTATATGCAGCTAGTTAATGCAGTTTAAATTTTTAAAGCCCTAACAGTCTCTTACAAGGAACCCGTACATAGCGTGCGATTCTGAATGTGTTTTAAACGATAATAGTGAATCAAAAATTACTTCAAGGTCTCATATTTCAAATGCGGGCGTTAAACCGGGTGATTTGCATCGCAACACTTTTACCGGAGCTGCCCCTAGAGAGAACGCTCATCGCAAGTGATTAGTGATTCCGCATACCTGATGAAGCGGCCGTCTACTAAATTTTATTGTTGTAAAAAATGCCAATGAACCATTTGTATTAAAAACTATTAGTAGAGGATCCGGTTTAAGAACAACACCCCTCATTCTTTTCCGTGATAAAATAATTTTTTTTAATAATAAAACTTATTGATTAATCAAACGAGAAATGATTGACAGTCTATATCTTAGCAAGACTATTTTTAATTAAAAATTAATTAATTTCTTTTTTTTTTCTTGGTTACCGTCAGTATTTTTCTTTATAAATTTAGTCTCAATCAAAGAAAAAAAGTTTATAGAAAATGCCATACAATGTTTGACTACCTTTTTAGGCAACAATACGTGTCAACCAGGTGTAAACAGGTAATCGGATGTAGTGATTTACCCTCATTCTTTTTCGTTAAAAATTAAATATGTAAATATACAGAATTTTATTACGAACCCAACGATATATGATTGACTTTCCAAATCGTGGCAAAGCTAACGATTATTAAAAATTCCGTTTATTAAATGTGTAAAATTAAGAAATGTCCTTTATGAACAAAAACTCGCCAATTAAGCCGTCCAAACCCAACCAAAAAATAAAAGAATATGCTGAAATAATGCAAATAGAAATGCATTGGGTCAACCGGACTTAGAAGAAACCAAAACTACTATAAGGATTGTTCATTAAGCCCGATGTGGTGGTAATCAAGCTTCCGACAAGTCAAAAATCGTAAAATAATTAGGCCAAAATTTCACCTTAAAATTTTGGACTTAAAATACGTTAAAATGTTTTGGGTGCCCAAAATGTTTTCAAAATATTACTAACAAAACTTTGTTTATTCATACGCTTGCATCTAGTGAAAAATTCCTTTTTGCACCGCATCAATTTCTTAGTAATAGTCAGCTATATACGCGTATGTACCATGAGTTTAATTTATCTTGATAAAATAAAAAAACAGTACCAATCTTCTGACATATAAGCCGGCATCATATTTATTTTTAATGGAACACCGTGTATATTATATATGTTTAATTGATTGTCTGATTCCGATTACAATGATGTAAAACACTTTACATTTTAGTCCATTTGTTTTTGACAAATCGGCAAAAATAAGACATTTTTATATAATTTCAAAGAGCGCCGTGACTGACTGCAACAAAAATAATTATATACAAAATAAAGTACAACAAAAACACCAAAAATGACAAGGCACACTAAAGTAAAAAATTTATTAACTATTCTAAACACCTGTATGTGACCACCATTTTCCTGAACACATTCCTTATACACTCTAATTGTATGATATTTTGCATTTAGTAACATTTTCGGATTGTCTCTTAACTGATTGATGGCCTCTGAATGTTCCACGACATTATTTATGTGTCCCCAAAAGAAAAAATCGTTTAAAGTTAAGTCGAGGCTGTTGGCTGGCCAATCCATAGTTTCGCCGATACCTATCCAACCCCAGGGATATTCCATGTTAAGAAAATTTTTAACTTCCACAACATTGTGAGCAGAGGCACCGTCTTGCTGCCATATAATCAGCGCTGTTATATTTATGGGCAAATCTTCTATATATTGTCCTTGGTGCTCTAAGAGTTGCAAATAATGGTCTCTAGTTAACTTTTGATCTTAAATATCGGACCCAAAATATGCCCATCTATGATACCAGACCATACATTAATTGATTGGTACTCCTGGTGTTCAGTTTTCATTTTATTATTTTTCGACTTCTTATGAATTTAAATATATAAACCTATAGCTTATCGATTGGCCGCGAGTACAGCACCAAGAAGTTATTCTTCTTCCTTTCCTCGCGGTATTAAATTCTTGAACTTAACTGGCCATCTATACCCGCCAGCGCCCTTAGGCGCATGCTCCACTAAAAATCACGGTGAAGCGCTAAATCGGTCGCTCTCATCGTGTGGTTCAAAAAGTGCCGTTGAACGCATCAGGTCATACGCGTGGTGATCAACAAATTTCCTCACCACTCGAGGCACAGAGGACGCAGCACGGGCCGGCCCCTCCGGAAGGAAGACCAAAAGCGAGGTAGGGTCAGTTAAGTAATCAAAAATCTTTTGATCCTGTCTTGAGTAATTTTTGCGACTTCTTGCTGTGCCAGCTGCGGCCAAAGTCCGTTTCCGCGCGGACAAAACATTTTTGGTCCTTACGAGCCCAATTAAAAAGAACTAACTTTTATCTTATTATTGTGCAATCAATATTCTCAATTTGAAATTCACGATTACGTGCTATGCTTTGCGAAAAATCTGTTTATTCCTTTACTTTTTTTGTGTATGAAGGCCATTAGCATCAACACAAAAAGACCAGTACGTTTTTTTTTATATATACAGATTCGCATTTGATTTCAATCGACTGGATCTCGGTTTCAAACATTGTTTCGTTTTAACGTTCAATATCGGAACGGCCAGAGTTTCAGGCGTATTTATTTACTTTTTTGTCGAATTTCTTTCGGTCTAGTTGAAACTCGGAAAAGTTTGGTTTTCATTTTTTTATTATCATTATTATTATTTGAGTAACATCGCTTTTCTCTCTGAATCTGCGTAGTGTTCGATAGGTTTTTATAATGGCAAAATCTTTAGGTCAGAATAAAGTCACTCGAGGTTTTTTTATAAGTCGTTTGACTGAAATTTATAATTGTTCTCAGACCTGTCTCACTGATTCAACTAAGTTAAATCAATTTAAAGCTCGTTACGAAGGAATTGAAGACATTAGAAATAATTTTGAAGCTCATCATCATGCAATCATTGGGTCACAACAGATGACTGACAAGTCTCTGGAGGATGAAGACGAAATTCGTCGAGAATTTGACGACAAATATTTCGTGATAAAATCTATATATATGGATTTGTTTCCTACAGCGGCTCAAAGTCCTGTTGTCCCATCAAACCAAGTGGAATTTTATTCTTCTCAATTTGCTTTTATCAAAAATTGATGTGCATTCAGCTAAGTCATTTGAGCTTGCGCACAGCAGTGTAGAGCTTCCTTCATACGACGATTTAATCAAATTTTTAGATAAAAATTGCAAGGCATTATCGTCCTTTGCACTTTCAAGTCCAGAAGACACCATTCGAACAAAATCAGTCAGAAACCAAAGCGAACGCAGTTTTAAATCTTAATTAAATCCTAAAGGTTTCTTAACGCAGGATAGTCCAAAATGTACATTAGGATGTCAGAGTAGACACTCGTTGATTAAATGTTCAGTTTTCAAATCGAAAACGCCTCGTGATCGTTACACCATCGTCAAGCAACATCGCTTGTGCACATTATGCCTCAATTTGCGGTGCAGCGCTAAAAAATGTTCGAGCAATACAGCTTGCCAATTTTGTCAAAGTCGGACACACCATACTTTGCTTCACTGGGGAGCCGATTCTCCTTCCAAAGGCAATTCGCCACAGACACCACATGACTCATCATGCGAACTTCCTCACTCCGTTGCATCTTCTGCATCGGTAGAGCTAAACTCACCTAAATCATATGCCTCTTCTTCGGCGAATATAACCGACTCAACCTTACTCGCTACCGCCCTCGTACAAGTGGCTGACAGACATGGCAACCTACACACCGAGCGCTGCTGGATAGCGCGAGTCAGGTAAACTGCATCACTGAGAAGTGTTTTCGAAGATTGGGTTTGAAAAGTTACGGTGGAAGTGTTGAAATTCAAGGTATCGGTGATACGTCAGTTGCTACATCGAGAGGCTACACTACTTTCGAACTAAGCGTGCCTGGTTTGAATCAACCTTTCGTGGCAGTCTATTCAGTCATATTACCATCCATTTGCATTAACATGCCTATTGTTTCAGTAGAACACAATAGCTGGGATCATTTGTCTCATATTAAGTTAGCCGATCCAAGTTTCAAGACTCCTAGTGGAATCGACATTTTACTAGGTGCCTCGATATTTCCGTTACTCATGTTGGATGGCAAGATTATGCAATCTCCACATGATCCTATTGCCTTAAACACCATTTACGGCTGGATTATCATGGGAAATGTCAAATCATCTGGCAACTCTCGTTTACATCCACGCCATAGCTTCTTTACTTTATCAGATTCTCTTGAGAGAACCTTGTCCAAATTCTGGCAACTTGAAGAGGTTCCTCATACTGAACCTATGTCTGAGTCTGACAAGTTATGTGAGCGATTGTTTAACACTACTCACTATCGGGAATTGTCTGGGAGATTTATAGTATCTCTTCCATTCAAAGCAGACGAGCCTGTTTTTTCGAGTTCTAGGGATATTGCTCTGAAACAGTTCTATTCTTTAGAGCGACGGCTCTTAAAAGATGTTGATCTCTATGAAAAATACTCTGCTGTCATTCGTGAGTATCTAGACTCCAAACATATGGAAGTTGTTGCTCCTCCTGAAATTTCGACTGATACTCAAAAAATGTATTATCTACCCCACCATTCGGTTATGAAAGCTAGTGACCAAAGCGTGCGCGTAGTATTCAATGCATCTTGTCCTACTCCACAAGGATCACTCAATCAGTTTCTTCTGTCAGATCCTAAACTCCAAAAAGACATCACCGCAATTTGCCTTAACTTCAGAAAATTTCCATTAGCATTTTCTTGTGACATCAAAGCCATGTATCGTATGATTGTATTAGACCCCAGGCATCGGGATTATCAGAGGCTAGTATGGAGATTTTCTCCCGAGCAGCCTATCCAAGATTATCGTCTTACCCGCGTTACATTTGGAATCGCATCATCTCCTTATTTGGCACTTCGAGTCATTTTGCAACTGGCACGAGAGGGCTCAGAAGCATATCCGAACGCTTCAAGAGTTCTGCAGTCCGACATATTTGTCGACGACATCTGCACAGGAGCTTACACCTTGGAGGAAGCATTGACTCCTAAAGCAGAGCTTGTTGAGTTATTAAATTCCGCAGGTTTTGAGCTGCGGAAGTGGTCAAGTAATGATCTCAACTTTCTTAATACAATTCCGTCAAATATTCGACAAACTTCTGTTTCACTAGACACTGACACTGACTGTTTTCACAAAGTCCTTGGTCTCCAATGGGACCCAGTGAATGATGTCTTTTCATATCAGGTCAATCAAACCGACGATTCTTGTACGAAAAGATCAATTCTCTCTACCAATGCTCGTACGTTTGATCCAATCGGCTTGATATCACCTTGCATATTTCTTGCAAAGCATCTAATGCAATTGATGTGGGCAGAGGGTGTAGATTGGGATGATACTCCAACCCAAGGTCTTGTCGATCGATGGTTGACATACAAAAGTCAGTTACCCTTGATTTCACAGATAAAAATTCCCAGGTACATCTTGACACCAAATCTTCAGTCTCTACAACTCCATGTTTTCGGCGATGCTTCGGAAATTGGTTTCGGCGCATGCGCGTATTTTCGAGTCGCCGATTCAACTGGCAGTGTATTTTCCACGCTAGTGACAGCCAAGACCAAAGTTGCTCCACTAAAAAGGATCTCCCTTCCTCGCCTCGAGCTATCAGCTTCAGTTTTGGTCGCTGATTTAATTTCTTTCATCAAAGTCAGTTATTCTGATGTTGGTTTTGAATCCATTTTCGCATGGTCTGACTCGATGGTAGCTCTCGGTTGGATAAGGGCGCCTCCATATAAATGGAAAACCTATATCGCAAATCGCGTATCTCACATTCAAAATATTCTTCCTCCATCTTCTTGGAGATTTGTCCCAACACAACTCAACCCAGGTGATATTGCATCACGTGGTATGTTGCCGGAAGAGCTATTGAACAACTCTATGTGGTGGAACGGCCCAGAGTGGCTACGTCGTTCGTCTGACCAATGGCCGAACAATCCAACTCCTACTCTCGACTCACCAGATATTCGGAAAGAGGAATCAAAAAGGTATGTTTACTCGACTTTTCCACAAAAATTCTTTCCTTTCTCGGATTTATTGGACAGATTTTCTTCTCTTCCGAAAATTCTTCGTATTATCACTTATGTTTTGCGTTTCATAGATCTGAAAATAAAACGTCAGTCTGTTGATACATCAGTAATGAATGAAATTGAATTACATAACTCATTACTCGTCTTTGTTCGAATCGTTCAACAGCAATGTTTTCGACAGGAATTTGATCTTGTTTCCAAAGGTCTACCTTGCTCCAAACCTATGCGCAAGTTGTGTCTTGTAATTGATACTCAGGGTATTCTCAGGGTGGGCGGAAGGCTAATTACGTCCATGCTTCCCTATGAGCAAAAACACCCTGCCCTCTTACCATCAAACCATAAACTGACAGATATGATAGTCTGTTATTATCACAATAAATACCTGCATCCAGGTTTTCAAACTTTGTCCTATTTGTTGTTACAACATTTTTGGATTATTGCTTCCAAACGAGTCATCAGGAGGAATTTGTCTCAATGTTACCGCTGTTTTCGAGCAAACCCTAAACCGTACATTCCCCGTATGGGCAATCTGCCCTCTTATCGCATCACACAACTCAAGCCATTTCAGTGTGTTGGTGTCGATATGGCAGGTCCTTTTCAAATTACCATGGCAAAGCTACAAGGTGCTAAGACTCTAAAAGCATATCTTTGTCTTTTCATCTGCTGTTCAGTTCGTACTATCCACCTTGAGTTAGTTTCGGATTTATCAACTGATGCATTTTTAGCCGCATTGCGACGCATGATTGCGCGCCGAGGAAAACCTTCTGCTCTCCACAGCGACTGCGGAACGAATTTCATTTCTGCGTCAAAATACATAGCCAATATCATGTCCGATGCAGCTAGAGAAGAGCAGATCTCTTGGTCATTTAATCCTCCCTCTAGTCCGCACTTCGGTGGCTTGTGGGAAGCCGGCGTCAAAAGCGTCAAAAAACACCTAGTCCGTGTAGTAGGTGACCGCATCATGACCTACGAAGAACTCAATACAGTTTTGGTTCAAATAGAATCAATTGTTAACTCTAGACCCATATGCGCTGTCAGTAACGATCCCAATGACGTGAGCTGTATTACACCAGGCCATTTTTTGATGTTGGCTCCAGTATCGACACTCCCTGACCCTGATATGACTTCTTCAAACATGTCGAGACTAAACCGTTGGCAGCTAATCTTGCAAATGCAGCAGCACTTCTGGCGTCGATGGCATAATGAATATCTCACAAGCCTCAATCAACGTAATAAATGGTGTGACAACCGCCCCAATCTTGATGTGGGCACATTGGTGGTCTTAAAGGAGGAAAACACTCCAGTTCTTGACTGGCGTCTTGCGCGTATAGCCGAGGTCTACCCTGGCCCTGATGGCATTGTCAGAGTGGTCAAGGTTCGTACTGCGACTGGTGTCTTTAAGAGACCTGTTGTAAAACTCTGCCCTCTACCAAATCAATAGCGTGGTAAGCACATTTTTCGCTTAAAGCACACAAGATGTTAGCACTTCCATTAGTAATATTTATTAGTATAGTTCTGAATTTTCTTTTTTTTTTAACCTATAAACTGTAGGTAAACATGGGTATCATTTTTTTGGAACCGCTTTTTTGTTTTTTTTTTTGGGAAAATACCTACTGCATTTTGGTGGGCGGTATGTTCAGTTTTCATTTTATTATTTTTCGACTTCTTATGAATTTAAATATATAAACCTATAGCTTATCGATTGGCCGCGAGTACAGCACCAAGAAGTTATTCTTCTTCCTTTCCTCGCGGTATTAAATTCTTAACTGGCCATCTATACCCGCCAGCGCCCTTAGGCGCATGCTCCACTAAAAATCACGGTGAAGCGCTAAATCGGTCGCTCTCATCGTGTGGTTCAAAAAGTGCCGTTGAACGCATCAGGTCATACGCGTGGTGATCAACAAATTTCCTCACCACTCGAGGCACAGAGGACGCAGCACGGGCCGGCCCCTCCGGAAGGAAGACCAAAAGCGAGGTAGGGTCAGTTAAGTAATCAAAAATCTTTTGATCCTGTCTTGAGTAATTTTTGCGACTTCTTGCTGTGCCAGCTGCGACCAAAGTCCGTTTCCGCGCGGACAAAACACCTGGGTTTTGGGTATTTGTATAGGATTATTTAATGACCAATATCGCGTATTTTGTCTATTACAATCCTTTCTTGTAATCCATAAAATGTTTTTCAAAAAATTGTTATTCTCATTATGTCTATTTAAAAAATCCAAACAAAACTGCATCATCCTCCTTTGACATTGTTCTGTACTTAGTTTTTGAATTTTACGAAATTTAAATGCATTATGTTTATGTTCTGTCCAAACTGAGTGGATTGATCCCTGAGAAATACCTGCCTGTAGTAATAGAGGAAACTGGATGTGCTTCATAGAATCCTAATATGTTAGCCTGATTTTCTTCATTTAAAACATTGTGATTCCGGAATAACTTTTTAGCATTTAATACGTTACCGTTTTCTGCAAATTTATTTGCCGGCCTTGGAAATAGCTGTTTTGAAGGAGCTCGGTGCGGTAATAGTATGTTATGCAACAAGTGCGGTAAACAGCAACTGACGCACGAGTATATTTGTCACAAACTTAGCGCAGTAGAGCGAGTGTTTAATAAACGAGTGAGTTACAAAGTTTACCGAATGTGTTGCATACTATACTTTTTCTACGACCGTTAGTTTTTGGGTATATTTTCGCAAAACAACACGAATCCATTCACTGACATGTCAGAATTGACAAATGTCAAATATCTCCGAAAACATCCGATTGCTCTCAAACCCGGACGGTAAAATTCCAGAAATGTCCGAAGTGCCTCGGCTTTATACCTCACTAGGAAAAAAACTTGGCTACTAACCCTACATTTTGTTTTATTATTTACCTTGATATCTCTAATAACAAAAACGTTACAGCCAAATAAAATGTTATCAAGATAAATTGAACGCACGGTACATTAATTAATTACTTTTTATTGAATATTCTTCTTGCGCCTGATTGGACCGTGTCCATGGAAGCTCTTATAATTTCAGGGAATTGCGAAACGGAAAAGAAAGTATCCAAAGCGCATGCGTGTGACAAGCCCGATGTGTGCCGCACACACGGTACCAGGGACGTACAGTACGATTCGAGGAGAAGGTACAACACGACGGCGTCCGGGTCGATGGGGTTGTTCAATCGGATCAAGGGACGCGTCGCCGACGTTCCCGATAAACCCACAGTCACCGTCAAGGTCAAGCGGAGCAAGAGGAAGATCGCGTCGCCGACGCTAGTGCTCGTCAGGCGCCTGCGCGAGTTGGACCGACACAAACCTCACGGCCTGTTATTCGAGCCGCAAATAGAGGGGAGTGAAGTGAATCGTACACCCGCAGATAACTATTCCGGCTCCGTTAAAGGTATAGTTGGATAGTTTCCTGTTGGTGCTATGATCGGATATCCGAGTCACCAATTAGTTCAATTAATCGATAATTTTAAAACAGCGGTTTTTTTGAATAATTTTAGACATCCGTATATAATCTATATGAAAATCTGCGTTTGCATTTCGAAACAATTTCATTTTGAGCAATCAAAACACACCTTTCTGGGAAAATTTGATCTAGCATTCGGAAATGAATGAGCGTCCATGCATGATACGCCCAACGTTCTGTAGCATCGCATATTTAGGTCTTCGGATAACGTGGCCAAAGTATTCCGATTTTCTTCCTTTTGGAATTATTTCCTCCTGGTTCTGAGTTCTCTGTAGCAGTTGCAGATTGAAAACCCTGTCAGTCCATGAGATTTTTAACATTCGCCGATAACACGATCTTTCATAAGCCCCGATCTTGTCCATATCTGCCTGTTTCAGTGTCCATGATTCTGATCCGTAAAGGAATTTTAAAAAAAAGAACGTAGCATCGAAGCATTCTTATTCTTAATCCGAAATTTATATCTCTGCAGCAAAGAAACTTTGCTATGCGACTTTTGATTTCATGAGACTGTATTTGTATTTTCTTACTCTTTCTATCGTTGTGTTGTCTATGCTAAGAATTCCGTTAAAATTTAATGTCTGTAATAATCATGTATTTAGTATTCTTAAGGTTCATCTTTAGTCCATATCTTTCACATGTATCATTTAGCCTCTGCAGCAGGGTTTGCAGATCTTCAAGCTTGTCTGTGACTATAATGGTGTCGTCCACATAACGTAAGTTGCTTAAAATCTGTCCGTTTATGATAAACACCATCCTGTCATTCATCCATAGCTTCACTGAAAATATATACGTTAAAGAGTAGTGGAGAAAGAATACAGTCCTGGCGCAGAATCTCCACTTTATCTGTAAGCTGATCTTCAATTCTGACTCTTGCTGTTTGGTTCGAGTAAAGATTCGCTATGATTCTTATGTCCCGATTATCAATGTTCTGAAAGATTTCTATAAGTTTTTGATGTTGAATTTTATGAAATGCCTTTTCAAAATCAAGAAAACAGGCGTAGACATCTTGGTTCATGTCGAGACATCGTTGTGCCAACACGTTTATACCGAACAGAGCCTCTTTAGTCCCCACACCAGTTCTAAAGCCTAATTGGCTATCGCTGATTGCGGAGTCCAACTTGGCGAAAATTCTTAAAAACACCTTCCAAGTTGGATTCATAAGGGCTATTGTCCCTGGCAGTCTTAGCCAATAGCAGTAAAAAAACAAGGGTCTTAACGATTCTATCGTATTTACGGCCTCTGTATATTCAATTTATTTAGTAGCCATACAAGTGACTATTTCGTTTTAAAAAATGAACATGGAAATCCTGCAGTTTACGTATTTGTTCGATTTAGCCAGGAAATGGTATAAAACTTTAAAGTTGAAGTTCTTTGATACTGCATATTATTATTTTTATTTCATAACGCAAGCTTCAAGTTACAAATGTATTTTACGGAAACAGTTTTCGATAAGTGTGGGGACCTTTAGAGGTACTACAAGCTGGGCTAGCAAGTTGAAGCAACAGGAGAAATACTAATAGCCAAATTAAGAAAACTTCGTTTGATACAAAGTTGTTTTTATTTATTTTACTTTTTATTTTGTATTTATCTTAGTCTGAATACAGTTTGAGCGAAAGAAAGCAATTTTTGAAATGTCTGTATGAATTTCTAGATTATTTTTACTATATTTTAAACATTAAAATAATATAAAGCAATTAAAACTTTTTTAAATCCTTTTTTACCCATATTTGATATTATTGACGCCATCCAACCAAGCCCAACCGCTTCCTTATTGTGATGACTCATACTTTAGCGTTTCACGGTCTTATGATGTAGGAGGTGTGGTCTATATACGTAAACTGTAGTATTACCCAATTTGGTAATCCAATTTTTATCCCAATGCTAGTCAAAAGTCGAAAACGCGAGGTGGCGAAGAAGACGTGCAGTACGATGCGGCCCCCGGAGGCGCAGCCTTGTCGGGACGGCTCATGCCCCAAGCACGAGATGTTATCTTGCTCGAGGTCTGAGCAACGGCCGCTGTGCAACGCCGAACGTGTACCCGTGTGCTGTGAGAAGGAGGAAGCGCCCTACGTTGCGTACTCGGAACGCGCCTACGGCAAAATCGAACCTTACACTAGTACGTCCCAGTGGACGTGCGGCAACAGTCGATACGGGTTTCATCCCAACAATAAGAAGAAGCGCGTGTCTTGGGATAAATCAGAAACGAAGACAAAGAAGTTTAGTACTGCCGCTCTGATCGGCGAACTGCCCCACGGCCGGATGTCGTATAAAGGTAGATTGCAACTATTGAAGGATGCGAACTTGTCTAGTACTAGTACTAGTAACTAAATCCTCTTAACAAGCGTATTCGGGTTTGTAAGGTTGGACCATCCTTAACAATGGTTGTCCTCCGACTGTGCCCTAAAACTTTTAGGGAATTGGTAAAAATCAGAACGCCCTTTCAGGTTCATTTCTTCTGGCATAAACTAAACTATTCGTTTTGATTTTCAAATAGTTTAACCCAGTGGTTCCCAATCTGTTTTGTGTCGTAGACCCCTTGGCATATTTTTTGTAAATTACTAACTGTAGTGAAGTTTAGTATTAAAAACTTAAATGAAAACACGTGTTGTTTTACACATTTATTAATTTAATTTAAATTAAAACCACTCAAAATAAAATTTTGTATCTGTTATATAAAATATGCGTAAGCTAAAATAAAGTAGCAATAAGTAAATATTTTTACTGGGATGGATGAACCTGATGCTTTAATAATAAATTATCGACATTTGCCGTCAATTTTGTAAGGTTTAATCTTAAATCTCCTCGGCTAATTATGTCCTGTCCGTTACTTTTTTTCGTTATGAGAATAGCAACAGCGCTAAACTCCTTTTCCACTAGGTATGACGATGGAATAGTATATTATGCAACAAGTGCGGTAAACGGCATTTGACTCACGAGTTTTTAATAAACGAGTGAGTTAAAAAGTTTACCGAACGTGTTGCATACTATACAAATATGGACGTAATTAAGTATTTCATAATGTCTCACAATAGTCAAGCATTATTCGTGGCTCCGTTAACAGTTTTTGGGTTATGCAGTTTCTCGAAAATGGCGTTTCTAAGTTGTAAAGCTGGTTTGTGGGGAACGTCTGAATCGCGAACGATAGTATTTTTAAAAACAATATTTTTATTTTCTTGAAATCTTTTAGTAGATTTAAAACACACCCTTTTAAAATAACTCAAATGATTCAGTTTGAAACGAAGTGGGCCCGCCAAAATCGACAAAATCGGCTGTGACGTGATGATGCGCTATTGTCATGTGATCGAAGTTAAAACATAACTTAAAAAAGTAAAGAGAAGGCGTTTTGTTTGATTGGAGTCCATTGTTGCCAAAATGCACCTTCATCTGGCTGCTATAACTCTATGAACTCAACTCAACAACAGAATAACGGAAACAAACCAAATATTTTTGTGTAAAAATAAGCAAGTATTTGGTTAGTTGCCTCAAATTTCGTGCCTATTCAGGCCTATTGTGAAATCGCCAATACGAAATTGGTACTACCCAAAGTCTGCGGTGAGCATATTTGGTTAGTTGTACGAACCGTTGAAGCGAATTGCAAACTAACCAAAACTCATCGAAACCAACCAAATAAGCTCAGCTCGGCCCCATATTAAAGCGGCACAAATTCGTTTAGGTTTGCAAAAGCCGGATCAGAGTTCGAAAATTTTGCAACGCGACATGAGCGGCCGCGCATTCAACCCACGTGCCCGCGACCCCGACAAAGGTGAGGTAAGGCTCTCCGGAATATAGTGTTTTTACGATAAGTTTAAAGTGACGTCATCGACAGCAATTTTTATGCATCCTGCATGTTCCGCAGTTTTTTCGACTTTTGCAAAAAAAAGGTTTGGGTTTAAAAATGCTTAATTGATGTAGTGGGCAGTTTGCGAATTAAAAAAGAAAGGAAGAAGAAAATACCTTAAAAGGCTTTCTACAGGGAAACAAAATTACATAAATAGAAAGGGCGCCTCTTGAAGTGCCAAATTCCCCCTTAAACTCGAAACTCAAGTCCAGCACCTTTCTACTTGGTTTTGCCCATCTCTGCTTCAATTAATTAGCCTCTGTATTCTATTTTATGTAATAAATTAGTTGCATTAATAATCATTATTTCAGACCACAATTACGTGTGATCGAGTCATCAAAGCTACTGGTCACAATATTAATATTTTTTACAGCTAACAAACTTTTCCATGAGGATATTTTAAATTTTTAGGACAAAAATCGCATTTTTTAAAGCAATTCGTCATAAAAAAGGTCCTTGTCCTTGGTACGAACTATCTTTAGGATTAATTAGGTATTCTTTTAGAAATGACTATTAAACATAACTGTTACAACCCAATGAAAAGTTTTTGGTTTAAAATTCATTCAGGTATCTTAAACCATTTTAGAATCAATAAAAAAGATTGTTGGGCTCTTTATACAGAAGGTATTTCCGAAACATGTTTTTTAACCGAACTGAACTTATTTTTAAATGTTCTATTTATGATAGAAATTAGTGGATACTGTGTCTTTTTTTGCCTTACCCATATTAACAATAAATGAAATGACGCCTGCCCGTATAAATTAAGGTTGTAGAGTCCAGTGACGTTTCTGCCCCCTTCCGTACTAGGTTTGCATTTTGGTTTTCCTCCAGGTGATAATGCCAAAGTATCCATGTCAGGGTATCTTATTTCGGCGAGTTACCTTTCTATAAACATTTTTGCACAGAGCTCCATGGAATGCACGTCCGCTTGGCATATCCTGGGCTATGAACCAAGTCCGATCTTTATCTCTTTCCCATAAATGCCCACCTCAACATCTTTATTGGTTTTGGAAGCCTCTGTGAATCAACGCTGTGTTCTCCCAGAAGGTCAGTTTCGTTCTGAATCCACTCAACCGTGCTTGGCAGGTTGACTTGGTAGTTGCATTATGCATTATGTCTGTCTGCTGATGGGTCCAGAATGCTATGGTTCAGTACATTTCTTGCAACTGCGTACGCTCCATAAAATGATACAATCCGTAGGTTTCTGACCTTCCCTCGTCCTGCAGTATTAGAAACTTTTATAAAGTTACTTGGATAATTATATAAACTTAGGAAGATTTCGCCACGTCACATTAAGTCGAATGTAAAAGCACTATAGTGAAATAACGCTCGAGAGCTTGCCAATCCGCGTTTCAGGTCTGCTAAATCGCCAAACGTACGCCTCGAAACTGTTCCAAATTGACGACTCGAACCCGAACCGCGACGCCGACGACGACGCCGACCGAGCGATATCGTGCGTCGACGTCGACGACGACGTCGCCTCAAATCCCGGCAAAGTCGCGGGGCCTTCGACGCCGCCGGCGAAACCACCCTACCCGGCGTTCTCTGATTGCTTGAACCAAGATCTAGAGGTAGACGTCAATAAAAAGAATTCCTGTTGTGGCAAAAGTTACAGGTTATAGTTTTTCGGAACTCCCACTACTCGCAAGTGAAAATATTTTACGTATTTTTATACTTTTATCCAGAGTGTTATTCAAATGGCATCATACGATTTAAATTATGAATCTCACAGTCGAAGAGGAATTAGCTCCACGATTTGGTATTAAATGCTTCTCTGTGGTTCTCTGTTGTAGATGGCGCCACATGTATCGCTCAGGAAAATAAATAAACTTAAATTACTTCTTCAGTGGCATCTTAACTGTAGTTTTAAACCCAATTACGTTTTAGTAACCGAGATTCAATTACATCGTATAGTTTCTTAAAACATACAATGGCAAAGAGAATTGAATAAATTGTCACTGTTTATTTGTCTTAAGCAATTGCTATATGATATTTAGGAAGGACAGATTACATCGGGTGAGTTGTAAAAATTGCAATTTGGCCTAAAATTTGTGGATTTATAATTCTTTGATATGTGTACCGTGCGTTAATTGATTACATTTTGATGGCCTGTAACTTTTTTGTTTTTAGAGATATCAAGGTAAAGAAAAAAACAAAATGTAGGGTTAGTAGCCAAGTTTTTTTTCAAGGTGACGTATAAAACAAAACACTGTCCATTTTCTGACATATAAGCCTACATCACCCTGTATATTATATAGGTGTTTAATATAATATCTTATTCCGATTGAAATGATGTAGCACACTCGATATTGTACTCGTTTTTGACAAATTGGCAAAAATAGGAAAAAAAAAAGTAAAAACAATAATAATTATATAAAAATTAAAGTAAAACAAAAACACTAAAAATGACAAAACACACTAGAGTAAAAAATTCTTTAACATATTCTAAATATTGCTGTATGTGACTACTATTTTCCTAAACACATTTGGCATACACTCCGATTGTATGGTATTTAGTGTAACGTGCATTTAGTAACATTTCCGAATTGTCTCTTAACTGATTGATTGCCTCTGAAATCCCTTTGTCGAAGTTCCACGACCTTATTACAAGGTGATTTTTTTATGCGCCCCAAAAGAAAAAATCCATCCAAGTTAAGTTGAGGCGTTGGCTGGTCAATCCATAGTTCCACCGTTCCACTCAACCCTTGTGATATTCCATGTTTTTTAACTTGTGACACCACACCATACATTAATTGATTGGTACCCCTGGGTTTTTATTTCGTGTATTTGTCTAGGGTTATTTAAAGACCAATGTCGTGTATTTTGTCTATTTGTCCTTTCTTGTAATGAATGAACTTTCATCTGTCCATAAAATGTTTTTCTGGGGGTAAACTGTTCCAATAATTGAAAGTCCTGTTACTTATAAAATGCAGGCGATGTGAAGTCCTGAATTTGTTCCTTTTTTATTTTAAATGGGTGACCACGTAGGCGTTCATCATTGCTTAAGACCACAAGGGGCATATCAGATGGAAATTGGTCATGCGCAAACCTATACATTTGAATGAGATCCCCTCGCAGCCGACGCTGACTTAATGTTGGCAGACTAAGTATTTTTAGACGGTCGTCGTAAGGTGTATGTCTAAGCTGAAGTGGCCAGCGCGTAGCGGCTCGTTGCACTTTTTCCAGAACATCACAGTCACGCAATAGCCATGGGTTCCAAACTGGGTAAGCAAATTCCAGGATGGGGCGAATGTAAGTGTTAAAAAGCCTGCAAGCGATGCGAGGACTAGGATTTTTGAAAGTCTTTTTTAACAAAAATAAAGGGCAGTTTGGTTTCTTTGCAATATTTGATACATGTGTAGACCACGCAAGATCGTTAGTTACTGTCACACCTAGGTCCATCTGAGAATCGACACTTGACACAAAGTTTCCATCGATATAATAATTCAAACCGGGATTTTTCTTGTCAACATGCATCACAGAGCACTTTTGAGCATTCAGCGGCAATTATTCTCATTATGTCTATTTAAAAAATCCAAAGAAAACTGCATCCTCCTTTGACATTGTTCTGCACTTAGTTTTTGAATTTTATTAAATTTAAATGCATTATGTTTATATTCTTTCAAAACTGGGTGGAACCTCATATCCTCTAGTAATAGAAGAAACTGGACGTGCTTCATAGAATCCTAATATGTTTACCTTATTGCTACCTTTTGCCTTATTGCTAAATGCTAAATTGAAATCGGAATAAGATATCCTATTAAACACATATATAATACAGGGTGTTTCATTTAAAAAATAAGATGTAGGTTTTGTTTTATACCACGGCTTGGAAAAAAGCTTTGGCTACTAACCTACATTTCGTTTTTTTTGTTTATCAAAATAAATAAGAACTAAAAGTTCAGATTTTCACGAAATTATATATTTTGACATGACAATTGTTTCGACAACACCGTGTCTTTATCAAATGTGTTAAATTTTTTGTTTACCTTGATATCTCCAAAAACAAAAAAGTTACAGCCAATTAAAATGTTATCAAGATAAATTGAACGCAAGGTATATCCGAATTGTTTGGTTATTCGTATTCCAGAGGAAAAAAAAACTTTTAAAGTGATATCGAAGCTACTCTAAAAACTGCTGAATTGCAATTTACATGTAAATGAAGATAAGTCGATAACATTAAATATATTTAAATAAGACCAGTACGAAAAAAATTGTTTAAAAACTTTAATTCGTTGTTTACCAATATTAACAATGTGTTTTTTGTCTAATATTACGTTTTAGGCTCCTTGCTACTTCCGGTGAGTATTGATTTGTGATGCCGTTTCAATAAAACCCTGTATAACAAAGTGTATTTTGCGGACGTACATTTGGATTTTTATTTCAAAATTCACGGAAAAGTTGGCGAATCTTGCTAGTGGGATTTAAAAAACATAGACCGGCTAACAGCATCCCTGTCGCTGAGGTATTTTTGTCATCGAACTAATTCGCTCCTTCTTGTCCCCGATTGGTCCAAGGACCGGCTGACCGAATGCCCATTCGATAAAAAACGCTACTTGGCAATGCAGCCGAAATTTTTAAACGCGAAAACGGAATTTTACAAACTGAACCCGCCCGAGCCCGAGCAAGGCAAGATCGACGTCTTGAAGGAGCAAGAGTGTATCAGAGAAAAACTCGCTGTCGAATACGAAGGTCTGACGCAGACGTGTTCCGATTTCGGCGATCCGGTCGAGCTGGTAAAGTCGCGGGACATCTTCAGCTCTCACAACAAGGACTGCGCGCGAATCGAAGAATTGAAGAAACTCGGAAGATGGCCGCCGAAGACTATCCGACAAAACCGGCGCTTTTCAACGGTCACGGGTTTAAACGCGATCCGCGAACTGTCTGGCGAATATTTGATCTGCCAGGCCGAAGTGCGCAGAATACACGTTCGCCATGTTAGAACCGTCGTGGACAATTGGGTACCGGCGGGCTGTAAGGTAAAAGCTGCACCTGACAAAGTCCGCGATAACGATATGTAATTATTCTATATACAGTGTAATATCTTTGTTAGGAAGGAAGTTCTCCACACCTAGCTGACAACTGCCATAGGAAGTAGATAGAATACTTCCACGGTACTAACGAGATTTCATTACATTAGCACGTTTCAACGTTTTTCTTCTATTTTTTCTTTCAAAAGACTGCTCGCCGTTGTGACAACAGTAGATGGCGACTGCGAATAAAACCAGTGCAACAACACTGTTGCTACATCTTCCCAAAGTTTAACTGCAACGGCACCTGATCCAGAAACATCACCACTTTTTTATTTTATTCACATGCTAAAATTTCTATTTACGATTTGACTTACATACAATTTGGTAATCGTTAATCTCTGCAACAGAATGCTGTCTCTAAACAATTAAATTAAAAAATATATAGTTTCAAAAAGAGGAATATATCGTCAGATTTGTAGGTTGGACTAAAAAAATCTTCAGTAAAAAAGTTTGCAGTGTCCGATTTGATAATTGGGCATTAGATAGCGCTCTGTATTTAAACTTTGCAGAGGTGCTATTCGACTATTAAGTTCGGACCGCAGAGATGGCGTGCCAGATCGAAATGCGATCGTTCAAAAAAACCATGCCCGAAGTTTACCCTCAGCAACTGCCCGCCAGTGTCAGATCGGGGGCGGTGCCAGAGGGAGCCGATTACGCAACCCTCCGTTAAACCATTCACGCCGTATGCGTCGTATTCGGAGAACGACGGTGCCAAATGTTCGTTCCATGAAGAGTGCGAGTGCCTCCAGCCGCGGTACCCTATTTTGCCCGAGATCGAATCGAGTAAACAGTTTCCCACAGCGGACAAGTTGGATCCGTCGCTCAACCGCCACTATCTCCAATGTAAACACGGCACGCGTCCCGAGGGCTTGACCCTCGACTGCGACACCTTCGAGAAATACGTCGCTGCCAAGTCGAGGCAGGGGGCGGAAACTGTTGAATTCGTCGTCGATTCTAGGTTAGTTTTGCTGATAAATTTCGAACCAATGATATAATATCCCAACAAAAATTTCAAGCTAACATGGACGGACATAAGGCTACGCACCTGTGGCGTTGCCACTCCTTTTTACGATACAATAGAATGCGTTTTACATCACTGCTTCCATCTTAAGCTGTCGAGTCTCTAAGATATTGAAACTGGGACGAGGACTTTTCCAAGAAACTTGCACAGGCTACTTAATACTATTTACAAATCTGCATTCTTTCTGCGTGGGTTGTATATAAATCAAACTTGCTGACGCAGCTTTGAAGCTCTGAAGAAGGCAACAGTACGTTGAGTTTATAGAAACCGACGCAGGAGGAATCTAGCGGATTTGTAAATAGTGAAATAGTTGAAATTTTGGGGGGTGCAGATCGCCACCTTGACTAATCATAATTTTGGTTTTCATAGAGCTTGTGATGAAAAGGCAAAATTATCTTTACATGTGCTGCATTTCCCATTGAGCACATGGAACGACGCTTGTGGTTGAGGTTGTGTCGCAATTATACATAGTTGCGACGTTCTTTTCTTTTTTTGGAGTTAACAATCTACTTTTGGATATTAGCTTAAAAATAATTGGTAATACTTAAGGGATTGTTGAGCCTCCATTATCTTTATGTTATTTTAAATTACACAATGTTTCGGGGCGTTGCATCACACGAGTTACCAACTGCCGGACTGGATTCTGCTCTTCTACAAGCAAGCGTGAGGAGGCTAGATTCGTTTTCTCTGTTTTAAGCACCGTCATGTTGATACGACTTATGGACTTGTTATGTCAGCAAGGTCAGCAATTGTTTTCCTGCAGATGCGACGACGAAGGTAAAACCACGTGCTGCAGTCAAACTCCTCGTGAAACCGTCGAAGAGATCGAACCCAAGCCTTGCGAATACCCACCGCCTGGCCACATCCCCGAAGAGGATAGCAAGTGTCTGAAAGAGCAGCGCGGAGGCGTCATCGCCAAGTCCAAAATGGGCGGGGCCAGCGGCCCCGTTAGCTTCTTCGCCGCGCTATGGCAACTGATGGCAAACTACTTCAGAGCGCGACCTAATTGTCCTGAACCGGGTGATTACAAGAGGATGGCTCTAAGAGTGAAAGCGGAGAAGGCGGCCAAAGCGGCCGGTCTGGTAGCTGTTGATCCAAATTGCGTCCCGCCCGAAGTACTGAAGACGATCAAGTCAAATACCGATTGCTTACCTTGCTCGTCTTCGTCGTCGCCAGCTAGGAGACAGTTCAGCACCGCAGCGACGAGGAGGTGTTACTCGAAGAGTGTCGACAGTGAGAATCTCAAAGAAATCAATCGGATCTTGGAAGAGGCGGAGTCGAGGTTAGAGGAAACGGAACCGGCTACGTCGAATGTGGGTACCGAATTCATTGCGTTTCAAACGAACGAGGCGAACTGGGCCGACTTTAAAAGGTCGCTGGAGTGCGAAATATGCGGATTTCCGGTAACCAAGCGAAGAAGTTCGGAAAATTATTGCGGGTATTCCGAGGTATTGCCGAGCAGGGAGAATATTATGGAGAAAGCGTGGACGGTATGTGTTGGTTCATCGAACGAACCATACATGGAGCCCACTGACGACGATAAGTCCTCCGGTATCGCAGATTGCGATTGCGACGAAGAGAGTTGGTGGTGGGTGACACGGTCTGGATTTGGAGTTATGTTGTTTTGTTTTAGGCTACCGGAACGAGCAAGATATTTTGAACGAGTTGGAGAAATTGCTGCGCAAACCTGATAAAGACAAGTGACCGTTTTATCTTGATTTCGTCACGTTCATGTTGTTGTCGTGTCGGGTAATAAAGGTTCGATTGATGACGTTAATGCTCTTTGATTTATTTAAATCATAGTTGTTTTTGTAATGTTAGTAAAAAAGTATTAATAAATTTGAATACTTCGTTTTTATATGCAGCGCGGAAATATAATTTGGCAACTGGCATAAATGGACGCTATATAAATTATTAGTAGTGTTTATAGTCAATAGCAGTTTGTAAATGCGAATTCACTTTTGGACTTTGTTATTTTAAACGAAATAAATTGTCAGTTCAGATACAAAAATAAATGACAATCAAATTACCACAGTAATGGCCAATGCTCTGTTTAATTGCTCAGCCCAACATAACCCCCTCCTTGGCTCCTTCGTCAAAGTTTATGGTGAAAAAAACGTGACTAAAAATACTGTTGTGCTGAACTCACTAGGCGGACTGCCACGTGCTGTCACCGGGTTTGATCGTAACGGTCGAAATTGTTGTAGAACCCCTATGATTTATCTACATCCCTATAGAAAATATTCCCGTTATAATGTCCGCAGAAAAATGTTTTTGGAGGAAATTATCAATGAAATTAATGTTGCCTTATTGGAATTTAAGAAGCAATGGATATTTCAAAAAAATATGTCTTTAACCGCTTCTTGTTTGCTCGTTTGTATGCAGAAAAAATTCAAATAAATAGTAATTTGCTCTTTCCAGATCCTGTATTTTAAAACCCGTGTCTTTTTGTTTTATTCTTAGATAACATCGAACCCCGATAAGAATATTTTTGTTTTTATTTGTTTCGATATTTTTTCTGTAGGAAATGATAAACCTGTCGATTTGAGCCCGATCCTTAAATTTAATAACATGAATCGGGTAGGTTGATCCGGAGGGCTTTATATTTAACTTTTTAAAAACTTTTGTGTATATTTTCGACACCTTAAACAAAACAACAATATTCTCGATCAAAATAATGGGGAAAATAAAGCCGTATAACTTTTCGCCAAAAGTTATATAAGAGTTCTCTTTTAGATAGGATAGAAATAATATTCTCTTAAAATGTAGGACTTGCAAAAAGTCTCTGTATCTCAAGAACCAAAAAGTGCACGTCGTACAAAATTAAACTCTATGATATGTTGTACTGAAAGCTTTATTTAGACGTATGGGTGTATTTTGATATATAGATTAAATACTTAAATTTCACATTGATTTAAATAAATAATAAATAAAACGCGGCAGTGTCCCGGTCCTACCGTTATTCCTATCGAGTCGATACGGCATTGCGCAGGGAAAAACCACAAACCCTACGCAGTCCACGGGAGCGGACAGGAACATCGCCCTCGATAACATCCATAATTGTGTAACGATAAAGCTATCATCAATTCGCTAAATATTACGTCAGTTTGTTCGCTCATCCTAATTTTTTTTATACAAATTATAACGTAACCTTAACTTACAATAAAATCGTCTTGTAAAAAAATAACAGCTTTAACTAAAACACCAATAAGCAAGATTGTAAGTTAGTGTTACTTACGCGGCATTAGACGAAAACCTCCTTATGAAAATAATTACAAAAAACTATTACAAAAGAAAATTGCACATTTTGCCGGGTTCACGGCGAAGGCAGGAGATATTGCGGACTGTGTTTTGGCGATTAAAAATTCCCGCCGGAAGGCGAGATCATTTTTTCATGAGAAAAATAACGCGTTGCAAAGCTCTAGCTCTAGCGTCCCGTAAAAGTGTTTCCGTCGTCTTTGGGGTATAATCCGAAAACGCCGAGATATGTCGCTATCTAATTTTTATTATTGCCGTTCAGTCTCTTTACTGTTTGCTACCTCGTTCCATCTCCTTGAGCAGCTCCCTCATCTCGTGCGACAGCTGGTGCTGGTCGGCGACTTTTCTGAAACATTACGAATCGGTAAATGCTGTAAGTACGCGAAACGCATCTCTTACTTTTCTTGGAGCTTTTCCGACTTGTCGTGTGTTTCCTCGGTCTCGGCTGCAACATTTCGTAACAATTAGGAACACAGTTCGTTTTTTTACTATGTAAACCGTTGGATTCTAGAAACGAGTAAGCGAAAATTGTGAACTTTTTTTAGCAAAACTAAAAGACCATTTGGATATTTTGAAAATTTCAACCGGACTACTATTTAGAAAAAGTTTTTTTCGTATTCGAAATTGTTCAAATCTCAAATTTTACTTGTGACACCAATACGCCTGGGTGTCACATACCCTGAACACAGACACACAGAAACGATATTTGAATTTTTTGGTTAGAGAGTTTGGAATCTGTTTTGTATATACGTCACTATCTACCGCAGAATTTAAATTGTGTTGCTATCTTTCGATAAGTTTGTTCTCCAAAGTCCATAATTCAGACAAAAGGTAAAAAAAAACAGGTTTTTCTTTTTCTTTTCACATGCGTGACACATTAATCTAATTTTTAAGATTTTAGTAACTTTATGCACAATTTTAAATAAAGTTTTCGTATTATTTTTGTAAACTGTTAATTTTTCCTTAATTTTTTTCTTAATTAGCTTGATTGTTTCTATTGACATGTTTAAACGGCAATAGTACAGCATTTTTATCACTGATAAAAAAGTTAAAATTTTTGAAAAAAAAAATTAAATAAATTAAATCTTCTTTTCTGTTTTCTATGATACAGTTCAAAATTGTTGCAGACCCGATTCGAAAGTCCAACAATTTTTTAGGCTGTCTAAGTTTATGCACATTTATCGATCTCATGCCAGATACATCAGTGCAAATAAATACAGCGACATTTAGACATACTCATTCACACTCACGATGGGTCCTCTGGGGAATATTTACACAGAACTGAACAACGTTGTTGTAATTTATAAAAGTAAATAGCATTTGGGATGGATGTCATCAATATGATACATTTAGGAAAGAAACAAGTTTCCGCATCATCATTAACTTCGGAGAGCAATATCTACATATAGGTGGTATTCGTGACAAGTAAGACACTGGATTCATGCTACAGTCGGGTTTAGTGCGTAAGTAGTGGAAGTTGTGATGACAACGTCAACAGATCTTGCGAAAAGTTTCCATATTCTTATCGATTATATTCCTGAAGCAAAGGAAACTTTTCCCAAGTCGCTTCACTGGTAAAGTGTTAAAAATGGAAACAAATAGAGGGACCATCTATCTACCATGTTGAGGTAAATTAAAGCGCCAATCATGTTCTCTGGGATTCACTTCCGTTTGATCTTCCATACTGATTTCGTAACGCAACGTCCTTCTACGGTTTATAGTTGCTATATCTAATAAAATTATATTTACTAAACTAAATGGCTAAGAAGCGGATATGTCAAGATCATTCTATCTAGAGATTTCTAATTTACTTTTATAAAATGCCAAATGATTGCTCTTATCGAAGCTAATCAAGGTAAGTGATTTAATTAGAATGATCTGTCATGACCTATTTACTCCGATATAGCTACTAGATTTTTCTAAGTTAAGGGCATGTAAAAATCATTTCAAAATCGGACTTTAATAAGAGCTTTCACTTCAAATTTCGCTTTCGACCATGAACACTGATAGTTGGCCAATTCGACAGTTTTCAGATTTCAGAGAAAAAAACCAGTTAACTGTGTGGAGAATGCTATAAGAGCAGGTTAGTATAGGTGGGTTCGGCTAATAAAAACTGTATTGGAGCGGAGTAGAGGTAGTTTTTTGTCACGTGAGCTTTTAGTGTTAGCCGAACGCCCCTGGACTTTTGGAGCAAGACGTCAAACAACTGTTTTGGTTTGTTATTGTTTTGGCACCATAACTAAGCATCATAGAACATACGCCTTTACCCAAGTGTGTTCTTAAAATCCTGCAAGAGGATGTAGAACCTTTGGAGTGGACTCCATTCACAGCATTCCATATAACCGACGGAATCACCCTATTTACGTAATAAAGCAATACCCGAACGAATAGAGTGTATACGGAGTGAATATTTTACAGTATTTACAGCCCTCATATTATCTAATAGCCATATGATTAATCCAAAATATTAAGTTCAGCTTCGTACCTTGAGAAGTGGTCGGTTGGACTACTGTAGCATGTTCAGCATCCGCGTCTCCTATAAAACACAAAAGTCGTTGTAATTCATTCGTTTGTATTTGGGACCACCCAAAAGCGAACTCAAAAACTGAATCCAGCAATGTTTAGTTTTGTTAAGCGAAAACAAGACCTCCCAGTGAGCACATTAAAAGTTATCATGCTGCAAGAAAAACCCAAACAACCGAAAAAAAAACTTACCGATAATGTTGAAGAAAAATGGAGTATATATAGTGATAAACAAACGAACTAAAATCGGGGAAATACGATATAAGCGGAGGGTAAGAGAAGCGACAAACCTGTAACGCCGTGAGTTAGTGACACGGATTGGGATTGGGGAACCTCAAATTTCTGAGTGATAACGTTCCGATCCCCTTTAGCGTAGTCGATCGCACCCTGAGAAGTTCGATTGATGACACCCCCATCGGAACGGTTAACTTCTCTGAAATATTGCTCAATATCTTCCTTAGTCATCGGTTGCTGTTGTCCATCCTTCACGATAAATCGTCTCTGCACACATCTTCTCGTGTGGACGTTTCCTGCTTCGTCAATTTCCTCGCTCTCTTCGACATCTTCGCCCTCGTCGAATTCGTCGATATATTGCCTCAAACGCTCTTCCGCGTCTGCACCCGTGAAAGTGATTTTGTGAACTTCAGGCGGCATTTCAACTTTTCTGCGCACCACGTGGGAGAATTCGTCTTCCGCGCACGGTTCTATGATTTCCGTTACATAAGGCCGTGAGAATTCCTCCGTGTACTCGGATACTCTTCTGGCCCCCACTAAGTCCTCGTCGAACCACACCTTCCGTACCGCGGTGCCTACGTCTACTGTCTCCCGATGGTAACCTGGATCGATGGTGTCCGTAGATGAAACCATCGTGTTGGAACCGCCACTAGTAAAACTACCGGAAAATATTGAATCGCTTTCGTATTGGTAAGTAGCTTGGGTCGCAGTTGAGCTAGTAGGGTCGGCCACGCTGATGATACTGTGGGAAACGAAGTCGTCCTTCGAGTCCGGTTCGTATAATTCGTCCTTGGCGGACGAACTGACGATGCTAGACGTGCTGTGGTCTTGAGCGCCGATCCTAGAACAGTCCTCGTCAATTGAATCGCTTTGAATCACTCCCGAACTGGTCACCCGACCGAGTTCTAGCGAATCACTGGAGACTATATAACTCTTTTCATCCTTAAATTCCATGCTGTCCGTCATAACGTTGTTGTCCTTAGATTTTTGGACTTGGAATTCGATAGAATCGGTACTGGCGGACATCACGTCACCGCCAGTTGTTTGTACCTGGTCCAGACTGTCCGAGCTGTCGTCGCGTTTTTGTTTTTCTGGTTTTAAGTCCAGCGAGTCTGTCGACGTGACCATGACATCGTCCTCTTCCTTCCACTGGACCTTTATAGTAGATTTAACTACCGGCGTATCCAGGTCGAGATCGGGCACTTTCGACACTTCTTCTACAGAATCTCCTCTACCCAGCGACTCGGTTTTTTCTATGTCGCGAATGTCGACGAAGCGTTCCACGTTAGTCTGGGCTTGCTTAATGATCTCGTCTATTTCGAACATTCGTTTCTCGTAATCTTCGTCATCGTCAGTGTCGGTCACTTTTTTCTCGGTCCCGGATATAGTTTCGCAGCTTTCCGACTCAGACGCCACACTTTCCGGACCTTCGTCGATTTGGGTCAACATTGCTTCCTCCTCTTTCACTTTCACCTCGATCTTATGGGCCTCGATACAAGCCCTCTCTAGTCCTTCAAACTCTTTCAACGAACTGACAGATAAGTCGTCGCCGTGGTTATTTTTGCCGGCGGCGAAACGAGTCTTGAAACTGCCGCTGCTTGAGGAGTCTGACCCTTGATGGAAGCGCTTCATTTCTAGCGACATCGCTTGCTCTAGTTTTTCAAACTCCTGCAGGCTCGACATGGAGATGTCGTCGTTATCGCCGGAACGAGTGAAATACTTCCGACCGGCTAATACGTCGTATTCGGGTGTGCTCGAGTAGGAATCCTTAACGCTCCCCAAGCTTCCACCCGACTCTTTGTGGGAACCGTAACTCGACGCTGCGAAATCATTAACGTCTTCCTCTTTAATATCTTCGAGAGGTCCCCGTTCGAATTCGGTTTCGAAAACGTATCCGGCCGCGCGCATAGCTTCCTGGTCACCCTGGAACTGCTGCTCTATCCACTTTTTGTTGGCTTCGAGTTCCCGATCGTAATCGTAACCATACTCTTTCGTCGAATTCGACGACCTCTTTTTCTGACCGTTTTCGAGGCGAGGAGGACTGTCTTCGAAATCGAAACCTAACTCTTCACCGGAAGACGTCCCGTCGGCATACCTAACGTGCGTCAATGGGGTTGGGGCAGATTTGACCAGATACTCCTCAACTTCTTCGTCGTGTTTCTTTTTCTTGTACTTCTTCTCGATTGATACGCTCTTGCCTTCGCCATCGAACTCGCGAGCCTCTTTACCCACTTCTTCGATCACGACGAAATCGTCGATGATGTCGGGCTTTTCCAGCATTTCGAACGAATCGCTGCTCTGCGAGTCACTCTCTTTAACGTCTTTCGACTTGTCCGGTTCACATTGCACTTCGCTATCGACGGGTACAGACGGTGATGGTGCAGCACAGTCGGCTGGGTCGGTCTCTTGACCTTCCTCCTCCGGATCGGCAGTCATATGCTCGGTGACCGTAATGTCCGGTATGAATCCAGGACTCATATCTCTCATTTTGGACAGACGCTCCTCTAACTCCTTCTGCGCCTTTTGTCGTAACTCAAGCTCGCGTGTTTCCGCGTCTTCGTCCTCGAGTATGGGCACGATTTGTTTCACCTTGTGCGCGGGCGATATGTGCGGCACCATGCTAAACGCTGCTTCCGCTTCCGCCTCTTCGAAACTTGATTTCTCGCTTGATGTGCTGCTTGACTTTCCGTGCTTCTCGAACGTTTCTGATAGGCTTGACGTGGATCTCTTTCGGGCCGGGCGGGTTCGCGGTATCAAATCTTCCGACACGTCGGGTTCTATATCGCATAACGCTGATTCTAATTGGCGCCTAAATTCTCCGTCCTTCAACTGATGCTCTGACTCGTTCAAATCCTTCTTCTCGTCGCTACTAACTTCTTTCGTGATCAACAGCGGTGCCGAGATTCCAATCATCGTCGAAACGAACGCGGTCGAGCTTTCTGTCCTTCTGTGCCTCTTCTTCGGCTCTTCCATTTTGCTCAGCGTGACGACAGTCTCGTCTTTCTCACACGTTTCGGAAGTTATTTGAGTACCTACGCTGGGGACGTCGTTCTCCCTCACCGACGACGTAGTGATGGTTACATGTTCTATTTCTCGATCCGCGCGGCTTTGCAACGTGGAAGTTGACATGTCGGACGTAGAACAAGCTGTCGGCGTTTGTGGCAAGCTTTCCTGACTACGTTCTAGTTCGTCGGATAACCTGGAAATCGCCATGCTTCCTTCTACCTCGATGACGGTACGTAAAGCGCCAGTACTGGAAGCACTGGAAACACTCATGCTCAAAACGCTTCCCTCGTCTAAGCTGGTTCCCAGTTTTTCGTCGGTTTCCGCTAAAATCTTGGGCTCCGGTTGGAACGTCATTTCATAAGAGCGTTTCATCTTCGACTGCACGTCGATGTTTTTAGTGGCAAAGTCGTACTGATCCTCTTCGGACACATCGAGAGATTCTCTGAATTCCGAGTCGGTGACATCCGACACCTGCCTCGTTTGCCAACCGGACGTTGGTGTGTCTTCGGTTATGTGGTGATCAAGAGGCTCGAGGATATCTCCATCCAAATCGCTGCTGGACGGAACCAACGTTTCCGAATGCTCCGATACTTCTACGCTCGCCAAGTTCCCTGAACTTTCGCTATCTATGCTTCTCATGCTCTCCTTCGAGCTGCTTACGGCCGTCTGATATTCGGTTGAGGTCATGTGTGATCTCGCGGAGTACTCTTGGGATGTGATCGCGCTTTCATATTCGGACGAGCCGGCACCCACAAGACCTTCGACGTCTGATGAGCACGGTCTGCTTCTAGCGCTATCCATTTCGAAACTCTGATAGTGACTTTCTCCCGAGCTTGAGTACGCTTCGAAATCTACGACGGACTTCCTATCTGGTTTCAGGTTGGAACTGCTGCTGCTGCTGTCCACTTCTGACTTTGTCTTCCTGAGGACCACGTGGTCTTTATCGATAGTTTTACTCGAATCTGAATCCGATTTCTTGTGTTTCATCACGAATCCTACGGGAGATTTCGAATCGGAAGTCGAAATCTGCTCGATAGACCTTTGAACAATTGTCGATGTGATGCCACCGAGCTCGTCCGCTAGCCTCCGCGCATCTTCACCTTCCAGAGTTTCATTTTTGACAATCACCGATTCTTCGTGAATTTTTTCTTTGACTGTCGTTTCGCTGAGTTGCTTCGTACGTTGTTTATCTATCGTTATAATTGACAATTCGACATCATCGTCTCCGGACAATTCGGTTTTTCTGATTTCGCCCGAATTGCTAGTTTTTTCGACACTTGAAGACTCTTTGTATTCTTTTTCGCTACTCGAACGCATTTCTTTCAGAAAATCGTTCGTAACCTCTGTCGTATGTCGTTCCGTTGCACTTTTCGAAGTCAAAAAAATCTCGTCGCTTTCTTTCAACGACGTGACAATCCCTCTTTGATCGGTGGAGGACGTTTTCATTTGCTGCTCTTGCTGCATCAGTTCTACACTTCGTTGCCTGTCTACCTCAGCTCCCGTCTCTTTACTTTCTTTTATTAGTTCATCTTTCGTCGATTTTTTAGCCTCTTCGTGAATTCTAACACCTACGTGTACGGATATATTCTCCACTTCTTCTGAAAGCGAGTCCGCTACGAACTCGTCCTCTTCGAAAATTATACTCTTGTGTCCAGATAAAGTTTTTTCCTTCTTAACCGATTCGGACGACGCTACATTACGTGTCACTTTGAAATCTTTATCGTCTATACATTCTTCGGTTTTCTTGTTGTCCTCATCCAAAACGTCTTCCATGGCAATAGTATCTGTTTTTTCTGCGGCAAGCTGTCCCATCTGAAACTCTAATGTATTGGTGTAGTCGATTTCCCCGCCACTGAACCTTAAATCTTCATCGGTAATTTCCATACTGGACGCTTGAGTATCGCCTCTCGTCAACTTGGCCAATTCTCGTTCCCGCCTGGCCAAAACGGACTCAACCAGTTCTACTTCACGCTCGTCTAGACCCTTGGTCTCTGCCAGTTGCTTTAAATAGCTCGAAACATCTGGTTTGAATGCGAACGTATTGGGCGGTTGTGTCAACGGACTTTCTCTTTTCTGGATTTCGTTTTCGATTTCTTCTATAAGCGCGGACGCGATTTTTTTAGCTTCTTCAGGGTCGACTTTTTGCTGATGAAGACTGTCCAGAATAATCTTCTCTATATCGCTGTGGCTTTCTGACTTTATTTTATCCGAAGCATACGAATCTGAGTGGTCAATGTGAATTTCCGAACCAATATCCGACTCGTCGTCTTTGCGTTTGTGCTGGTTGAGTTCTTCCAAAGCTTCTTCGACCATTAGGTCTTTGAGTTCATCTAGGGTGCTGTCGTCCACCTCCTCCGATATAGCTTTCTCCATCATAATGTCTTCCGCTCTAAGTTTCTCGTTTAGTTTCTCGTGGATTTCTTTTGTCAGACGTTCGGAAATATTTTCTTTCACTCCCGGTGCATGTTTCACTATATGCTCCACCTGCGAATACTCGTCCTCTTCTTCAGAGTCGACTTTTTTCGCCTCCTCCTTCGCCTCTTCGATCTTTTCGATTGCAATAAATTTCTCGGTCAGTTTCATCTGCGATTTGATATCGGCCAGATCTTCCAACTGGCCTTCTTCGAAGTCGTCAGAGTTCTGTCTCTCGCACACCTCCCAAACTACATTGTCGACGATTTCTTCGGCTTTTTTATCGGCATATTCGTCGCTTTCTTCGCTTATACGTCGCTGTGCACCTGAAAGCGTTACTGTAATCTCTGGTACGTCACTTTCGGAAGGTTTAGCGAAGTCGTTACTCAAAGACCGGACATAACTGCAGTCCGGCTCGCTGATTTTTTCCGATTCTTCCAGTTCGCTTTTGTCGACGTGGACCTCCATCGACTCTTTCGATAAGTCTCTGCAGTTCTGCTCATCGGATGACAGACTAGGTTGGTCTAACGCTTTGTGCGGAATCTCGTTTTCGAGGTCCTTGTGCGTCTCGTGAGTTTGTGCATCATCCAACGACGTTCGCAAGCCGTCGAAGCGTTCGTCCCGGAGGGAAATCAACGTTTTCCTTTCCGGCGACGCCTCTTCCTCGTTCTCCGCCACGAACTGTTCCTCGATCATCTCCTTCTTGATCTGCCGCTCGTAGTACTCTTTTCTGAGCTTAATCGCGCGCGCGGATACTTCGTATAAATCTTCTGTCGGCAGTGATGCGGAACGCTCGTAAATGGTCTTCCGCTGCGACGTTGCCGGTGGCGAGAACACGCTCATCTGTCTTTCTCTGATCTGTGGCACTCGATCCTCGATTTCCGAGTCCGAGATGACGTTTTCCACGTCTTCGCTGTCCGATATATAACCGACGTTCTCGATAAACTGACTGCTGCCCTTCTGAGCTCGGTCCGAGTCCAAGCTGTCACTCTTCGGTCTGTCCTTCTTTTCCAAAGGCGACGTAAAGGACGCGCGATATTCGGATACCAATTCTTCGTCGATCGTTGCGGTGTCGTCTTGTTTGATAGCCACGTCGGAAGAAGTTGGTGGAACGGATCTGGGTTTGGGTACCGGAGCGAATTCAGGAACCGTGCCTCGTTTTTTCGAGGTCACTTCTTTTTCAGCCGCGGATATATCGTGCAAACTCGTCCGTTTGTTGGGCTCTTTGCTCAGACTCTCCCAAAACTGTTTCCTTGCCGTGTATGATGCGACCTCGTCCTCGTCCTGGTCAAGAAGATCGTCGCGCACGGGAGATATAATTTTTTCAGTTTTCGGTTGATCCTGAGACAAGTCGAGCGGTATTTCCGGGGTTTTTGCGGATCGTGGTTTGGGTTGCGGCGTTTGGTTAGTGGTTAGTGGAGGGTCCGCTTCGGTGGTGGTGGTGATTGTGGTTAGTCCGCAGCAGGGTTCTAAAAAGATGTAGGTTAGCGTTAGCGGCGACTAGCGGTATACGATTCGCGTTAGAGCGTATATGTTGTGTGTATGTTTTTTTAGACCCCCCCGCAAATAAATGAACTTACCGGGCGTGAAACGATCAGTCGGCGTTGAAGAGTAAACAGAACGAAAAGAAAAATAAAACAACACCGAGGTTATCGAAAAAAAAGCCATAGTGTTGCGGCGTGGGTAAAGAAAACGATCAAAAGTTGCGCATGCAGCCAAACATATCGGGGAGGGGGCACGCCCGTCAACGTCCTCTAAATTCTCTAGTGCCGTATTATCACATAACCCTAAATTTACCTAAACACGTTAAAACGACCTCAGGGCAGGCCATTATGTCGGTCGTAAAGTGTTTCTGCGCGTTATCGTCAAGCCAAGAATCCTCGTCGACGATCGATATCGATTCTTGCAAGCTCATGCTCTGACTGTCGACGTTATCGATTGAACCAAACGGACTGGATCGTTCGAGCCACCGCATTACGGCGTGGGTGATGCCTCCGCCTTGGTGGTGGTGAACGAATGACTCGGAATTGTCCAACGATTTGGACATCCGGTCGAAGCTCGTCAGTGATTCGTTACTGGTCCTGGGGCTTCGCAGGAATCGATCGGGCGTTAGTTGCAGTACCGCGCTATAGAGCGATAATTTGGAAGACTTCAAGTCGGGCAAACTGCCGCATTCGTCGTCGTTTTTCTCCGCGCGAAAACCCATTTCTGATTTGGAACGTTTGGTTGTCTTTTTCTTTAGCCGAGGCGAGCACCGAGGACTTTTCATGATGGGTATAACGTCCACCTCGACGCCGCTTTTGTTTATCGATTTGTTTTTGTTTAAAGTCACGGGGCCCATATAAATAATTTCACCTACGAGAAGGGGGGAGAGAGGAGTGAAGAGGTTACGCTCCCGATATGTTTGCGGGAGGACGGACGATGTTAGTTGAGTAAATGCATGCGTGATTGGTGGTGACTTCTTTAGTGAAATGTCGTTATAGTGGATGCTCTACTGTATAGGCGTGATTTCATGGTTTAAGGTGAAACGAGCGCCGACTCTATCGGGGGGCACTCCAGGCGGTCTATCGAAGTCTCCGTTCGATTTCGATAATTATTTGTTTGTTATTATTTTCAATTTAACTATTTCGTTTCCGTTTTCACTTTCAACACATCGTCTTTCCGACAGTTTACCAAGCGATGGCGGAAAGGTTACGGAATGTCCTGTATTTATTATTGTTAATTTTTGGCATCTAAATAACAATAGCAGAATATTTAAAATATATATTGCTTGATGAGATTAACAACTAGTTTCGATCTAATCAAAACTCAAACCAAGAACTAATTATTTTAGTTATTTTTTACAACATCCAAAAGGTGCGAAAATGGCGAATCTCAACACAACCTTTCTAAAAAACATATCGAATCCGTGAAGAAGACTAACCAATACCCCCACCCCGTGCCCCACGTTTAGTTCGACGTACCCGAAATATCGTCTAAGCAACATCTAAAATCTACCTTTGGGGAGCTCTAACGCGTCCGCCTGACTCTCTGGCGTTTTCGACTCCCAATCGTCACTTTTAGAGAATGTGTTCTCGTCCCACAACTGGCCATATTCTTTTTGAAAATCGGACACTTCCTCAACGCTCATCTGCGAAACTAGTGTTTGAAATTGGCTCTCGCGTTTCTCTTCCGTATCCGGACTCGTCATTTTCCTCGTTTCGTCTTTTTCCAACGCCTGCGAAGCCATTCGCTCAAACTTTCGCTCCACTCGTCGCAATTTTTTCTCGATTCGCGATTCGTCTCGTGTCAATTCGTTCTCTTCAAGCGAATTCAGCGCATCATCTAGGTCGCGCAGCTTTTGCTCGATTAGACCGACATCCGCTTCAGCCTCTTTCACGTGTTCATCTAGCTTTTTCTCCTCTTTTACAACTCTGGCGGTCGGTACTGGCCGCGTCGCTTCATCTAAACTTTTAGCCAAGTCGGCCACCAGGTTTTCTACAACCGTTTCTTTAACGTTCGTTCGTTTCATGGCGTCGTCCTCTTCCGATTCGATATGGAACAAGGGTTTTCGAATTTTTTCTCTGTTTATGTCTTCCGGCTCGGTGACGATATATGAAATCTCTTCAGTCAACGTCACGCTGGCGATGTTTTTCACTTCCCTTATCTCAGGTCTGTCGTCTTTCGCCAACTTCTGCGATACTGTTCGCCTAGCTAGAGTGGGAGAAGATATGTACGCGGGTATTTGAGGTTCGTCATCTGGTAAATTAGACAAATCTATGTTAGCTTCCGATATATTACCGCGATTCATTTCGCTCTCTTTTATTTTCCCGCCGTAATCCGACACCGTCCTTGTAATTTGCCCCAAATCAAGGACCCCGGTTTCCGCTTCCAGGAACTGCGCCGTCTTTTGCTTAATCTGACCTCTGTCGCGGGCTACGAACTCTCTGTCAAACTTACGCCCTTCTGCCAATGGTTCCCTTAAATCATCCAAAGCGCCCTCTTTAACTGGGACCTTTGTCTGCATTCCCGCCTGAATCCCCTCTTTAATGCGATTTGTCCGCTTTTCCAATGATTCGACCGAGCTTGCTGAGGTTACCCCGGCACCGCTTAATGTTTGTTCTGCATCAGCTACAGCATCCTTACTTTTACCGCTGATCTTCTTCCCGATACTGCTAAAAAATCCACCGCTTTTCTTTTTAGCCTCGGTGGATTGCAATTCAACGTTATTGTTATCTTCTCGGAGTTCTTCTTCGACTCTTCCCAGTTGTCCCTCCACGGACTTCTTAGTGTTATTCCCTTGAGATGGCAGAAATTCAAGCCTTTCACTGGCTTCTTCGACCACCTTTGCTTCATGGTCTAATGTGCTCTCAAGCTTCTGCGTCATTTTTTTAGCTGTCTCTATCTCATCCTCGATCACATCCGATTTAACATCTTTGGGGTCAACATCTTGTAATTTCTTTGAAGATTTTGAAGCGAGTTTTTCTCCAAGTTGCTCTAATACTGACTTCTTTTTAATTTTTTCTTTCGTCTTTTCGGTTTTTCGAGTCAGACTATCCTTAACGTCAGTCGCGAATGTCTGTGCCGCACCTTCTAGTTGTATTAATTGTTGTTTCGCTTTATCATGTTCCTTTTTGGCAGCATCGATTGTCTGCATTTTAATCTTCTCAGCAATTTCTCCAGCATTTATCAATTCCTGTTCAAAACTTTCAGTTGTTTCACCTGCTGTTTTATTTATTACCTTCAACCCTTCATTAAGTGTTTGTTTTTTACCTTCAACACCTTGCGAAGGATCCAGTGTTTCTACTTCATTTCTAATATCTCGCAGCTGTGTGTCCAAAGAAGTCTCCAATTTACTTATATCCTCTTTGATGTCTTCCACTACAGATTTAATTTCCTGTCCCTCCTGTTCTTTAACATCTTTCACCACGACACCGGCACATTCAACTCGTGTTTTAATTCCTCCCTCAACCTCTGGTTTCTTCGATGTTTTCGAAACAATTTTTTCGCTAAGATGACTGAAGAAGCTGGTTGACTTTTTCTTGTTTTTGTCTTTTGTCTTTTCACTTGCGGAAGCTTTATGCTCCTCTCCAGCTGCTGGAAGAGTGGTTCCCAATTCAAAGAGCTTTTCTTCCGCTTTGCCAATTTCTTTATTCAATTCATCGGTATTTGCTTGGACGTGACTGGCAACTTTCTCCAAATCATGTTTAAGGTGTTGTCTAGAATCATCCACTTCTTCGCTTATCAGTTTGACTGTTTTGCGTGATGCCTCCATTGATTTTGATCCTTGATTACCAATTTGGCTTACAGCTTGAGAAATATTTTCCGAAATTGATTGCTTTGCATCATCGACCACTGGAAACGTTGTAACATTAATTTCCACATTATCTTTGATATCCTGCAATTTGGTTTCGATAAAGTTCTCTAACGTGGCAACGTCGTTTTTAATGTCCTCTACGATTTCTTTTGAGTCTTTTGATATTCCTTCTGCGTTATTCTGCAACACATCTTTGCACCTATCAGTTTGGTTCTTAATCGCTTCATCAAGATTTGCGGATTCTTTCGGCAATTTTGGAGCGATTTTTTGGCCAATGTGACCGAAGAAGCCCATCGACTTTTTCTTTACTTTTTCTTTCATTTTTTCTTGATTATCTTCAACGTCTGTCTTAACTTCCTGAGCTGCGGCTCCTAGTTTTAGTAATTTTTCTTCAACTTTGTCTAATTCGCGTTTTAATTCATGTTCCAGATCCGTTTTCTCCTTTTCGAAGCACTCGGTTGCCGCTTTTATATCGTCCGCCACCTTGCTTTTAGATTTTTCCAAATTCGTTTCGACTTGTTGCGACGTCTTGGTCGATTTTTTGCTAATTTTATCGCCGAGTTTGGACAAGAACCCAGCCTTCGTTGCGTCCAAAACGCCGCTTTCAGTTTTTCCCTGCTGCGTTTTACTCTCATCGCCAACTGATTGTTTAGTTTTTTCAATATCCTCTTCGTCCGCGTTCAATACTTGCAGACCACTTTCTTCTGTCTCACGTTCGATCGCCCGTCTGGCATCATCTAAGAACTCCCCGCTACCTTTATGTTTTGATCGTTTAGCAATTTCCTCACTCAGCTTAATCGTTTCTTTGTATTTGTCGTCCACCGTCTGTAGGAAACCCTCTTTTTCGTTAAACAAATGGTCTTCCAGTTCTTTAGTAGTGTCGTTCGCATTTTCCATCTTGGCGTCGAAGCTCTGGATAACGTCTTCTGCGAAATGCGATATGACTAAATCGTTTAGAATAACCGAAGTCCTAACGGGTGTTTCCTGTTTAATCTGATCCGCCTTTTTTTCGGCTTCGTCGATTATATCGTTTACAACTTTGGAAGATTGTTCTTCCAGCGCTTTTATTTCATCAAACTCTTTGGTGTGTTCGACTTTGCCGGTAATTTTTTCGCCAAACTTGCCGAGCTTGTTGAAGAATCCTTTACCCTTTTTGGGAGAACTTTCGAGTGTCTTAGTTCTGCTCCCATCGTCCGATTTCTCAGGCTTCGACGAAGTCTCGCCAGTTTGTCCTTCTTTCTCGATGAACGCCACCTTCTTTAGTTTGGTATCGACGTCGACATAAAACGTTGCCGCGCTTTTGTCGTCGCGAAAATCTTTGATTTTTCTATCGATTGCCTCGTCAAGGTCTTCCAACTTTTTGTACGTTTTCTCGGTTAAATCTTTCCGCTCCTCCGATTTCTCTCTCTTGTTTTTCTTGAACATTCTTTTGCTTATTTTAGGGCTTTCTCTGCGGTCTTTCTTGCTGAATATACTAAACAATCCGGACTTTAAGTGATCCCCTTCAAAATCTTCATCGAGATCAGTGATTATCACCGGTTTGGCGTCTTCATAATTTGTTAGCTCCGTATTTAAAAAGTTTGACGTTTCTCGCAGAATGTGAACGGCTTCTGGACTGTAGGGCTTAGGTGCGCCGATAATCTCCATCGGCTCAGACTTATCGTCACTTTCGGACGATTTTGAGAACATGGATAAAAATCCTCCGCTCCTTTTCTTGTCTCTTTTGCTTTTCTTGTCGGGTTTGTGTTCTTCGTTTTCCTTATTAACGTTTTCTTCGTCCGATCGTTGTTTCTTCTCAAATATCCTAAATGGGCTTCCGCTCTTTTTCCTTTCTCGTTTCGGTTTCTCTTCGTTCCCTGCGGGTTTACTCGACAGCTTCTGGTCTTCGGATTTTGATTTTTCGATGTCGTCGGCCTTTACAATTGATCTGACGTCATGGTAAAGACTAATTTCGTTTCGTATGAAATCAGCGGTAAGCGCTTTTGGATCCGTAGCGGGAATTATCGACTTTTGTGTCGCGTAATCGACTTCCGTTTCTGTAAAAACTTCTTTATCAACTGACAACGGAATTATGCGATCGATGATCTTTGTTTCCACTGTGAAAGTTTCTCTAACGAACGGCTTGGTTGGATTTCGATCTAGAGCTCTCGCTTCCGCTTGGGCTTGCGCGATTTTGATCTTGATTTCGTCGTCCAAACCAACAACGTCTTCCATAACTCTCGGATCGACTACGTAAATCTCTTTGGTAACGGTCACCGTTTTGTCGCCCTTCGGCACGGCTTCTTGAGTAATGACGTGGATTTTTCTACTCACTAAACCGTCATCTACAGTCGTTTCTCGAAACTCAGCGGCATCGATTATATCCGGCTTCTGTTGTTTTTCAGGTAGAGTCGTCTTTGCGATGTCTTCAAAGAGACCACCCGACCCGCCTTTGTCTTCCGTCTTGGATCGTACATCATGATAACGGCTAATTTCCTCTTGTAAGAAATTTTCGCTATCTATTATAATCTTCGCTGCTTCTTGCTCTTCGTAGGTTTGTGATTTCGGTTTAGTGTGCTGGTGCGCCGGCTGTTTCTCTTTCACTTGCTTTTTATTTTCTTTTCCCACTTTACTTGTTTTATCAATTTCTTTCTCCACCGATTGCTCTTTGTCTTTTGACTTCTTTTTTCCGAATAGAGCGAACAGCTTTCCCCCTTTGGAGGGTTTTTCCGCATGATCGGGACCGCCTAAAATTTCTAGAGTTACGTGTGGACGAACGTCGTGGTACTTGCTAACCTCCTCACGCAAAAAATTGCTGGTGGTTATCATATGAAACAGAGCCTCCTCTGAAAGTTGAGGTAGGTTCTTATCAACTTGCTGCTTTTTGACTTTTAGAGCGGAATCTTCGTATTTCTCCAGTTCCGTGTTTAGAAAGTTGGTGGTTTCGGGGATTCTTTCCGCAGGTTTGCCGTCAACAAGAACAACAGCGGGCGGCATGACATCGTGAAACTTAACCACTTCCGTTTTCAGGAATTCGTTTGAATCTATTATGTTTCTCAACACCTCTTCCGACATTTTGGCAGGTTCCCTTTTCGGAGACGTGTGATCTTTCTTCTTCTTTTTGAAAATGCCCAATATTCCTTTACTTTCTTTTTTGTCTTTGGGCTCCACGGTTTCCAATTCATGAACAACATCTACAGCTGTCGCCTTCTTAGTCAGCGCGGCGTCGTAATAATTAGACACTTCCTGAGCTAAAAATGATCGTGTGTTCTCCATGGCCATCGCAACTTCTTCTGAAAGGGCCTTCGCTTTATCTTCGTTTTTGACCTTCTTTTTGAACATACCCAATAGTCCCTTGTTTTCTTTTTTTTCTACTTGCTCATCTTGACTGTCACTCACTATTTTTTTCGGATGTATTACGAATTTGACGTCATGGTATTTTGATATTTCCTGTTTCAAAAATTCGTTTGTGTCTGCCATTAGTTGAGCGTTGTTTGGTACCTGTTGGACTTGCTTTAAGTTCGACTCTTGTTTCTCCATTTTTACGTTTTTTGCATCAGGATGGACGTCATGATATTTATCGACCCCCTGATTCAAAAAGCTTGCACTATCTTGGAGTTCTTCGGCCAGGTTAGTCTCTACCCCGCTAAAAATTTTTTTAACGATTGGACGGTAGTCGTTGTACCTGTTAACTTCATTGTTAAGAAACTCCGATGTTGTCTTCATATTTCGGATGCTTTCTTCAGAAGATCTTTTAGCTCCATCGTCCTTATCTTTTGATTTACCTTTAAATATCGAAAATAAACCTCTGTGTTCCGATTCTTTTATTACTTTTGGTTCAATTTCTAATGGGACAATTGGACGAACGTCATAGAAATGACCAATCTCCGTCTTTAAAAACGCCGCGGTGTCATCCCTAAGTTGAATGGCATCTAGCTCTTTTTTGAGTTTGCGAGGTGGTGGTAGTGGTTTTTGTTGTTTCATTACATGCTCTTTTTCCATCGAGTGTTCCATCGGGATTATCTTCTTTATCGTACGAACGTCATGATACAAGTTAATTTCTTTTTGTAGAAATCGCGCTGTATCGTCCATTGTTTTAAGCAACTCTTGGTGAACTTGAACCGCATCCCTTTCTCTGGATTTGCTTCTCCTTTTAAACATGCTAAACAAACCTGACGACTCTCTGGTTTTAATTTCTTTTTCCACGTGAACTTTTTGTGGCAGCGTATGAAGTCGAACGTCATGGTAATGTTGTACTTCTAAATTGAGGAAATTCAGCGAATCCTCCATATTGCGCATCACATCGGCCGAGAGTATAGGTTTTTCTTTCGCTTTTGGTTTATCCTCAGATTTCTTTTTAAATATACCAAACAAACCCTTGGATTCCTTCTTCTTCACCTCGATTTCATCATCGATTTTTTTTTCTACGGCAGGTCGTTCGTCGTAATAAACGTCGACCTCCTTTTTCAAGAATTCGTCAGAGCTATCCAACCCCAAAATAGTCGCAGCTGGTAAAATAACTACGTTCGTATCTTGCCGCGGGTGTAATATCGACTTCTTAATAGGTTGTACGTCATGATATCGACTTATCTCTTCTCTCAGAAAGTGCCTTGTGGACTCCATAGTTTTAACTACTTCTTCTGGAATTGAATATTGACTATCGATGTGTTCTTCTGCAGGGATTTGCTTCACGATTGGACGAACATCATGGAAAATATCCACTTCTCTTTTAAAAAAGTCAAGAGAGGCTTGAATATCTTTTGCGTTTTGCTGCTGATACGATTCCCTTTCCTCCGATTTAGCGTGCTTTTTAAATATTTTAAATATACCTCTGGATTCCTTCTTCTTGGGACTTTCTGTTTTCTTGGCTTCGGTTTTTTGAACCTTTGCTTCCTCAGCCTCGATCTTTTTCAGTGGTCGTACATCATGGTATACCTCCACTTCTTGTTTTAAAAATTCCTGCGCGTCTCTCATCGCTTTGAGGGTATCTTCGGGGGTTATACATTGGAAGTGGAATTTTTCTTGCTGGACGATAAGACGAACATCGTGGAATCTGGCCACTTCTTCTTTAAGAAAATCGTTAGTCGCGTTCATTTGTTTTAAAACTTGGTCGTGATACGATTCTTTTTCCTCGGATTTCGTTTGTTTCTTGAATATTTTAAAGATACCTGCTGGATCCTTCTTTTTGTGTGAATAATTCTGCGCTTCCAGTTCATTCGTAACATATTTTTGTGCTGTTGGTTCTTCTAGAGTGGTTTTTACGACAGGCTTGACATCGTGATAATGATCCACTTCTTGTTTTAAAAACTCATTGGCGTCTTTCATCGCTTTGAGGATGTCTTTAGTGGCTGTACATTGGAAGTGGATGTTTTCTTGTCGAACGAGCGGACGAACATCGTGAAATCTGGCTATTTCTTCTTTGAGAAAATCGTTACTCGCGTTCATTTGTTTTAAAACTTGTTCGTGATACATTTCTTTTTCCTCGGATTTCGTTTGTTTCTTGAATATTTTGAAGATACCTTTCGAGTCCTTCTTTTTTGGTGAACCTTTCTGGGCCTCCGATTCGTTCATAACAGATTTTTGTGCTGCAGGCTCTTCCACGATGATTTTTACGACAGGCTTGACGTCATGGTAATTATCCACTTCTTGTTTTAAAAAAGAATCGCAAATATTCATATTATAAACGACTTGGCCGGATAACTTTAATTTATCTTTCGTTGCTGTAGTTTGCCTTGACACCGCCTCCTTTGGTAAAACTATAGGGCGTACATCGTGAAATCTGATAACCTCTTCCCTTAAAAAAGTAGACGAACTTTGCATATTTTTAACAGCCTCGGCCGACAAAGTAATTTCTTTAGCATGCTCCATCTTGGAATGTTTCTTGTCGCCCTCGGGTTTCTTTTTGAACATGCCGAAGAGCCCGAAGGACTCCTTCTGCTTATGTTCTTCCTCCACTATGACATTTCGTGCCTCCACGCGAGGACGTGCGTCATGAAAATGTTCCACTTCCAGGTTTAAGAATTTTCTGGTATCTTCCATATTTTTAACGACTTCTTCGGACAAAGCCTGTTTCGGTTTTGATTTTGTTTTTCTCTCCCTTTTATCGTCGGGTTTTTCATTTTTCTTTTTAAATATGCCAAATATACCCTTGGATTCTTTTTTATTTGCGTCGACTTCTTCGGCAAGTTTTTCATGAACAACGGGTCGAACATCGTGATAATATTCAATCTCTTGCTTTAGAAAATCGAGCGAGGTTTCCATGCTCACTGCTTGTTTTCTACTAGTGTCGGGTATGTAGACGGTCGTCTTAAATAATGGTCGCACATCGTGGTATGTAGCTACTTCCACCTCCAGGAATTTTTCGGTATTTTTCAAGTTACTTATAACTTCTACAGGCATAGATGTCTTGGTTGGTGAAAGTGTTTCTGTTTTTGATTTTATTTTCGAAGTTTCAACCGACTCATGGAGAAGTTCTTTCGCTTCCAAATTCGTTTTAGTTATTTCGTGAGACGCAGGTGTAACCTTCTTCTGTTTTGTCCCTTTTTTGGATTCATCTTTATTCGCCTTTTTAAAAATGCCGAAGGCCCCCTTCGCGTCTTTCTTTTTTTCTATGCCGTCGTCCATTTCAATCATAACCGGCTGTATTATCCTGGGTCTCACGTCATGATACTTTTCAATTTCGTTAATCAAGAACGTATCCGTGGCTATAATTTTAACGATATCCTCATCTATTTGGTCTGCGGGTTCCTTAATTAAACCAGAGGTGTCAGCTCCGGTTTCGTTCAAAGGACATCTGTCAATATCATTTTCGTATTCAGCCAGCACTTGGCGCTCTTCGTCAGACAATTTGATAGCGTAAACGGGCAAAACGTCGTGATAATTCGCTACTTCCGTTTTCAGAAAACTATCGGTTGTTCGTCTGGTTAATTCATCAGCAACGCGTTGCTTCTCCAAAGTGACTGCCTTCTTTGTCTCCGGCATTGAAGTCTGTTTGGGTACAACTTTGACGTGTTCGTGAGGCTTTATCGTCTTGTTGATGAGTTTACAGTCCTCATATTTATCCTTTTCGGTTGCCAGAAATGCATCAGTTTGATTCATTATCTCGACGACTTCCTCAGAGAGCGGAGGCTTATGTCTTGTTCCACTTTTCTTTGGCTTTTTCCCAAACAGCCCTAGAACACGCTCCGCGCTTTTCTCCCTAGATTTTCCTCGGGTATGTTTCGACAGCGAGTCCGTTTTACTGCTGTCGTCATCGGACGCCTCGTTATCCTTCGACGTAGACTTTCTAAATATTCCGAATAGCTTTTTCTTCCTTTTCAATGTCGAATTGTCACCCTTCGCGGTGTCTTCAGTAGGAGGTTGGTCGTCGATCCAAGCCGCAAACGCTTTTTCATTTTCTATGAGGTTATGTGTCACCTTTTTGACCGACTCATCGTCGAACTTGAACCGTTCGGGAATCGAAACCAAATTGTCTGGATACTGCGAGACAACTACGTCATCATAGTGCTGAGGCTCGCGGGTCGGCGGAGTGTCAAAATGCGCTACTGGTTTCACGATTTTCTCTTGCGAAAGTATTGGGGATTTTTCCAAAATTTCCTTCTCGATTTTGTCGATGCTCTCGTCGATGTTAAGGGTAAAAGTTTCCTTCGACTTCTTCGGGGACTCGGTCTTGGTTGGGTCGATGATAACTGTAAATTCTTCCTCCTCGACAGCGGCCGGCGCGAAAGTTTTAGTGATCGTTTCTTCCAGAACAATGGTTTTCATTTTTTTCGTTTTCGGCGTTTTCGGTTTCGCAACGTTGGCATCTTTTTCCACATTAGTTATTTTTTCTGGAGCGGTTTCGTCAGGAGTAGTAATCGTTTTTGAGGGTATTTTAGCGGTATCGACCACGGCGTCTACCGTAAAGCCGTTAGTGTCTGCGGAATCGAATTCGGCTTCGACAAATGGTATATCCGCGTATTTACGGTCCTCGGTAGGTGTCGGTAATTTTGGTTTTCGTGGGGGTCGTACAGGTACGTCGGGCGGGACGTCGACGGTTTTCTCTTTCTTGGCTTTCTTTTTCTTCTTCTCTTTTTTCGGAGATTTTTCGGAATCGGAATCGGATAGGTCGGACGACTTGCTAACGAACGTTTTCAGTGTACCGAAAAATCCCTTCCTGGTTTTCTTTTCGGGTGGTATCGAGACGACAGTCTCTTTTGAAATTTTATAATGCTGCTCTGTAAGTGGATGGTACGGTTCTGCGCGTGACTCGTGCTGAATGAATGCGTCAGTTTGATCGAATATCGGCTTTACGGAAAATTCGCCTTTACTAGCTAAATGTGTCGTAGTCGTTTTTCCTGTAAGAACATGCACTGTCGAGCAAGCGATTCTAACTACCAAACCCTAACCCTAGTCATCTTTAAATTGAAAAACAATATTCTTACTGCAGGTCTCGGTTTAATGTCACTCGTGTGTTAATGCGCAGATCAGTTAGTCAAAGTAAAACTAACCACATGCAACTCAACACCGTTACAGTACCTTCTGTGGACGGCAACCAATCGCAGTACGCTCGCGAAGGATAAGGGAAAGACTCCTCGTCGTTATCGTTATATACAGGGTAGAACGGGACGTTGGCGAAGAGGTTAACTTTGGCTGGGGCTGACTGGGTGAAAGGTTCGTAATCCAAGGGAAAACGCTCGTTGGTGGTCGCGATTAGTTCGGATTTGCTCCTCGACAACTCTTTACTGCTCACCAGGTTACTCTGAGTGCTCTCGTTCTCTGAATTCTTCACGAACAAACGCGGCAGCGTGAAACTCGGTTTACTAGTATCGGTCCTTGCCGCGGAGTTCGTTTCGACGTCGGAGAGGGTGTCGTACGAAGCCGATTTCTTCCGGCCCGGATCTAGAAAGTTGGAAAACTTGCTGCTCATGCTAGACAACTTCTCGCTGAGCTTCGAAGGTAACGTTTGGCTTTTGTTTTTCGGGGCCGTCCGAGCGTCTTTCACCCGAGTGTCTACTGGGTTATCCATAAATTCGCGCACTGAGCGTATTTCGATCGCCTCTTTGCCGCGGTCCACTGTTTTCACCAGAAGTTTTACTTCCGCCTTCACTACCTTTTCGGGTATTTCGTAGTGGCCTTCGTCCGAACTGGATGACTCACTTGAACTAGTATCGCTACGACTCAACAGTAACAATTTTTCGTGTTCGTCCGACGCGATGCTCAAAGGATACGTCTTGGTGGTATAATGCTCGGGGAACTTGGTGCTCAAATTTTCTTCGTCTTCTTCGGGGACCACGCTGAGGTTGCGGTAGGTACCCTCCCACCATATATCGCGTCCGCCCACGAAGTCGTCGTGCAGTTGATAATTGAAATCGTTTATTTGTTGGGTATCGACCGGCTCGTAATCGTCATCAACCGGGTCGACGATTTCACTGGAATCGTTCCAACTGTCAGGGCAGTCGTCGTCTATATCACCCAATGATTCTGCGGAAGCGGCATTGGCGGTTTTTCGGAAATCAAGCTCGTAATGGCTAGTATACGGCTTCTCAAAGTAACCAGAATGATCGAAATCGTCAATAAGCATGCAAGCCTCGTCGTCCTCGACGGGGATCGATATTATTTCGTTGGCTTTAAACTCGTTCGGATCGGTAAACTGAATGAGATCGTATTCCTGGGTGTCCTCTCGGCGAGGATTGCTATTATCAAACCCCACCATCTCGTAAGGGCACTCCTCTTGGTTTATTATTAAGCTCTGCGTCGTTTCATATACCTTGGGTACCCTTATGGACTTTTTAATCGGGACCTCAATCAGGGCGTCGGAACTGGGTACTAGCTCCAGTGTGTTAACGCATTGATCCTGAGGTTCGTAAACGTCAAGATCCAAACCGAAAATTTTCTCTTGGCGTTCGACTTCGCCGAGCATGTGCTCGAGTATTGCGTCAATCTGCGCGTACGACGTTACGTTAAGGGGTGAGGAACGGGACGGGGAACGCGTACTGCGATTTGGAGGACCCGGAATGACGTCACAGGACGGAGCGCCATCTATCGAAAATTGCCTGCATTAACCACAGCTGTAGTAAGAATATTTGTTTGCCGCGAGGTAGTTTCAACTTAATAAAAATGATGTGACGCCGAATGATACAAAATAATAATAAACGAAAAATGGATGCTTAAATTTGGTGCCTGACGCTTTCGGTTCTAACGGCTTTTCCAATTAGAACGATTTCATTCCGAACCAACCAAAACAACAGTGTTATATCGTCATATACGTTACTACCACTACTGTTGAATTTAATTTAGTCGGATATCATTAAAAAATATCTTTGGTCTCTATATGAAAATTTTAAAAGTACTATTAAATTTGATAGAAAGCACTATTTATTAAAGTTGGTGATTAAAGCCATGAAATAAATAATATTGCTTTTTTATCGACAATTGAGGACGATATTTTCAAATTTTACTAGAAAGAAGAACATATAGATTCATGTAATTTGTAGAATCTAAATGAAAATGTCACGTTTTTTCACTTAATGAACTATATGAAATTTTTATGATATTTGAAAGGTTTTATTCATTCAAAGTATTGAAGATAAATATGGTGTTTTCTGTTGATATCTATTTTCAATGGACTCTCTTCACATATATAAGAAGTTTTTAATAGAAGTTTATTAAAGAACTCAATCCGTTCTTGTTGGAAAATCCAATAACGCAAGGATCAAAATTTTAGCCGATGTGCGTCAAAAACTCGCATGCCCATGCGTCGCGCCTGCGCTTTAATCGAGACATAACGAAAACAAAAAAAATAAGCGAAACAAAGATTTTACAACTGATTTTTCGAAATAGTAAGATTGTCGCAAATGCAAGCCGATAAAATAAACTGCTATTCAGTCGGAAATAATCATGTCGATTGTGTGATGTGCGTTCTGCTCTGCATCGAAAAACAAAAATAAATAAATAAACGAATAAATGGATGAAATGTCGATATGCTATTAAAACATAGACAGACGAAGTGGCCCGATTCATATCCACACGAACATTATTATTATAATGCCCCCGATTTGGATTGCGTAAATTGCTGTCAGGGTGTGTGCCAAATTCTAGCGACTTAAATTACTAGCTACGCTAATCTCACCCGAATATTTTTTCTTAATCCTAGCTTAGTAACAATCAATGACGTGTTAAATTACCTTGGTTTGCGGCGGTCGACGCTAATGGTGCCGTTTCTTCGGCGATAGCTGCCGGTTTTTTGGAGGCATCCCATTCTAGAAAGCACATTTTATTAGATTTCTGGTGGTACATATTTACTTTATTTTACGACGTAAATAGCTGCTACAAAAAAATCAAGTCTCAACGATACAGCTACTAATATAGAGGCCGTACCTATGATGATAACCAACTAAAATAAAAAAATGCCGAGAAGAAATATTCAATGCGCCTGTCAATCAAATATAGCTTTGCAGGGCATAACGTGGCTACTGGCAATTGTGTATTCGATAATTTGCAGTTTGGCTGCGGCAAGATATTGCCCATATGTCCCTCTACGAAAATGTCATAGCCACCAAAGGTGGCTATGACATTATATTTACGGTCTCCATATTATCTAATGGCTGTATGGTCTTAACTCATTTTTTGGTTAAAGCGCTTATTAAAAATCTAGCACGTACTTGTTTTTAAGAAGAGCGTGCATAACTTTTACCTGTTACGGGACCGTGGGCGTTTGCTCAAGACAAGCGGAACTAAGAATGTACTTACCCATGGACGTTTGGCACAGACATTTACCATTCCACGCAATAGCTACTTTACATATTTTTCTGTGGCAACTAACGTTGAAACTATCTTTGTCAGCTGAGTGTTCTCTATTTTAAATGTTTTAGTAATAGAGATCCTTCAAAATAGAAAATGAGAAAAACATGAACGTTGTCGATTTGTTACACATTTATTAAGCAGTATTATTTTCAGAAATGTTTATTTTTTTGTACCCAAAATGTAACAACAATAACCCACCATAAGAAGTAACGTTGGATTTTTTCTATGAACACCATAACTACCCGTCTAGCAATAAATAAGATGGGACCCAACTTGCTACCGTAGCACTTACCACCCGAAACTTCTTCCTCGTCGGTAATGCTTTCAACATGACCACCACCTTTAAGGTACATGATTTCCTGCGGAGCGTCTAAATCAAGCTTTTTGACGTCTTCGGTATGCACGATGCTGGCCGACACCTGATCAAACTCGTAAATGATTTGATTGGGCGTCGCTGTTTGCGCACGCGAATACGAATTGACATCTTCCTCCGCCGATACGATCAAGTCTTCGGTGTCGGTCGGAATCGGTGTGACATAACTATTCATCGGAAATCGCGTGTCCATCTTGTGTGTTACGGAAAACGAAGCGGATCGCTCTTTAAAGTAAAACATCTCGTTGTCTAATACTCTCATATGTTCGGGCGTGCCAGAGTCTCGTGTGAAAGGTTGGACCTCATCATCTGAGAGTTCCACGTTCTCCGTATCGGTAAGATCATTGTTGTCGATATTCGGAAGCGACAGTCTGCATTCTTCCGCTTTGTTGTCGCTGATGTAGAGATCTTCCGTATCCGTTAGCGATAAGTTGTCATGCTTTGCGGTGAGAGTTTTCTCGTATAAATATTTAAACTTTGGAGCCCGTTTCCGCTTCTGCTTCTTCTCGATTAAGATATCCTCAGTGTCGGTTAAGGATTCCGGAGCTTCGCGTTCTGATTTATCTTGCTTATTTACACGTTCGCTCACGCTGATCAAACCGCCCTCAAGCGGGGGGATGTCTGGGGTGGGCGCTCTATTCGTTCGGTCTATCTGTAACGTATTACTTAGATCCTCGACATCTTCGACACCCATCATGTTTTCTTCTTCGGTATGCACGTCTTCATCCTCGCCGCTATCTTCCTCTTCCTTCACATTATCCAACGGCACGATTTTTACGGTAGGCACAATGGAATGGTTTTCCTGTACCAACACCAAGTTCCTTGTTGTTGCAGGTAGTATTATTTCTGGAAAGTTTCGAACGCGGTCGTAGTCTTCGTCGCTGAATTGCTCTTCGTCGGTAGCGCATTGTTCTTGCGCAAGTGCCACTGTCATGCGTTTGTGATCGCTCACGTCGGAAGAGCCGTCAATGTTCTCCAGATCGGTAATCGGGTCGTCTGTATCGATTACGGGTAAATTTAGTTTATTATTTGATTGGGATTTCTTGGCAAAATAAGATATGGAAGGGGAGAATTTGATGTTGTACGCGCAGGATTCTTCGTCGGAATCCGCATCGTGATCGGTGTGAACGTCATCAACGTCTGTGTCTTCTTGAGACTCGACCATTTCCGTGTCACTTATGGATAGCGGTACCAATTTCTTTGACAAGATGTTGGATTCATCGGTAACCTGATTGTAACATTCAGTCATTTCGTTCAATTTTTGTTCGAATATCGCATCGTCAGTATAAATCGTTTCTGCCGTATAGTTATCGTCCTGGGCGTCGAAGTCTTCGGTATCAGTCAACATTTGCAAATTAGAATCCGGCGCTGCCAGTGTATTCTTTCTTTTGTTGAAAACTTTTTTGCACACGGGAAACGGCAAGGAATTGTCTTCCTCGTTATCCGACTCGAAGTGCGTCGAGGTATTCTTCGCGAATACGCGGTTTCGTCTCTTTGTGGACCTTTTGGTATTCTTGGTGAACGCGTCGTCCTCCGACAACTGCAGATCTTCAAGTTCGGTCATTGAATTGTTTTTGTTCCCGCGGTGTCGTCTACGTTTGTTTTTATTCGTTTTGATTCTGAGGTCGTCGCTGTTGTCCGAGTTAATCATTTCAATGTCAGTGTGGTCGGATAAATTATGCGAAAACGAAAAAGCGTTTTGATGAGTATTAACGCCCGTTTGAATAGGCGAGTTACATTCTTCGGTGGTGACATTCGCAATATCGTATACGCCCATATTTATGACGGCATCCGGTATAACAGTTTCTACTACACTATCCGTATCGTAAACTTCGCTATCTGTAGAGAGTTCAACCTCGGTTTGCTCGACCTCATTTACAGTATTTTCAATTTTGGCAATGTAGCGAGCGTTCACTGCACCATTGGATTTGCTTATTTCGTTGCTACGAATTTCCTCGATGGCATCGTTATCGGTGAGTAAATCAGCGATCGATACAGGCTCTCGGTGGTTGACTATCTCAGGGTGTGGGTCTTCATCAGACGCTTCGAAGTCTTCCAAGTCGGTGGCGTTATCGTCCGCGGTTAATTTAATTTTTAATTTGTTCTTTTTCTTCATCGACTTAACATGTTCGTGACCGTCCTCATGCAGTTCCTCTACGTCCGTCAAGCTTTCCGCCATATTAAACGGATTTTCATCTTCGTCCTCGGCTTCGGAGGTTATGTTGATTTCCGGTATGTCTATGGTAAGCGCCATATTGGAGTGTATTTCTTGAACCGGAAACCTATAAGGAACCTAGTTATTGCTTTATGCAGAGCATTCCACTGCTTGGGTGCACACCTCATAGAGAATTTTTCCAATTTTATAAAAAAGGTCGCGACAATTGGTAAATTCTGAAAAATGAAATGCATTCCTTCTTCCCACCCATCAAACGAAAAGTAACCATGTATCCCACGCGTATATCTAGATTCTAGATGGTAATTTATATTTACTTACCTTCCAGGTAGATGCCCGAGTGAGCGAGAATTCTTAGCCTTAAACTAAAAGTACCTACATCTAACGCTAGTTTGAGCATATCATAATCGCTACAAATCTAAAATGGCTACAAGTCTATAAAATTATACCTCTTTACTTGTGTCTATTGGGAAAGCCATGCTGTAGGATGACATCTGTTTAGGAGCAGCCGACACTGAACTTGGGTTACCTTGTGCTTCATTCCGAGCTGCCTGCTCGTAAGAAAATCTGAACTTGGCTCGTGGCGGAGATACGGCTTGCACGCTCAATATCGGCGACAGCCTCTCCTCTGATTTTTGAGGCTCCGTTTCGGCGATTTTTCTCTCTTCTACGTTCCATAGCGACAAGCTTGATTCTTGGGCGCCATCGCTTTTGTTAACCGTCACCAAGTCAGACACGCGGTGGGCGTTCTCTAAGCTCTTTCTATGCCACGGGGATGTTGGTGAAACGGATTTTAGTTTGCCGTTCATGTCCGAACTGACTTCGTGATCGGACGGCGAGCTTGGCAACGCCACCGATTCCGAGAGGCTGGAATCGGTCGTGTCGACTATTGAAATCTCGGTTTCGTTTTTCAAAAGAGACGCCACGCGTCTTATATTCTCGTAGGGCTGCCGGTAAATCACCTCGATAGAACCGGAATGATGCTGGGTCCTGGTAAACACTTCGGAAGTTAATTTGGATCCTCCGTTGGCCGACCTCACCCTTATTGGACTGCCAGGCAGAGAAGTGGGGCTAATACTCGTTCTGCCATTATCGGGCGCTTGGTAACTAGCGGATATAACGCTTTGACTACGAACTCGTTCTGAGAATTGGACGGACTTATCGGGTAAGTGGGATGGAAGCTTTTTGATATGATCCGCTACTACTGACCGACGCAATTTCGTTGGGGATGGACTGGGTTTTCGTATTTCGATAAACGTTTGCTCAATCTTTTCACACTTGAAGTGTCTTTCGGAATCTTTCGGCGTCTTTACGTCGGTTATCATCGGTTTTGCTTTGGTTTTCGCTGCGTAGGACTCTACTGGTTTTGTCTCGACCACTTGTTTTTTTGTTTTAGACGGAGTGCTCTTCATCTTCTGGATCGTGTTCTCGCGTGTGCGACTCGTTAGGGCCCGAGTATCCCGAATTTTCTTATTCAAGTTATCCATTTCCTGCTTATCCTTAATGCGAGGCGGTGTGCTGGTACGTTCAATCTTCATATCTCTGGATACAGTGGACTGCATGTAACCGTGGCAAACGTGATCGTACTTCTTTGAAACAGTTTTCGCAGTCGTTTGTTTATGGATGAATTTGGGAATGGACGACTTATCCCCTCCTTGACCATCTTTGGACTTTGACTTAGCCCTACCAGGTTTACGCGCGAGACTTTCCCTCCTATCTTCATCCGAACTGGCATCCGCGTCGTTGCAGTTCTTCGTATTCTTGGTTTTGGACTTAACCGGGCTGAACGTTCTTGTCGTTTTGGTAACTTGTTCTTTGACTTTAGTGTCGGTTTTTTGGACGAAAATCTTCTGCAAATCATCGGTCATTGATAGATGAGGCGAAGGCTGTTTGTAAAGTCTCGAGCCACGTCGCTGCTGTACGTCACCCGATGATGATTTTCGTGATGACAACATGTCGTGCTCCGACTCGGAAGAGAGAGGCTCCGCGTCCGTCTCGGACGAGTGAATTTTCTTCTCGACGACAGACAACCTACCGTTGGTCTGAGGCGACACTTTTCTTTTATGTTTCATTTCATTAGATGCGAATTTGACGAGAGACATGTTTGCTTCGCTAGCTTTGGTTTTGCTGGATGAGGTATGGGTAGATAATGCAGAAGAACTCTTTATATCGCGCCCTTTCTTTTCCGATTTGCCACTGGTCTGAATTTTTGGCGACCGTTGTCTCGTCTTAGCTATCGTCGTCTTAGGCGATTTAATGTCCCTGGTTTTAAGCTCCGAAGATTTATAAGCCTGGCTGCTAACTGCTTCATTTCCACCAACTAGTTTCGACTTGGATTCCGATGTGGTTGTCACCTTATTTGGGGAAGAAAAAAGTTCGTCATCAGACAGGATGAATTGAGCGTCACGCTTCAAATATGACCTTTGTTTGTCGTAGGTTTTGCTCGTTTTTTCAAGTTTGACTTGGGTGGGCGAAGTAGGTTTTCCAACAGTGGTGCTGAGTTTAACCGTTTTGTTCGTGGACTTTATTTCGCGTTCCTGAAACGTTTTATCCTTATAGCGATGACTTACTGGAGTAATTCTACCTTTAGAAGATTTAATGTCTTGTTTTCCTCTCCTGTCCTCTCTTATGTTTAATTTAGTAACGTCCATAGTTGGCGATTTTATTTCGTGGTAGCCAAATTTAAGGTGTTTATCGGCAGGGACTGAAATGATTTCCTCTGCAATTTTACGTTTAACATTTTCTTGTCCAGCTACTTTTTCAAATGGACTCAATTCATTAGGCTCATAAAAAGGCGATTTTAGTTGATGTTCGTGTATTTTTTCGCTGTCAACTGGAATTAGTGGAGACATTATAACGTTTTCTTCAGCATGAGATTTAATTTCGTGCTTTTCTATTTGAATTGGAATTGATTTAGCAACCTCCTGTATTGGCGATTCTATTTGGTGTTTGTCAAATTTAAGATCTTTTTCTGCATGGACTGAAATGATTTCCTCTACAATTTTGCTTTTAACATGTTCTTGTAAAGCTACTCCTTCAACTGGACCCAATTCTTTAGGTTCGTCCACCGTAGATTTTAGTTTGTGATCGTACATTTCTTCGTTATCCAGGGGAAAAAGCGGAGATATAACTTTTTCTTCAGTAAGAGCTTTAATAACTTGTTTTTCTACTTGAATTGGGCTTAATTTAGTAACTTCCTGGATTGGCGATTTTATTTTGGGTCCGTCAAATTTAAGGTCATTTTTGGAAGGGACTGAAATGATTTCCTCTTCAATTTTACCTTTAACATATTCTTTTCCAAATACTTTTTCTACTGGACTCAATTCTTTAGGTTGATCCACCGGCGATTTTGGTTTGTGATCGTGTATTTTTTCTTTATCTTCAGGAATTAGTGGAGATAAAACTTTTTCTTCAGTAATAGTTTTAATATCTTGTTTTTCTACATGAATTGGGCTTAATTTAGTAACCTCCTGGATTGGAGATTTTATTTTGTGTTCTTCAAATTTAAGATCCTTCTCTGCAGGGACTGAAATGATTTCCTCTACAATTTTAGTTTTAACATCTTCCTGTCCAGCTACTATTTCAACTGGACTCAATTCTTTAGGTTGATCCACAGGCGATTTTAGTTTGTGATCGTGTATTTTTTCTTTATCTTTAGGAATTACTGGAGATAAAGCTTTTTCTTCAGTAGGAGCACTAATATCTTGTTTTTCTACATGAATTGGGCTTAACTTAGTAACCTCCTGGATTGGCGATTTTATTTTGTGTTCTTCAAATTTAAGATCCTTTTCTGCAGAGACTGAAATGATTTCCTCTACAATTTTACTTTTAACATCCTCTTGTCCAGCTACTATTTCAACTGCACTCAATTCTTTTCGTTGATCCACCGGCGATTTTGGTTTGTGATCATGTATTTTTGCTATACCCTCAGGAATGACTGGAGACAAAACTTTTTCTTCAGTAGGAGCTTTAATATCTTGTTTTTCTACATGAATTGGGCTTAATTTAGTAACGTCCTGGACTGGCGATTTTATTTTGTGTTCTTCAAATTTAAGATCCTTTTCTGCAGGGACTGAAATGATTTCCTCTACAATTTTACTTTTAATATCTTCTTGTCCAGCTATTATTTCAACTGGACTAAATTCTTTAGGTTGATTCTCCGGCGATTTTGGCTTGTGATCGTGTATTTTTTCTTTATCTTCTGCAATTAGTGGAGATAAAACTTTTTCTTCAGTAAGAGTTTTAATACCTTGTTTTTCGACATGAATTGGGCTTAATTTAGTAACCTCCTGGATCGGAGATTTTATTTTGTGTTCTTCAAATTTAAAATCCTTATCTGCAGGGACTGAGATGATTTCCTCTACAATTTTACTTTTAACATCTTCCTGTCCAGCTATTATTTGATATGGACTCAATTCTTTATGTTCATCCACCGGCGATTTTAGTTTGTGATCGTACATTTTTTCTTTATCTTCTGCAATTAGTGGAGATATAACTTTTTCTTCAGTATGAGCTTTAATATCTTGTTTTTCTACTTGAAATGGGCTTAATTTAGTAACCTCCTGGATTGGAGATTTTATTTTGTGTTCTTCAAATTTAAGATCCTGTTCTGCAGGGACTGAAATGATTTCCTCTACAATTTTACTTTCAACATCTTCTTGTCCAGCTGCTATTTCAACTGGACTCAATTCTTTAGATTGATCCTCCGGCGATTTTGGTTTGTGATCGCGAATTTTTTCTTTACCATCAAGAATTAGTGGAGATAAAACTTTTTCTTCAGTATGAGCTTTAATATCTTGTTTTTCTACATGAATTGGGCTTAACTTACTGAACTCCTGGATTGGCGATTTTATTTTGTGTTCTTCAAATTTAAGATCCTTTTCTGCAGGGACTGAAATGATTTCCTCTACAATTTTACTTTTAACATCCTCTTGTCCAGCTACTATTTCAACTGGACTCAATTCTTTTCGTTGATCCACCGGCGATTTTGGTTTGTGATCATGTATTTTTGCTATACCCTCAGGAATGACTGGAGACAAAACTTTTTCTTCAGTAGGAGCTTTAATATCTTGTTTTTCTACATGAATTGGGCTTAATTTAGTAACCTCCTGCATTGGAGATTTTATTTTGTGTTCTTCAAATTTAAAATCGTTTTCTGCAGGGACTGAGATGATTTCCTCTACAATTTTAGTTTCAACATCTTCTTGTCCAGCTACTATTTCAACTGGACTCAATTCTTTAGGTTGATCCACCGGCGATTTTGGTTTGTGATCGTGTATTTTTTCTTTATCTTCAGGAATTAGTGGAGACAAAGCTTTTTCTTCAGTAATAGTTTTAATATCTTGTTTTTCTACATGAATTGGGCTTAATTTAGTAACCTCCTGGATCGGAGATTTTATTTTGTGTTCTTCAAATTTAAGATTCTTCTCGGCAGGAACTGAAATGATTTCCTCTACAATTTTACTTTTAACTTCTTCTTGTCCACCTACTATATCAATTGGTCTCAATTCTTTAGGTTGATCCTCCGGCGACTTTGGTTTGTGATCATGTATTTTTTCTTTATCTTCAGGAATTACTGCAGACAAATCTTTTTCTTCAGTAGGAGCTTTAATATCTTGTTTTTCTACATGAAATGGGCTTAATTTAGTAACCTGCTGGATTGGAGATTTTATTTTGTGTTCTTCAAATTTAAGATCCTTCTCTGCAGGGACTGAAATGATTTCCTCTATAATTTTAGTTTTAACATCTTCTTGTCCAGCTACTATTTCAAATGGACTCAATTCTTTAGGTTGATCCACCGGCGATTTTGGTTTGTGATCGTGGATTTTTTCTTTATCTTCAGGAATTAGTGGAGACAAAGCTTTTTCTTCAGTAGGAGCACTAATATCCTGTTTTTCTACATGAATTGGGCTTAACTTAGTAACTTCTTGGATTGGAGATTTTATTTTGTGATCTTCAAATTTAAGATCCTTTTCTGCAGGTACTGAAATGACTTCCTTTACAATTTTACTTTTAACATCCTCTTGTCCAGCTACTATTTCAACTGGACTCAATTCTTTAGTTTGATCCACCGGCGATTTTAGTTTGTGATCGTGTATTTTTTCTTTATCTTCAGGAATTAGTGGAGACAAAGCTTTTTCTTCAGTAGAAGCACTAATATCTTGTTTTTCTATATGAATTGGGCTTAACTTAGTAACTTCTTGGATTGGAGATTTTATTTTGTGATCTTCAAATTTAAGATCCTTTTCTGCAGGGACTGAAATGACTTCCTTTACCATTTTACTTTTAACATCCTCTTGTCCAGCTACTATTTCAACTGGACTCAATTCTTTAGGTTGATCCACCGGCGATTTTGGTTTGTGATCATGTATTTTTGCTATACCCTCAGGAATGACTGGAGACAAAACTTTTTCTTCAGTAGGAGCACTAATATCTTGTTTTTCTACATGAAATGGGCTTAATTTAGTAACCTCCTGGATTGGAGATTTTAATTTGTGTTCTTCAAATTTAAGATCCTTTTCTGAAGGGACTGAAATGATTTCCTCTACAATTTTAATTTTAACATCCTCTTGTCCAGCTACTATTTCAACTGGACTCAATTCTTTAAGTTGATCCACCGGCGATTTTGGTTTGTGGTCGTGTATTTTTTCTTTATCTTCAGGAGTTACTGCAGACACAACTTTTTCTTCAGTAGGAGCTTTAATATCTTGTTTTTCTACATGAAATGGGCTTAATTTAGTAACCTGCTGGATTGGAGATTTTATTTTGTGTTCTTCAAATTTAAGATCCTTCTCTGCAGGGACTGAAATGATTTCCTCTACAATTTTAGTTTTAACATCTTCTTGTCCAGCTACTATTTCAAATGGACTCAATTCTTTAGGTTGATCCACCGGCGATTTTGGTTTGTGATCGTGGATTTTTTCTTTATCTTCAGGAATTAGTGGAGACAAAGCTTTTTCTTCAGTAGGAGCACTAATATCCTGTTTTTCTACATGAATTGGGCTTAACTTAGTAACTTCTTGGATTGGAGATTTTATTTTGTGATCTTCAAATTTAAGATCCTTTTCTGCAGGTACTGAAATGACTTCCTTTACAATTTTACTTTTAACATCCTCTTGTCCAGCTACTATTTCAACTGGACTCAATTCTTTAGTTTGATCCACCGGCGATTTTAGTTTGTGATCGTGTATTTTTTCTTTATCTTCAGGAATTAGTGGAGACAAAGCTTTTTCTTCAGTAGGAGCACTAATATCTTGTTTTCCTACATGAATTGGGCTTAATTTAGTAACCTGCTGGATTGGAGATTTTATTTTGTGTCCTTCAAATTTAAGATCCTTCTCTGCAGGAACTGAAATGATTTCCTCTACAATTTTACTTTTAACGTCTTCTTGTCCACCTACTATATCAATTGGTCTCAATTTTTTAGGTTGATCCTCCGTCGACTTTGGTTTGTGATCATGTATTTTTTCTTTATCTTCAGGAATTACTGCAGACAAACCTTTTTTTTCAGTAGGAGCTTTAATATCTTGTTTTTCTACATGAAATGGGCTTAATTTAGTAACTTCCTGGATTGGAGATTTTAATTTGTGTTCTTCAAATTTAAGATCAGTTTCGGCAGGGACTGAAATGATTTCCTCTACAATTTTACTTTTAACGTCTTCTTCTCCAGCTACTATTTCAACTGGACTCAATTCTTTACGTTGATCCACCGGCGATTTTGGTTTGTGGTCGTGTATTTTTTCTTTATCTTCAGGAATTAGTGGAGACAAAGCTTTTTCTTCAGTAGAAGCACTAATATCTTGTTTTTCTACATGAATTGGGCTTAACTTAGTAACTTCTTGGATTGGAGATTTTATTTTGTGATCTTCAAATTTAAGATCCTTTTCTGCAGGTACTGAAATGACTTCCTTTACAATTTTACTTTTAACATCCTCTTGTCCAGCTACTATTTCAACTGGACTCAATTCTTTAGTTTGATCCACCGGCGATTTTAGTTTGTGATCGTGTATTTTTTCTTTATCTTCAGGAATTAGTGGAGACAAAGCCTTTTCTTCAGTAGGAGCACTAATATCTTGTTTTCCTACATGAATTGGGCTTAATTTAGTAACCTGCTGGATTGGAGATTTTATTTTGTGTCCTTCAAATTTAAGATCCTTCTCTGCAGGAACTGAAATGATTTCCTCTACAATTTTACTTTTAACGTCTTCTTGTCCACCTACTATATCAATTGGTCTCAATTTTTTAGGTTGATCCTCCGTCGACTTTGGTTTGTGATCATGTATTTTTTCTTTATCTTCAGGAATTACTGCAGACAAACCTTTTTCTTCAGTAGGAGCTTTAATATCTTGTTTTTCTACATGAAATGGGCTTAATGTAGTAACTTCCTGGATTGGAGATTTTAATTTGTGTTCTTCAAATTTAAGATCAGTTTCGGCAGGGACTGAAATGATTTCCTCTACAATTTTACTTTTAACGTCTTCTTCTCCAGCTACTATTTCAACTGGACTCAATTCTTTACGTTGATCCACCGGCGATTTTGGTTTGTGGTCGTGTATTTTTTCTTTATCTTCAGGAATTAGTGGAGACAAAGCTTTTTCTTCAGTAGAAGCACTAATATCTTGTTTTTCTACATGAATTGGGCTTAACTTAGTAACTTCTTGGATTGGAGATTTTATTTTGTGATCTTCAAATTTAAGATCCTTTTCTGCAGGGACTGAAATGACTTCCTTTACCATTTTACTTTTAACATCCTCTTGTCCAGCTACTATTTCAACTGGACTCAATTCTTTAGGTTGATCCACCGGCGATTTTGGTTTGTGATCATGTATTTTTGCTATACCCTCAGGAATGACTGGAGACAAAACTTTTTCTTCAGTAGGAGCACTAATATCTTGTTTTTCTACATGAAATGGGCTTAATTTAGTAACCTCCTGGATTGGAGATTTTAATTTGTGTTCTTCAAATTTAAGATCCTTCTCTGCAGGGACTGAAATGATTTCCTCTACAATTTTAGTTTTAACATCTGCTTGTCCAGCTACTATTTCAACTGGACTCAATTCTTTAGGTTGATCCACCGGCGATTTTGGTTTGTGATCGTGTATTTTTTCTTTATCTTCAGGAATTAGTGGAGACAAAGCTTTATCTTTAGTAGGAGCAGTAATAGCTTGTTTTTCTACATGAATTGGGCTTAACCTAGTAACCTCTTGGATTGGAGATTTTATTTTGTGATCTTCAAATTTAAGATCCTTTTCTGCAGGGACTGAAATGATTTCCTCTACAATTTTACTTTTAACATCCTCTTGTCCAGCTACTATTTCAACTGGACTCAATTCTTTAGGATGATCCACAGGCGATTTTAGTTTGTGATCGTGTATTTTTTCTATATCTTCAGGAATTAGTGGAGACAAAACCTTTTCTTCAGTTGGAGCACTAATATCTTGTTTTTCTACATGAATTGGGCTTAACTTAGTAACCTCTTGGATTGGCGATTTTATTTTGTTTTCGTCAAATCTATGATCCTTTTCTGCAGGGACTGAAATGATTTCCTCTACAATTTTAGTTTTAACATCTTCATGTCCAGCTACTATTTCAAATGGACTCAATTCTTTAGGTTGATCCACCGGCGATTTTGTTTTGTGATCATGTATTTTTGCTATACCCTCAGGAATGACTGGAGATAAAACTTTTTCTTCAGTAGGAGCACTAATATCTTGTTTTTCTACATGAATTGGGCTTAACTTAGTAACCTCTTGGATTGGCGATTTTATTTTGTTTTCGTCAAATCTATGATCCTTTTCTGCAGGGACTAAAATGATTTCCTCTACAATTTTAGTTTTAACATCTTCTTGTCCAGCTACTATTTCAACTGGACTCAATTCTTTAGGTTGATTCTCCGGCGATTTTGGTTTGTGATCGTGTATTTTTTCTTTATCTTCAGGAATTTCTGCAGACAAACCTTTTTCTTCAGTAGGAGCTTTAATATCTTGTTTTTCTACATGAAATGGGCTTAATTTAGTAACCTGCTGGATTGGATATTTTATTTTGTGTTCTTCAAATTTAAGATCCTTCTCTGCAGGGACTGAAATGATTTCCTCTACAATTTTAGTTTTAACATCTTCTTGTCCAGCTACTATTTCAAATGGACTCAATTCTTTAGGTTGATCCACCGGCGATTTTGGTTTGTGATCGTGTATTTTTTCTTTATCTTCAGGAATTAGTGGAGACAGAGCTTTTTCTTCAGTAGGAGCACTAATATCTTGTTTTTCTACATGAATTGGGCCTAACTTAGTAACTTCTTGGATTGGAGATTTAATTTTGTGTTCTTCAAATTTAATATCATTTTCTGGAGGGACTGAAATGATTTCCTCTACAATTTTACTTTTAACGTCTTCTTGTCCAGCTACTATTTCAACTGGACCCAATTCTTTACGTTGATCCACCGGCGATTTCGGTTTGTGATCATGTATTTTTGCTATACCTTCAGGAATGACTGGAGACAAAACTTTTTCTTCAGTAGGAGCTTTAATATCTTGTTTTTCTGCATGAATTGGGCTTAATTCAGTAAACTCCTGGATTGGGGATTTTATTTTGTGTTCTTCAAATTTAAGATCCTTTTCTGCAGGGACTGAAATGATTTCCTCTACAATTTTAATTTTAACATCCTCTTTTCCAGCTACTATTTCAACTGGACTCAATTCTTTAATTTGATCCACCGGCGATTTTGGTTTGTGATCATGTATTTTTGCTATACCCTCAGGAATGACTGGAGGCCAAACTTTTTCTTCAGTATGAGCTTTAATATCTTGTTTTTCTACATAAAATGGGCTTAATTTAGTAACCTCCTGGATTGGAGATTTTATTTTGTGTTCTTCAAATTTAAGATCCTTCTCTGCAGGGACTGAAATGATTTCCTCTACAATTTTAGTTTTAACATCTTCCTGTCCAGCTACAATTTCAACTGGACTCAATTCTTTAGGTTGATCCACAGGCGATTTTAGTTTGAGATCGTGTATTTTTTCTTTATCTTCAGGAATTAGTGGAGACAAAACCTTTTCTTCAGTTGGAATACTAATATCCTGTTTTTCTACATGAATTGGGCTTAACTTAGTAACCTCTTGGATTGGCGATTTTATTTTGTTTTCGTCAAATCTATGATCCTTTTCTGCAGGGACTGAAATGATTTCCTCTACAATTTTAGTTTTAACATCTTCTTGTCCAGCTACTATTTCAACTGGACTCAATTCTTTAGGTTGATCCACAGGCGATTTTAGTTTGTGATCGTGTATTTTTTCTTTATCTTCAGGAATTAGTGGAGACAAAGCTTTTTCTTCAGTAGGAGCACTAATATCTTGTTTTCCTACATGAATTGGGCTTAACTTAGTAACCTCTTGGATTGGAGATTTTATTTTATAATCTTCAAATGTAAGATCCTTTTCTGCAGGGACTGAAATGATTTCCTTTACCATTTTACTTTTAACATCCTCTTGTCCAGCTACTATTTCAACTGGACTCAATTCTTTAGGTTGATCCACCGGCGATTTTGGTTTGTGATCATGTATTTTTGCTATACCCTCAAGAATGACTGGAGACAAAACTTTTTCTTCAGTAGGAGCTTTAATATCTTGTTTTTCTACATGAATTGGGCTGAATTTAGTAACCTCCTGGATTGGAGATTTTATTTTGTGTTCTTCAAATTTAAGATCCATTTCTGCAGGGACTGAAATGATTTCCTCTACAATTTTAGTTTTAACATCTGTTTGTCCAGCTACTATTTCAACTGGACTCAATTCTTTAGGTTGATCCACCGGCGATTTTGGTTTGTGATCGTGTATTTTTTCTTTATCTTCTGGAATTAGTGGAGACAAAGCTTTATCTTCAGTAGGAGCAGTAATATCTTGTTTTTCTACATGAATTGGGCTTAACCTAGTAACCTCTTGGATTGGAGATTTTATTTTGGGATCTTCAAATTTAAGATACTTTTCTGCAGGGACTGAAATGATTTCCTCTACAATTTTAGTTTTAACAGCTGTTTGTCCAGCTACTATTTCAACTGGACTCAATTCTTTAGGTTGATCCACCGGCGATTTTGGTTTGTGATCGTGTATTTTTTCTTTATCTTCAGGAATAAGTGGAGACAAACCTTTATCTTCAGTAGGAGCAGTAATATCTTGTTTTTCTACATGAATTGGGCTTAACCTAGTAACCTCTTGGATTGGAGATTTTTTGTGATCTTCAAATTTAAGATCCATTTCCGCAGGGACTGAAATGATTTCCTCTACAATTTTAGTTTTAACATCTGCTTTTCCAGCTACTATTTCAACTGGACTCAATTCATTAATTTGATCCACCGGCGATTTTGGTTTGTGATCATGTATTTTTGCTATACCCTCAGGAATGACTGGAGGCAAAACTTTTTCTTCAGTATGAGCTTTAATATCTTGTTTTTCTACATGAAATGGGCTTAATTTAGTAAACTCCTGGATTGGAGATTTTATTTTGTGTTCTTCAAATTTAAGATCCTTCTCTGCAGGGACTGAAATGATTTCCTCTACAATTTTAGTTTTAACATCTTCTTGTCCAGCTACTATTTCAACTGGACTCAATTCTTTAGGTTGATCCACGGGCGATTTTAGTTGGTGATCGTGTATTTTTTCTATATCTTCAGGAATTAGTGGAGACAAAACCTTTTCTTCAGTTGGAGCACTAATATCTTGTTTTTCTACATGAATTGGGCTTAACTTAGTAACCTCTTGAATTGGCGATTTTATTTTGTTTTCGTCAAATCTATGATCCTTTTCTGCAGGGACTGAAATGATTTCCTCTACAATTTTAGATTTAACATCTTCTTGTCCAGCTACTATTTCAACTGGATTCAATTCTTTAGGTTGATCCACCGGCGATTTTAGTTTGTGATCGTGTATTTTTTCTTTATCTTCAGGAATTAGTGGAGACAAAGATTTTTCTTCAGTAGGAGCACTAATATCTTGTTTTCCTACATGAATTGGGCTTAATTTAGTAACCTCCTGCATTGGAGATTTTATTTTGTGTTCTTCAAATTTAAGATCCTTCTCTGCAGGAACTGAAATGATTTTCTCTACAATTTTAGTTTTAACATCTTCTTGTCCAGCTACTATTTCAACTGGACTGAATTCTTTAGATTGATCCACCGGCGATTTTGGTTTGTGATCGTGTATTTTTTCTTTATCTTCAGGAATCAGTGTGGACAAACCTTTTTCTTCAGTATGAGCTTTAATATCTTGTTTTTCTACATAAAATAAGCTTAATTTAGTAACCTCCTGGATTGGAGATTTTATTTTGTGTTCTTCAAATTTAAGATCCTTCTCTGCAGGGACTGAAATGATTTCCTCTACAATTTTAGTTTTAACATCTTCCTGTCCAGCTACAATTTCAACTGGACTCAATTCTTTAGGTTGATCCACAGGCGATTTTAGTTTGAGATCGTGTATTTTTTCTTTATCTTCAGGAATTAGTGGAGACAAAACCTTTTTTTCAGTTGGAATACTAATATCCTGTTTTTCTACATGAATTGGGCTTAACTTAGTAACCTCTTGGATTGGCGATTTTATTTTGTTTTCGTCAAATCTATGATCCTTTTCTGCAGGGACTGAAATGATTTCCTCTACAATTTTAGTTTTAACATCTTCTTGTCCAGCTAATATTTCAACTGGACTCAATTCTTTAGGTTGATCCACAGGCGATTTTAGTTTGTGATCGTGTATTTTTTCTTTATCTTCAGGAATTAGTGGAGACAAAGCTTTTTCTTCAGTAGGAGCACTAATATCTTGTTTTCCTACATGAATTGGGCTTAACTTAGTAACCTCTTGGATTGGAGATTTTATTTTATAATCTTCAAATGTAAGATCCTTTTCTGCAGGGACTGAAATGATTTCCTTTACCATTTTACTTTTAACATCCTCTTGTCCAGCTACTATTTCAACTGGACTCAATTCTTTAGGTTGATCCAAAGGCGATTTTGGTTTGTGATCATGTATTTTTGCTATACCCTCAAGAATGACTGGAGACAAAACTTTTTCTTCAGTAGGAGGTTTAATATCTTGTTTTTCTACATGAATTGGGCTGAATTTAGTAACCTCCTGGATTGGAGATTTTATTTTGTGTTCTTCAAATTTAAGATCCATTTCTGCAGGGACTGAAATGATTTCCTCTACAATTTTAGTTTTAGCATCTGCTTGTCCAGCTACTATTTCAACTGGACTCAATTCTTTAGGTTGATCCACCGGCGATTTTGGTTTGTGATCGTGTATTTTTTCTTTATCTTCAGGAATTAGTGGAGACAAAGCTTTATCTTCAGTAGGAGCAGTAATATCTTGTTTTTCTACATGAATTGGGCTTAACCTAGTAACCTCTTGGATTGGAGATTTTATTTTGGGATCTTCAAATTTAAGATCCATTTCTGCAGGGACTGAAATGATTTCCTCTACAATTTTAGTTTTAACATCTGCTTGTCCAGCTACTATTTCAACTGGACTCAATTCATTAATTTGATCCACCGGCGATTTTGGTTTGTGATCATGTATTTTTGCTATATCCTCAGGAATGACTGGAGGCAAAACTTTTTCTTCAGTATGAGCTTTAATATCTTGTTTTTCTACATGAAATGGGCTTAATTTAGTAAACTCCTGGATTGGAGATTTTATTTTGTGTTCTTCAAATTTAAGATCCTTCTCTGCAGGGACTGAAATGATTTCCTCTACAATTTTAGTTTTAACATCTTCTTGTCCAGCTACTATTTCAACTGGACTCAATTCTTTAGGTTGATCCACGGGCGATTTTAGTTTGTGATCGTGTATTTTTTCTATATCTTCAGGAATTAGTGGAGACAAAGCTTTATCTTCAGTAGGAGCAGTAATATCTTGTTTTTCTACATGAATTGGGCTTAACCTAGTAACCTCTTGGATTGGAGATTTTATTTTGGGATCTTCAAATTTAAGATCCATTTCTGCAGGGACTGAAATGATTTCCTCTACAATTTTAGTTTTAACATCTGCTTGTCCAGCTACTATTTCAACTGGACTCAATTCATTAATTTGATCCACCGGCGATTTTGGTTTGTGATCATGTATTTTTGCTATATCCTCAGGAATGACTGGAGGCAAAACTTTTTCTTCAGTATGAGCTTTAATATCTTGTTTTTCTACATGAAATGGGCTTAATTTAGTAAACTCCTGGATTGGAGATTTTATTTTGTGTTCTTCAAATTTAAGATCCTTCTCTGCAGGGACTGAAATGATTTCCTCTACAATTTTAGTTTTAACATCTTCTTGTCCAGCTACTATTTCAACTGGACTCAATTCTTTAGGTTGATCCACGGGCGATTTTAGTTTGTGATCGTGTATTTTTTCTATATCTTCAGGAATTAGTGGAGACAAAACCTTTTCTTCAGTTGGAGCACTAATATCTTGTTTTTCTACATGAATTGGGCTTAACTTAGTAACTTCTTGAATTGGCGATTTTATTTTGTTTTCGTCAAATCTATGATCCTTTTCTGCAGGGACTGAAATGATTTCCTCTACAATTTTAGATTTAACATCTTCTTGTCCAGCTACTATTTCAACTGGATTCAATTCTTTAGGTTGATCCACCGGCGATTTTAGTTTGTGATCGTGTATTTTTTCTTTATCTTCAGGAATTAGTGGAGACAAAGCTTTTTCTTCAGTAGGAGCACTAATATCTTGTTTTCCTACATGAATTGGGCTTAATTTAGTAACCTCCTGCATTGGAGATTTTATTTTGTGTTCTTCAAATTTAAGATCCTTCTCTGCAGGAACTGAAATGATTTCCTCTACAATTTTACTTTTAACGTCTTCTTGTCCACCTACTATATCAATTGGTCTCAATTCTTTAGGTTGATCTTCCGGCGACTTTGGTTTGTGATCATGTATTTTTTCTTTATCTTCAGGAATTACTGCAGACAAACCTTTTTCTTCAGTAGGAGCTTTAATATCTTGTTTTTCTACATGAAATGGGCTTAATTTAGTAACCTGCTGGATTGGAGATTTTATTTTGTGTTCTTCAAATTTAAGATCCTTCTCTGCAGGAACTGAAATGATTTCCTCCACAATTTTACTTTTAACGTCTTCTTGTCCACCTACTATATCAATTGGTCTCAATTCTTTATGTTGATCCTCCGGCGACTTTGGTTTGTGATCATGTATTTTTTCTTTATCTTCAGGAATTACTTCAGACAAACCTTTTTCTTCAGTAGGAGCTTTAATATCTTGTTTTTCTACATGAAATGGGCTTAATTTAGTAACCTGCTGGATTGGAGATTTTATTTTGTGTTCTTCAAATTTAAGATCCTTCTCTGCAGGGACTGAAATGATATCCTCTACAATTTTAGTTTTAACATCTTCTTGTCCAGCTACTATTTCAACTGGACTGAATTCTTTAGATTGATCCACCGGCGATTTTGGTTTGTGATCGTGTATTTTTTCTTTATCTTCAGGAATTAGTGGAGACAAAGCTTTATCTTCAATACGAGCACCAATATCTTGTTTTTCTACATGAATTGGGCTTAACCTAGTAACCTCTTGGATTGGAGATTTTATTTTGTGATCTTCAAATTTAAGATCCTTTTCTGCAGGTACTGAAATAATTTCCTCTACAATTTTACTTTTAACATCCTCTTGTCCAGCTACTATTTCAACTGGACTCAATTCTTTAGGTTGATGCAAAGGCGATTTCGGTTTGCGATCATGTATTTTTGCTATACCTTCAGGAATGACTGGAGACAAAACTTTTTCTTCAGTAGGAGCTTTAATATCTTGCTTTTCTGCATGAATTGGGCTTAATTTAGTAAACTCCTGGATTGGAGATTTTATTTTGTGTTCTTCAAATTTAAGATCCTTTTCTGCAGGGACTGAAATGACTTCCTTTACCATTTTACTTTTAACATCCTCTTGTCCAGCTACTATTTCAACTGGACTCAATTCTTTAAGTTGATCCACCGGCGATTTTGCTTTGTGATCATGTATTTTTGCTATACCCTCAGGAATGACTGGAGGCAAAACTTTTTCTTCAGCATGAGCTTTAATATCTTGTTTTTCTACATGAAATGGGCTTAATTTAGTAACCTCCTGGATTGGAGATTTTATTTTGTGTTCTTCAAATTTAAGATCCTTCTCTGCAGGGACTGAAATGATTTCCTCTACAATTTTAGTTTTAACATATTCCTGTCCAGCTACTATTTCAACTGGACTCAATTCTTTAAGTTGATCCACAGGCGATTTTATTTTGTGATCGTATATTTTTTCTTTATCTTCAGGAATTAGTGGAGACAAAACCATTTCTTCAGTTGGAGCACTAATATCTTGTTTTTCTACATGAACTGGGCTTAACTTAGTAACCTCTTGGATTGGCGATTTTATTTTGTTTTCGTCAAATTTATGATCCTTTTCTGCAGGGACTGAAATGATTTCCTCTACAATTTTAGTTTTAACATCTTCTTGTCCAGCTACTATTTCACCTGGACTCAATTCTTTAGGTTGATCCATCGGCGATTTTAGTTTGTGATCATGTATTTTTTCTTTATCTTCAGGAATTAGTGGAGACAAAGCTTTTTCTTCAGTAGGAGCACTAATATCTTGTTTTCCTATATGAATTGGGCTTAACTTAGTAACCTCTTGGATTGGAGATTTTATTTTATGATCTTCAAATTTAAGATCCTTTTCTGCAGGGACTGAAATGACTTCCTTTACCATTTTACTTTTAACACCCTCTTGTCCAGCTACTATTTCAACTGGACTCAATTCTTTAAGTTGATCCACCGGCGATTTTGGTTTGTGATCATGTATTTTTGCTATACCCTCAGGAATGACTGGAGACAAAACTTTTTCTTCAGTAGGAGCTTTAATATCTTGTTTTTCTACATGAATTGGGCTTAATTTAGTAACGTCCTGGATTGGCGATTTTAGTTTGTGTTCTTCAAATTTAAGATCCTTTTCTGCAGGGACTGAAATGATTTCCTCTACAATTTTAGTTTTAACATCTTCTTGTCCAGCTACTATTTCAACTGGACTCAATTCTTTAGGATGATCCACCGGCGATTTTAGTTTGTGATCGTGTATTTTTTCTTTATCTTCAGGAATTAGTGGAGATAAAACTTTTTCTTCAGTAATAGTTTTAATATCTTGTTTTTCTACATGAATTGGGCTTAATTTAGTAACCTCCTGGATTGGAGATTTTATTTTGTCTTCTTCAAATTTAAGATCCTTCTCTGCAGGGACTGAAATGATTTCCTCTACAATTTTAGTTTTAACATCTTCTTGTCCAGCTATCATTTCAACTGGACTCAATTCTTTAGGTTGATACACCCGCGATTTTGGTTTGTGATCATGTATTTTTGCTATACCCTCAGGAATGACTGGAGACAAAACTTTTTCTTCAGTAGGAGCTTTAATATCTTGTTGTTCTACATGAATTGGGCTTAATTTAGTAACGTCCAGGATTGGCGATTTTATTTTGTGTTCTTCAAATTTAAGATCCTTTTCTGCAGGGACTGAAATGATTTCCTCAACAATTTCAGTTTTAACATCTTCTTGTCCAGCTACTATTTCAACTGGACTCAATTCTTTAGGATGATCTACCGGCGATTTTAGTTTGTGATCGAGTATTTTTTCTTTATCTTCAGGAATTAGTGGAGATAAAACTTTTTCTTCAGTAATAGTTTTAATATCTTGTTTTTCTATATGAATTGGGCTTAATTTAGTAACCTCCTGGATTGGAGATTTTATTTTGTGTTCTTCAAATTTAAGATCCTTCTCTGCAGGGACTGAAATGATTTCCTCTACAATTTTAGTTTTAACATCTTCTTGTCCAGCTACTATTTCACCTGGACTCAATTCTCTAGGTTGATCCATCGGCGATTTTAGTTTGTGATCATGTATTTTTTCTTTATCTTCAGGAATTAGTGGAGACAAAGCTTTTTCTTCAGTAGGAGCACTAATATCTTGTTTTCCTACATGAATTGGGCTTAACTTAGTAACCTCTTGGATTGGAGATTTTATTTTATGATCTTCAAATTTAAGATCCTTTTCTGCAGGGACTGAAATGACTTCCTTTACCATTTTACTTTTAACACCCTCTTGTCCAGCTACTATTTCAACTGGACTCAATTCTTTAAGTTGATCCACCGGCGATTTTGGTTTGTGATCATATATTTTTGCTATACCCTCAGGAATGACTGGAGACAAAACTTTTTCTTCAGTAGGAGCTTTAATATCTTGTTTTTCTACATGAATTGGGCTTAATTTAGTAACGTCCTGGATTGGCGATTTTAGTTTGTGTTCTTCAAATTTAAGATCCTTTTCTGCAGGGACTGAAATGATTTCCTCTACAATTTTAGTTTTAACATCTTCTTGTCCAGCTACTATTTCAACTGGACTCAATTCTTTAGGTTGATCCACCGGCGATTTTAGTTTGTGATCGTGTATTTTTTCTTTATCTTCAGGAATTAGTGGAGATAAAACTTTTTCTTCAGTAATAGTTTTAATATCTTGTTTTTCTACATGAATTGGGCTTAATTTAGTAACCTCCTGGATTGGAGATTTTATTTTGTCTTCTTCAAATTTAAGATCCTTCTCTGCAGGGACTGAAATGATTTCCTCTAAAATTTTAGTTTTAACATCTTCTTGTCCAGCTACTATTTCACCTGGACTCAATTCTTTAGATTGATCCATGGGCGATTTTAGTTTGTGATCATGTATTTTTTGTTTATCTTCAGGAATTAGTGGAGACAAAGCTTTTTCTTCAGTAGGAGCACTAATATCTTGTTTTCCTACATGAATTGGGCTTAACTTAGTAACCTCTTGGATTGGAGATTTTATTTTATGATCTTCAAATTTAAGATCCTTTTCTGCAGGGACTGAAATGATTTCCTTTACCATTTTACTTTTAACATCCTCTTGTCCAGCTACTATTTCAACTGGACTCAATTCTTTAGGTTGATCCACCGGCGATTTGGTTTTGTGATCATGTATTTTTGCTATACCCTCAGGAATGACTGGAGACAAAACTTTTTCTTCAGTAGGAGCTTTAATATCTTGTTTTTCTACATGAATTGGGCTGAATTTAGTAACCTCCTGGATTCGAGATTTTATTTTGTGTTCTTCAAATTTAAGATCCATTTCTGCAGTGACAGAAATGATTTCCTCTACAATTTTAGTTTTAACATCTTCTTGTCCAGCTACTATTTCAACTGGACTCAATTCTTTAGGTTGATCCACGGGCGATTTTAGTTTGTGATCGTGTATTTTTTCTATATCTTCAGGAATTAGTGGAGACAAAACCTTTTCTTCAGTTGGAGCACTAATATCTTGTTTTTCTACATGAATTGGGCTTAACTTAGTAACTTCTTGGATTGGCGATTTTATTTTGTTTTCGTCAAATCTATGATCCTTTTCTGCAGGGACTGAAATGATTTCCTCTACAATTTTAGATTTAACATCTTCTTGTCCAGCTACTATTTCAACTGGATTCAATTCTTTAGGTTGATCCACCGGCGATTTTAGTTTGTGATCGTGTATTTTTTCTTTATCTTCAGGAATTAGTGGAGACAAAGCTTTTTCTTCAGTAGGAGAACTAATATCTTGTTTTCCTACATGAATTGGGCTTAATTTAGTAACCTCCTGCATTGGAGATTTTATTTTGTGTTCTTCAAATTTAAGATCCTTCTCTGCAGGAACTGAAATGATTTCCTCTACAATTTTACTTTTAACGTCTTCTTGTCCACCTACTATATCAATTGGTCTCAATTCTTTAGGTTGATCTTCCGGCGACTTTGGTTTGTGATCATGTATTTTTTCTTTATCTTCAGGAATTACTGCAGACAAACCTTTTTCTTCAGTAGGAGCTTTAATATCTTGTTTTTCTACATGAAATGGGCTTAATTTAGTAACCTGCTGGATTGGAGATTTTATTTTGTGTTCTTCAAATTTAAGATCCTTCTCTGCAGGAACTGAAATGATTTCCTCTACAATTTTACTTTTAACGTCTTCTTGTCCACCTACTATATCAATTAGTCTCAATTCTTTAGGTTGATCCTCCGGCGACTTTGGTTTGTGATCATGTATTTTTTCTTTATCTTCAGGAATTACTTCAGACAAACCTTTTTCTTCAGTAGGAGCTTTAATATCTTGTTTTTCTACATGAAATGGGCTTAATTTAGTAACCTGCTGGATTGGAGATTTTATTTTGTGTTCTTCAAATTTAAGATCCTTCTCTGCAGGGACTGAAATGATATCGTCTACAATTTTAGTTTTAACATCTTCTTGTCCAGCTACTATTTCAACTGGACTGAATTCTTTAGATTGATCCACCGGCGATTTTGGTTTGTGATCGTGTATTTTTTCTTTATCTTCAGGAATTAGTGGAGACCAAGCTTTATCTTCAATACGAGCACTAATATCTTGTTTTTCTACATGAATTGGGCTTAACCTAGTAACCTCTTGGATTGGAGATTTTATTTTGTGATCTTCAAATTTAAGATCCTTTTCTGCAGGTACTGAAATAATTTCCTCTACAATTTTAGTTTTAACATCTTCTTGTCCAGCTACTATTTCAACTGGACTCAATTCTTTAGGATGATCTACCGGCGATTTTAGTTTGTGATCGTGTATTTTTTCTTTATCTTCAGGAATTAGTGGAGATAAAACTTTTTCTTCAGTAATAGTTTTAATATCTTGTTTTTCTACATGAATTGGGCTTAATTTAGTAACCTCCTGGATTGGAGATTTTATTTTGTGTTCTTCAAATTTAAGATCCTTCTCTGCAGGGACTGAAATGATTTCCTCTACAATTTTAGTTTTAACATCTTCTTGTCCAGCTACTGTTTCACCTGGACTCAATTCTTTAGGTTGATCCATCGGCGATTTTAGTTTGTGATCATGTATTTTTTCTTTATCTTCAGGAATTAGTGGAGACAAAGCTTTTTCTTCAGTAGGAGCACTAATATCTTGTTTTCCTACATGAATTGGGCTTAACTTAGTAACCTCTTGGATTGGAGATTTTATTTTATGATCTTCAAATTTAAGATCCTTTTCTGCAGGGACTGAAATGACTTCCTTTACCATTTTACTTTTAACACCCTCTTGTCCAGCTACTATTTCAACTGGACTCAATTCTTTAAGTTGATCCACCGGCGATTTTGGTTTGTGATCATGTATTTTTGCTATACCCTCAGGAATGACTGGAGACAAAACTTTTTCTTCAGTAGGACCTTTAATATCTTGTTTTTCTACATGAATTGGGCTTAATTTAGTAACGTCCTGGATTGGCGATTTTAGTTTGTGTTCTTCAAATTTAAGATCCTTTTCTGCGGGGACTGAAATGATTTCCTCTACAATTTTAGTTTTAACATCTTCTTGTCCAGCTACAATTTCAACTGGACTCAATTCTTTTGGTTGATCCACCGGCGATTTTAGTTTGTGATCGTGTATTTTTTCTTTATCTTCAGGAATTAGTGGAGATAAAACTTTTTCTTCAGTAATAGTTTTAATATCTTGTTTTTCTACATGAATTGGGCTTAATTTAGTAACCTCCTGGATTGGAGATTTTATTTTGTGTTCTTCAAATTTAAGATCCTTCTCTGCAGGGACTGAAATGATTTCCTCTACAATTTTAGTTTTAACATCTTCTTGTCCAGCTACTATTTCACCTGGACTCAATTCTTTAGGTTGATCCATCGGCGATTTTAGTTTGTGATCATGTATTTTTTCTTTATCTTCAGGAATTAGTGGAGACAAAGCTTTTTCTTCAGTAGGAGCACTAATATCTTGTTTTCCTACATGAATTGGGCTTAACTTAGTAACCTCTTGGATTGGAGAATTTATTTTATGATCTTCAAATTTAAGATCCTTTTCTGCAGTGACTGAAATGACTTCCTTTACCATTTTACTTTTAACACCCTCTTGTCCAGCTACTATTTCAACTGGACTCAATTCTTTAAGTTGATCCACCGGCGATTTTGGTTTGTGATCATGTATTTTTGCAATACCCTCAGGAATGACTGGAGACAAAACTTTTTCTTCAGTAGGAGCTTTAATATCTTGTTTTTCTATATGAATTGGGCTTAATTTAGTAACCTCCTGGATTGGAGATTTTATTTTGTGTTCTTCAAATTTAAGATCCATTTCTGCAGTGACAGAAATGATTTCCTCTACAATTTTACTTTTAACATCTTCTTGTCCATCTATCATTTCAACTGGACTCAATTCTTTAGGTTGATCCACCGGCGATTTTGGTTTGTGATCATGTATTTTTGCTATACCCTCAGGAATGACTGGAGACAAAACTTTTTCTTCAGTAGGGGCTTTAATATCTTGTTTTTCTACATGAATTGGGCTTAATTTAGTAACCTCCTGGATTGGAGATTTTATTTTGTGTTCTTCAAATTTAAGATCCATTTCTGCAGTGACAGAATTGATTTCCTCTACAATTTTACTTTTAACATCTTCTTGTCCAGCTATCATTTCAACTGGACTCAATTCTTTAGGTTGATCTACCGGCGATTTTAGTTTGTGATCGTGTATTTTTTCTTTATCTTCAGGAATTAGTGGAGATAAAACTTTTTCTTCAGTAATAGTT